GAGTGGTGAAAAAGATGAGAAATACTTGCTGTGCGGTGTTGAAGAATGAGGGTTTAGGAATCCTGAAGGGATGAATGAGTGTCAGTTGCGTGGCCGGAGGAGAAATTGAGCAGCATTTTTCAGCCGCCCCAGATTGCTGTCAAGCATGAAGGCCAGAGTCTCAGGGAATTTATCTTATTAGCTGTGCACATCGTACAATTTATGGTCCAACTATTAACTGCTTGCCGGCATCTCGAGGCAGATGCCACGGATCAGTGAGAATGGTGGAAAAATTGCCGTCAATTTCACTCTTCTGCCAAATGAAAATTCCACCCCGAGAGTCATGATTGAGCACAGCGAATTTATATCAATTTTCACAAGAAGTAAAACGCATCAGCGAATTGCCACAAAAAAAACCACCACCGTATTCAAATTATTTCACTCACTAGAGCAGAAACAATGCGATTTCTTTACTACATATATATATATATACTCTCTGTCCACACAATTTAATCACATTTATTCGTTCCCATAATTTATTCCAGCAATTATTGCAATTTCATTCCCCATCGGCAACATTTTGGATAGAAATATATTTCTCCTCAGCATTTTTGATGGCAAAAAAACTTCTGCTCTTTACATAAATGATCACTTTTGCCAGTGGCGTATTGGGGAATTTTGGCTGATTCAATGTCAAGCCATCTATTGAAAAATATACTTCAGTGGATATCTTTTCGACTTCTTCTTCGGATAAAATTGACTTTTTCGTACACTTTGACTGCCCATGAAATAAACTCACTTCATCTTCTAGAACGTTTTTCAAATTGCATTATTAGCACGCTTATAAATCCTATCGGGCTCGAAATCTTCAAGAGTAATAATCCACAAGCGCCTTTTATCCCAGAATATAATTGGGGTGGCAATTAGATGTGCGAGATTATCCTCTGGCATCCCTGCGAGCTTTTGCTACGCCACTGAGCTTCTGCTGCCTTTGAGCTGGGAAAAATATCTCGTGCGTACTGGTTGTCGTGGCTGGCGGAAGTGGGGAATGCGGGAGTTGTTGTGCAAATGGAAAGAGACACTTGGGAGACCTTTTCTCACCCTCTTCCCCACCCCCTGTGAAACACCCCAACCGTGTCCCCGGAGTGCGATTCCGTTGATGGAGGAAACTTGTAGTTGGTGAATGGATGAAAAAGACATCGAGCGAAAGATGAAACAAAGTTTGATGTCACCGCAGCAAATGGAAGTGAGAGCGAGCTTTGACAATTATGCCACAAGAAATCCCCATCATTTTATCCATATTTAAGTGTTTCCGGCCCCCCTTTTTGTGCAACTGGAAAATATCTAGTGAGAAAAATCTCAATTTTTTTTCGTACAGCATCTGTTATGAAATTTTCGCGTCTCGCCTTTCTTGTCTTTGGCGTTTTTTTTATTTTTAGACACCACAAGCTGTGCCGTGAAGCTTTGAGAGTGTTCCTAGAACTCTGTCCACATCTTTTTTTTTTCTCAAATCCCGAAGGCGTTTTTCTTCATGCCAACGACTTTGCGCCTCCTCTGCAATCAAATACACACTAATTAGGGTGAAAAATGTACATAAATGTAAAGCAAACGTCTTCATTTCATCAGCCAAGAAGCTAAATTGATGATTTTTCTTGAAAAACAGCACCATTATTGCAGAGCAAAGTTCTTAATTGCTCCGCTATCATGCTGAAAGACCTAAAAGACCCAGATCATTATATAAAGTGTACTCTTTCCGTAACAATGCTCAAGTTTCTGCAATCAACAGACAATTCCTGCCACTATCACAATTTTCCTCAAGATCCCATCGATGCTCCCTCTATAGTTAATTAATTGAGCTGCATTTGATTCCCCAAAGGGAATTCATCATTGAACAATCATTCGCCCTCTCTCTGCCGCCCCTATTAAGACTTGTTTTTTCTTTCCCCACTCAGCGCGACGTCAGGGTGAATTGTTCTGTTGTTTACCTTAAGCGACAACTTCCCTTTCATTTAAATGGATAAATCAATAGACAGCCAATCGTGTTTAATGGCAGAAAAAGCAGAAAAACATCCACACCGACGCATTGTGATTTTTATTGTTGTGCCATATCGTAAAAATGTCAAGCGCCAGAAGAAGGAGCAAACCGAAAAAATCCAGCCCAGAAATGTGCTTTATTGTGTCTTCAAATGCCATCCGCAATGTGGATCACCCACTTTTATTTGAAAGACAACCCCACCCTAACCACGGAATCTCACGCGCACTCAAGAGGGTGGATTTTATTTCATTTTCGCCCCTGTGACCCGAAAATAGGCGCCCCAACAGCGCAAAACTCCGCGTCCTTTCGCCACGGCAATCCAACTCACGTAGGCAGCAGAAAAACGGCCAAGTGGAAGAAATTATATATATCAACAATTTCTCAGAGCACAACACTAAATTGACAGGCAGTCATTGGAGAGGAATAGGGGAGAGCGGGGCTGAATTTAAACCTATTGCGCCAGTATTTTCTCCGATTCTTGAATGAATGCGGAAACCTCAATATGAATATGTGTTTGATTTAATCAAAAAACTCCCTTAGTATCAATATGAATTATATTTTATCATAATGTGAAATCAACACTGGAAACATGGTTGTTTTGACTATATTTCAATAGAAAGCTTCAAGTAAACACTTAAGGAAGCCCAACTTCCTATGTCTTATCCATCTTCTGTCGCATCTCTGAAGATTTCCTCAGTTTTCCAGCGAAATTTCACACCAGAACACAACACATGGGTGCTGTTTTTTGCATGAATCATAAAAAAAGTACTTCCTTTCAGCGGGATTGCGGTGTTTGAATCAACAATGAGCCACTTCGCGGGAGAAATTTTATCGACACACTACGCTGGGAAAATGCCATAAAAAGAGGGTGATTTTTCACTAAAAATACATCAAAGTAATGAGGAAAAATATATTCAGAATTGCAACCACAAGTCACCAAAAACTATTCTGCGGGGAGAAAAAAAGGAATCTCGCAGACAAGCTCAAAAGCGTGGCGCGTCTGAACTCTCTGTCACCTGCCCGAAAAATTCATCAGCAGCAAAAGGGGACTTTTGCCACGGCACAATGGTGGCTTTTAGGTGGAGAGAAAAAAGGAGAGCGCCACAGTCAATATAATATTTTAATTAAAAGTTCCATCGTTGCAGGGCGTCGAGTGAATTCGAGATGTGACAGAATGTGTGTGTGTCTGCTGAATAATAAATTTGGAGTGTCCTGACGCGCCGCTTCTGCTGGAGTTAAATGAAAAACTTTCACTCCAGTCAAATATTTCCACCCAGAAATATTCTCTGACTTTATTTGAATATTATCGTGGGATTTGTTGTGAGTGGTGATGGATAAAAAAAAAGCAGGGCAACAGTGAAAAGACATACAGCGGAGGAAATTGTTATTGATGCACTACATTTTGGATGAGGAGAAAACTTTCTCAGCACAGCATTTTCCCACATGAATTGCAACTTTATGGTTGTTTGACTGGCTTTCGCCACCAATGTTTAACAGCTTGAAAAGCTCATTGAATTATTGAATCACCAAACAATCTAATTGGTAATATTGTACTGGGAAAGAGAAGAACTTGTGCAATTTTGTTATTTTCCTATTTGTGTCTGTTTTTTTTTTATTATGCTTAGTGTTAAAAATGGGTTTTTTTTTCTTAATTAGAACATGTTTGAACAACCAATTGAATCTGAATGCATTTGAATTTTATATACATAAACGATTAATTAGTCTTTTTTACGATTATTCACTGCAATTCAATATGTATCCATTAATTTTAGTTAAATATTTATCACACTTTTGAGTTGATTATAATATTCTGAGTGTGAAATTCTGATAATTTTGCAAATCGTGCCTTTTTCAAGGGTCAAAACCAAGTTAAATAAATTAAATTCAAGCCCGGGTTTTACTTAATTACAGAAGTTTCCTCATCTCGTGCCTTCGACGCGCAAGTCCCGCTTTAAGATGATTTTGTGGCAAGGCTGGAGAATTTAATATCAACAGATTGATTGTTTCCCGAGAAGCCCCGGGCGATGAATCCCAGATGAGTCGAGAGAGAGAGTGTGGGCTGCCAAGGCGTCTATCAGGATTGGAACGGGAGAGAAAGGATTGAGAGAGAGACAGAGACCGACATTTACACACACGGCTGACGACAATAAATCACCGGTTGATTTCCCTTCCGATCCACTGAGTCGGAAACTTTCCGCCCGTCTTCGCGCTGCATATGAAGTTTTTATTATTATTTAATAATGTCGCACAAGATGACTTTATTGTCTGTTCGCTGGAAGCAAAAGCCCGGACCTTTATTGTTCCTTTATCAAGTCCTTTATGCATCCATCATGTAAGGATTTCGCATATGCAATTCAAATGCTTTTTGTAAGCCACTTTCAGCATGGAGAGCCCGCCCACTGTGAAGCACAGGAGATCAACAATAGCACAGCCACTTTGGCGAGAGGATGCTGAACCACACAACATCCACATAAATAACCCGAAGGGAAAGAGTGACTCTGAAAGCAGTGGAATCAAACGTTCGATTGGTGTGTCGTAAAAGCGGAAAACAAGACTTGTTCACTGCCAGTGAGCAAATGCACTGTGATGGGAAAATTGAATAAAAATTAAGTTACAACGTAAGAAGCTTCGGGCGGAAGCTTAACAAATGCATTTCAGCTTACCACAACTACCTTTTGTCTCTCAGATTGCAACAAATTTAATGCAGATTCCGAGAATGCAGACGGATTCAGGTGAGTTTCAGTTGCAAACATATGAATACGGTTCATATTAATCTTTCTTTTCATTCCACTAATCTCAGAGTTTGAGTAGATTTTATGGAAAGTTTACACAGTTAAAAGCACGATTATCATGTAATTCTCTAATTCGTGTTTTGTTTCTGGGAAAGGAGAACTTATTATTGATATTGTACATTTTCTCACAATTACACACTTTTGTGGATTTTTTCCACAGCATCTGGATGAGGAATGAAAGAAAAGTCATTCGATTTACCATTGAGAAATTTATTTCCTTTCTTCAATATTTATATATATATATATATACTCAAATCACATTTTCCTTAAGATTGATGAAAATTCAATAATAGAAAAAATAGGAATTCTAAGGGAGAAAAATCATTAAATTTTTACATTATTATTTTTTACTGGATCTCTTTCCTTTCCATCGCCTCTCACTTTAATCGCTTCTGGATGGGACAAAATCGAGCTCACAGCGGATGATCTTTCTTGCAAAAAAAAAATACCACTGAGAGTCGCGCGCTTATTCAACACTTATAACATCCAATGACAATCCAACTTTGAGTTATCTTTATCGCTGTGTCCATTAAAAATTATATATATATATATAGATATTCTCTTCCTGCATATTTACATTGTACTTAAATTTATAGTTTTCCCTCTCATTCTTCGTGCATTTCTTGCCATTTCATAGGTTATTTTTCACGTTTAAATAATCTTTCAGCATTACGTACCTCTTACCTCTATCGCTACATTCTTATTTTCCATTCATATTCACTCCTTTTTTCTGCTCTCTTAATCATATGCATTATATCCATGAAAGAACTCGTGAGTTCGACGGTTACAGATTTTCACATCAAGTATTGTTTTACTCTTCTTCTTTTTTTTTTAGTACAGCAAGAAAACTGAGAGTTAGTGTGTAAAAAATATAGGCTGCAATTAATAAATAAATTCAATATGCATCGTCTAACACTCCTAATCCGAATCTTATACAATATAAATTCACATAAGATTTAAGATAAATTCTTTCCTCCTCTTATTCTTCTCGCTCTCTCTCTCTCTATCCCTTTATGTTTTGTTACACAGTAAGACGTATGTTAAATCTAATCATAATAGTCAATCTTACACGCTATCATTTCCTATTTACAACTGTGACTTTTCAGTGTCACAAAAGAATCTCTTTTCTTCATCTCTCACGCATTTTTTTTTTATCAATTCTTGTGCGTGAATTCTTCCCCCTCTCCCGCTCAAAAAGGACGCAAAGGAGAAATGCACTAGAAAATCCGGCAGAGTAGTCAAAAAAAAAAAAAACCAAACGTGACTTAAAGAATAGAAAATAGTGTGAAGAAATGTGTTATTCTGTGATTTATCAATCACATCGTGAAGAGAGAAATGAAAGGATGAACACAGGACAGATGGAAATAGAAAACATGAGAATTATTATGAGCAATTCACAGAATTCGCCTTAACAGTTCTAGATCGACGCCTAACGACTGTCTTTATATCCATCTCATCTAATGTCGCACGCCACGCACAACTTGGACGTTCCCACGCAGGAAGCGTGCGAGAAATTGCCGCACTGCTGGCAAATGACCATCGCATTCAGCGAGCACGAGCAGTTTGGCGGCGTTCCTTCGCCGGCCAGGCCGAAGTTCTGCAGTGACGGATCCATGCTAATGTCGCCATATACTGCAAAGATTGTAACAGAAAAAGTGAATTCGTGGCTCCGCAACACTTTGCCATGTCTCATCATCGACTCACCTTGATTCGGTCCGCGGCGTGTCACCGCCTGCACGCCCGGATTCGGCCCCACGAGGATCATCTGCTGCTCAGGCAGCGAATCCACTTCCACAGACGCCGGCCGACCACGACTGCTGATCGGGATGCCATTCACACCGTGCAGTTGCTACAAAGACAAGAGAAAGAGTCAGAAATTGAGCATTTATAAAGAGTTTTCTTCAATTTGTCAAGCAAATTTCACCACTTTTTGCCACTTTTTCCCATTGAGGCGCTTTTTAACCGTTCTTCGCGCAATAAGTGCAGGAAAAAACACAATTTCCAATTAATTGTTGATTGCAGTAAAGCTCAGCAAAAGCTTTAATGGTCTTAACTAAGATTTTGGCTAAAATTGTCTACATTGTTCCATGAAAGAAATGATCTTTAATTACGCTATCTTTATCTAATAATCCTTCTGCCATAATAATAAAGTACAAATTCTGTAGATATTTCACATTCACGAATGATTAAAGTAAAGAAACAGAGATAGTACTGAAATAAACAGATAATAACGCAATAATTCTTATATCAATAACCGATATTTTCTTTTGTTGTTTTTTGTGAAGAGGATTTTTCTTTCACTTTCCACGGAATTACCCCAGGCAAATATAAAGAAGACTTACAGATGAATTGACACTCAATCAATGAGTCAGTATAAATTACGTCTTAAGAGGCTTTTCTTCTGTATCCTTCATTTGCAAGAAGATATTTTAGAAAATTCTTTTCAAATTGTGCTTTTTTAGAGATTTTAAAAACAAATCATAGATTTTTTTTTGGTGTTACAAAACTTGATTTGACTTCTCTCTAATTATTACTCATTACTTTCTTATCCTTGAGCTGATTTCTTATAGAGCAATTGAACATCTAGTTAATGGAATTTTTCACTTGCGATGATAACATACTTCACAACGACAGTAATTCTACTACAAAACCCGATAAAAAGCCTAATGTGAAACTAACGAGTGATTTACAAAGTAGGCAGAAAGACTAATTGCACTACATTCATGCATACAAAAAATCTGTAATCAAATTGGAACAATTACGAGCAACATATTAAGCTAATAATAAAGTTCGTGTGAATCCCACTATAAATGATGAGCAAGACTCCTCTTATCTCGCATTTGATAAATTTCAGTATAGAATTTCTTGATTATCATTTTGCATTGCAGCAGTTTAAGTTGTGATTTCTCCTAGGTGAAACATGAGTACCAAATTTGATCCGAACTTTTACAAGTCAAACATCGAATTGCGCGTGAAACTCGTGCAAAGATGTCTCAACAAAGTGTCACATTTGTTGCAATGGCAGCCAAAAGGAGGAGATTCTGTGCTGGATATCGGCTGTGGCGTGGGTGACATCACACGCGAGTGCTTCTATCCACTCCTTCCGGCCAACTATTCACGCTTAGTCTGCTCGGACATCTCAGAAAGTATGCTACATGGCGCTCGAAAGACATTTCACGGAATTGATAGAGTGAATTTCACTCAAATAAACATCAATGAACCTCTGAGTGATGCCAAGAAAGTGGAATTGAAGACATTTAATCACATCTTCTCTAGCTTTTGCCTAACATATGTGAAAAATCAGAAGCAAGCATTTCAGAATGTGTTTGATCTTCTGGAAATGGGTGGTGATATCATGATTACCATTCAAGCAATAACACCATCAATTGAATGCCTCTTTCGCATGGCAGAGCAGAAGAAGTGGAAGAACAAATTGTCAAACATACGTGAAACTTTCGTTTACAGCTACAGAGAAGATTCCAATCCCAAAGAAACAATAGAGAGTCTCTTGCGATGCCTTGGATTCACTCAAGTTGTTGTGGAACTCGAAGAATCCTTTGAGACATACAAAACTGAGGAGTATTTAAAAGGTAAAATTCTTCAAAAAGATTCCTCAATGCACAACCCACTTCTAAACTACATTTTTCAATCACTTTGCGCAGATTTCATGAAAGGCCTTCCATTTGGCAGTGAAGTATCGGAGATGGAGAGTGAAGAATTCTTCAGGGATCTCGTAAATATTGCCATTTCAATGAATCTGATTGAAGAGCACCTCAAAGGAAGCCCACCATTGGAGGGTAATGTAAGAAAACTCATTCACATTTATGCTATGAAGCCAAATAAATGAATTCCTTGCTTATCAAAACATCAATTCACCTGATTCTGTGCTGGTGGCGCACTTGAGGCTCTCGGCATTGATGCATTGTCAATTCCCGCACGCTGAACCAGAACATATTGTCCGTCCGCATGGAGAATTTGCTGCTGCTGTGACTGCTGAAGATTCCCACCTGACGGAATGACAGAGATGAAGTTGCCTCCACTTCCTTGGTTAGAATTCGACGTGTATACTTGTCGCACGAGCAATGGTGATGTCTGTCTCTGGGCAAAAGTCTTCTTCTGCAATCCAGTCCGCAAGGCATTGCCTTGAATCTGCGCGCCAAATAAAAGACATTAAATTATAGGAAAGACAGCTTAATGAGTCAATTGCTGAATACCTTGTAAACTGTCCGATTCGTCGACGTGACCACACCGTGTTGCGTCTGATCCTCCTTCTTACCGCCACTATTGCTTCCCGACTCGGACGAATTGGAATTGTCACTGCCGGAATTCGCCGCGGCGGCCAACATCGAGGGCGGCGGTCGCAATTGGTGCTTCAACTGATGCCTATTTGGACTGTTCTGAATGACAGCTTGGCAAATTTGATAGCTCCTCTCCAGATTCACCGCTCCCGGCGGCGGTTTATTGCTCTGCGATCTCCGGCCGCCACCACCCTTCGCCGCCGGCGCCTGGGGCGTCTTCCCACGTCCCGCCGTCACTTGACTCACCACATTCGACACTGACCTCAGCGGCTGCGCCGCCGTGAGACTGAGAAAGGGCACAGAACTAGAGCTGGCGACAACAGCGGCTCTGGGCGTGGGAATTGGCTCCTGCTTCACCGCCGCCACGACAATTGGCGCCACAGACGCACTCTCTTTCTGACCACCCGCCGTTGTAAGAATCATCGTGCTGGGAAACTTGCCGCCATGCGTGACAGTCTTCTGGCCGCCGCCAGTAGAACTTTGCTGGGGTGGCGCAATCGTGAGTGGCGTCTTGGCCAGCGGCGCAGTCGTCACTGGCGTCGGCAGACAGACAATTGTTGTGGGCGGGAAGACTGTCGGTATCTGCTTAGATGCACTCTTGGCCACACTGCCCTCATTGCTGCTGGCATCGCTGTCCACCTGACTCTGCACTGTGCTGCTCACCTCCGCCTCTGGCGTCACATTCACCTCAAGCTCCAACTTCACCTGTGAAACACAGCCGAGAAACCAGTCAATTTCAGTCACACAGGTAGGAAAATAGTAAATTCAACAAAGAGCACACAAAATTCCAAAATAAACACTTGCCAATCAGGATCACTGACTAAGAGAAAAACAATCAGCAATCAGTGGAATCTGGGCTCAAAATTACCGAACAAGAATGCTTAACATTTTGCATTCCGTAAGCAAAATTTAATTAACCAACTGAAATTCCACTGATTGCACCCTCGCGCAAAGTGTAAAGAATGCCGACTCGCCTGTGACGCTGCCGAGAAGGGAATGATGGACTCGCTCTTGACCAACGCACTGGCTCCACATCCGCCCGTGTCACTGGACGATTCACCACCGGAGCTCACGATGAATGTGTCTGGCGTCGTCTCCATCTTTCCGCTGCTACTCTCACCCGTGGACGCCACACTCGCGCCGTCCGCCGGCGACCAGGGTGTTGGCAACTGATACGTGCTCTCCTCCAATCTCAACTCCAGCGTCTCCTGCATGGGAATCACCTCTGTACTCTCCGACGGACTGACGACTGTCATCGCCACGGACGTTGGAATACTATCGAGTGCTGCAGAGACACAGACACACGGATCAGTTACTTCTCCAAGAATTCCACCTTCTCCCGCGCCACACTCTCTCCACTCTCATCTCAGAAGCGCGTGTGTTGCGAAAAAAAAAAGAGGAGTTCGGGGCACAACATATAGAGTGAAGGGAGAGAGAAAGAAAGCGTGAGGAAAAGAGGATCAAATACAATATTTTCATATGAAATCAAACAATCAATTACGACGAAGAGACCAACATTATGTATATTCAAATTCTGGGAACTCACATTAATACGCCATGTTTATGTTTATGCGTTTTTTTTCATCATCATCATCATGTGTATAGTGGAAGAGAAGACAGAGGGAAAAGGAGAAACTCCAGAGGAAAGCAAACACACACAACACAGGGAGCACATCCCATACAGAAAACACGACAACGACTGCCCTCAGTCAGCCAAACAAATAACGAAGAGAGAGAGAGAGAGAGAGAGAGAGAGAGAGGGAGAGATTATCTATCAAACCCAGCGAATTATCATTTTCGTTACAAAAATATCCTCAAAATTTCCCGATAAGGCTACAGAAAACGGAACTTCTTCTTCTTCTCTCTACAACACTTTTCCCAACAACAGATTGAAGATCTTTTTATCATATATATTTTTTTTGTACATCAATAGCAAATTATTCTCAATAAAAAAAAAACAATTAATATCCATCAAAAGAAAAGAAAAACATTGATTATATAACATTGAATTGAATTATAACACTGAATATTCAAAAATTCAATTCATATCCACCTTTTCGGAACTCTGACGCCAAGTCCATTGGAGTGATCCAAAAAACCGGCCAAAAGCCGAAACTACCATGATATTCTATACATAGCAGAAGAGACTTTAGGATCTTTTTATCTGCACTCATTATATACAAACCCATTCTTTTTAGTACTCACAGCCAATTGAAAATTAAAAATACGAATCCCCGAAAAATTCCAATAAAGCCAATTTGCAATTAATCAAAATCATGCTGCGCTTTAGCACTTTTGAATGCATTGCGCCATAAGCTGCTAAATAGCTTTTGGATTGAGTGTTAAACAGTGCATTCTCACCTCGAGCCACAGCCGCAGCAAACAAATCAGCCTGAATGTCCTCGCCACTGCACAATTTGGGGCCAATTGACAGAGTTCCAGAGCCTGAAGAGAGTGTAGTAAAGAGAAGATAAGACAGTGTATAAACAAACATTTTTTTTAGTGATTTTTCACTGGAAAAACTGACAATTTAGTAAAAGTATTCACTGAAATTCATTTTTGATTAATTTTTTCATGTGTCAAAGAACTTTTTCACATCAGAAATGCAAAAGAAAAAAAAAACTCACCTTCATCGTCAGCAACAATCTCTCCGGACTCCAAGACGTAGTTCTCAGCGTCTGTAAACGTCTGCTCGATATTCTCATGATCCACCACATCAATTGGGATGTTCTGAATCGTGGGTTCGAGTTCCTCCACAGCCGCCGGATCGACACTGTTCTCACCACTACAATCCGCGAGCACAGAAGCACTCGATTGACTCTCCTCATCCGCAGCGCAGGGCAGAGCGTCTGTCTGCAGAATGAGAGTGCTGGGCTGAATCTGCAGCACTCCTTCGAAATTCTCCTGATGCTCCTCCAGACTGTACGTCGTGACAGTCTCCTCGTCGTCATCCATCATCTCCACTTCACTGGGCTTCTCCTCCTCCTCCTCTTCCTCCTCCTCCTCCTCCGGCACTTGCTGCGCCACGCATTCCTCCACAATCATCGGCACAGCCGACTCCACGTAGTCGTGCTCCTGCAGTGTCATCGTCTTCACCGGCGCCTTCTCCTCCGGGATCTCCTCCGCCGCCGCCGCTGCTGCTGCTGTCGCGTGGACAGCCGGACACTCCTCGGGTACGTCCATGGGCTCATCTTTCGGCTCATCTTTCGGCTCCTCCTTCAACACCTCCTCCTCGACACTCGGTGGGATTTCTGGGCCGTCCAGAGAGTCTGTCGTCTCCTCGGGCTTCATCACTTTGCTGGGCCCTTCCTCGGCTACAACTGGCGACGATCTCTTGAGCGTGGGCTCCTCCTCCTTCAATATCACAGTGACTGACTCTCTGGCCTCCTTGGCCACGGCCGGCACGCGTGTCGCCTTTGTGCGAATGGGCAGCAGGTCCGGCAGCGGGCTGCAAATCTTGCTCGGACTCTGCTGACTGTGCAAGCTGCCCGTGGTGCTCCTCGTCACCGCGCCCACCGTTCGCACGCGCTTCGGTGGCGTCGGCGGTGGCTCCACGACGGGCTTCTCCTCTTCCGGTATTGCCGTCGTGCTGGTGGCAATGGTCGCCGTAGGCTTGAGCTTGATAGTCGTCTTCAGAGACGGCCTGGCCGGCATCGGTGTGCCTTTCTTGCCCACCTTGTCGCCCCACATTGGCTCAAAGTGCTTCAGCTTCCACGGATCCAGACGCTGCTTGTCCCTCTCCGCCTCAGACTTCATCCTCAACTGATTCTCCGGCGTAAACTCACCCTCGGCCAGCCTCTCACGCCACTCCAGGCACGCCCTCGCGAAGAACTCATTGTTCAAGCTCGAACTGTTCAGCCTGATCCCACCCGGATCCTTCGACGTGCTCGCCTCACCCTGCTCATCCGGCCTGTCCACATGCGGCAGCAACTGCACCAGCTTGTGCTGATACAGCGGCGGCAGTATGCTGAACGTGTGCTTGTTCAGCAGCGCGCGCAAATTCGTGCCCACCAGAATCGAGTCTGGCGTTTCAAGGTCAATGCATCCCTCGCGCGTCTGCTCCAGCTGAGCCGCCGTGGACATCTTCTTGTTCCTCCGCCGCGGCTTCACGCTGAAGCCCGGAATCGACGCCAGAACCTCACGCATTGTCGACGCTTGCGATGTTGGCGGTGTTTCCGGTTGACCCTTCATCGACTTCATGATGATCCTCGGCACTGAGCGACGCAAACTGTGATGATGCTTAATGACCTTTGGCGCTGGCGCAACAGGAGACGCTTTGGCTGTTGCCACTGTGGGAGGAGGAAGTAGAAATTGATAGAGAAAACCAGTGAAAAATGCTTAATTAGTTTATCAATATTTCCAATTAGTCCCAATTAATTTTGAGGTATTTTAAAATCAGGACTGCAAATTATGAGCATGTTGAAATGCAACGATGAAAGGGATAAAAATAGACAACAAAGAGTCACAGGAAATTTAACCCTTTAACCAACTATTTCATTTCATTTTTACACTCATTTTAAAAAGATACAAATTTTTCAAAAATTCCAACTCTGGTGGAAAGTTACAATTTTACTTACTTTAGATTCTGCTTTAGAATCTGACTTTTGAATTACCATTTAACCGTGAATTTCACCACAAACTTTAAGAAAACTTTTAATTTCTCTGATTTGTATTAAGGATAAAAAAGATTGAATGATTTTGTGATATGAATTCTATGCAAAACCCTTGACATTTTCCCAGGAATTGTGAAATCAATATAGGAAGCGATTTTCACTTTGACGATTTTTTTTTTCACTTCCAGGAATATCCAGGGTATTTCAATACACATTCATCTCATATATATATATATATATATGGTGAATCTGTGCTTTATAGATTCAAACGATATGCTCTTTTGTTTTAATAATTCCTCACTCTGGTTATGGAATTTATGGAACTTACCAAAGAGCCAAGCAAAATGCCTGAGTGCCTTCTAATTGGACTCAAATTCCCTTCCTATTTGCCTCTATAGAACTTTTCCCAACTCGCACCTGCGAACTTGTTGCACTCAACGCTCCCCAGATACTGAAATCCTGTTGTGCAATTTCATTACGAGCCCACAAACTCCCTCTCCAACCACTTTTCCTCATTGACAAACGCACGCATATAGAGAGGATATTTTTCCCGTCAGTACTTCGCTGTAATTCAATTTTCCACGTCCCTGCGCGGTAAATTCGAGAATTTTCAGCAAGCCTTTTCCCCCACTGCACCACATGCAGCGCCGGGATACACTATAAATAGTCAAACCCTGGGAATTCCAGGAATCACAATTGCAGTCTCTCTTACCCACTCTCTGCAGCGTCGCACGCCTGGGCGTGGATTCTGGCACCTCGGGCTCACTGGGCAGCACCTTGGCGGCCGGCGGATCGGACTGCACGGCCGATGCATCCTCCAGACTCTCCGACAGGATGACCTCCTCCTTCTCCGGCACTTCCGTGATGGTGAACTTGACGATCTCACTTCCGGCGTCCTCGGCAACGCCGCCACCCGCCTGCTCGGGTGTCACATCGCACTCCATAGTCCCCTGCTGTCCTCACACGCACTCCCGGCGACCTGAAAGCGGTGGGAAGTGAGTGAAAATTGATTTTTCCGCCAGCCTCCTGCCCAGGCCCAGGCCAAACGTCAAAATGTCAGACATTTGGGCAAACACCCTTTTTCCGCCCCCAAATTCCCACCTCCACGCCCACCCGGCGGCCCCTCGTGGCATCTGCGGTCCATCTTACCTCACATTGCCATGGAATGCACGCCCTGGGCGGCCTCGAAAGCAGCAAAAAGTGGCAAATGGCTCAAAACAGGCGATGAAATTCCTTTGTCATGGAGCGCCCTATCAGCAACATCGGCTTTTCCCTCCTCCGGCCAAGCAAACCCCCGCGGGGCACCAGCAACACGCCGCAATCACGCCCAGCACTGCCCGGGACACTGGGGCGTACTTTTCACTTGGGAAATGCACGCGAATCGTCGTGAAAAGTGGCAAATTATGCGAAAATTTTCCAATCAGACGCGGATTTGTTATACAACTGTTCTACACACCATCAGCGCCCCACGCGGCACATGACACAATCTTAGGCGTGAAGTTAATTGCAAGACAGCTCGTCTAAAGTCGCGGCGTGAGTGTTTTTTTTCGGCCCCAAGAAAAGCGCAGGCAAAACAAAAACATTGGCATCCCTCAGGAAAAATCTCGCCAGCATTCTAGGAAATAAATTGGGACCCATGAAGCCCACAATTGTGGCCGACGAAATGTTCCCCGAAGGGGCGGGACCGTTCATGGATCTCGAGGAGGTGAGTTTTGTTGTACTCTGGTGGAAAATTCCCATGCACTGACGCACGGTTTTCCCCATCTTTCCCCCACCCCAGGCGGGAGGCTCTTCCGGACTGCTGATGGATCTGGCGGCCAATGAGAAGGATGTGCACGCGGATTTTTTCAATGGTAAGTTGTAGCTAAAATCACCATTGAGATGAAACAAAAATCCCCTAAAGTGAGGTTACGTTTTGCAGCCTTCGAGGATCTGTTCGACGAGAGCGATATGCAAATCTAGCGCTCCGCCCCAAGAAGGAAATCACAATGTTTTTACGGTTCCACATTTAAAATTTAATATATCTTAAAAGGTACAAAAAATCTTTCTTCTTGATGCTTTTTCTCTCTTCTTGAGGTCTGAGAAAATATTTCACTTCTGCCCGCGTCGGGCGGAAAAGGTGCTTCAGCGGGGCGCGCTCTAGAGCACCCCCATCGGATCGGTGTTCTCAAGAAGGGTAAAATAATTCATTATATTGTACTCTTCGCACACTGAAGAATAATTACGTTTAACAATTCTGCCTTTTTCCATCTCATTTTGTATTATTGATTTTACCTCAAATAGTGCTCAATATTCTTCCCCATCAAATCTACTTCACAATTCACTTATAGTAAAAATATTTTAAAGTTTATAAGGTACTGACTACTTTTAATTTTTTTTCCATCCTTAATTCATTATGTCTGTGTGTGTGTGTTTGTATTCTGCCAATATAACATCAATTCGTTCACTAATTTTTCTTCTCTCAAATGTTTACATTTAATTACTCTCCTTATCGAATGGCAATTGACCATCTCTGCTCCCCCTCGAGACGTCCAAAGACTCTCTCTCTCTCTCTCTTTCTCTCTCCGGACAACGTCTAAGAAGTGCAACGGGGACAAATAAGACTCTTTCTCTACATTCTATTGCAAACAGACAAGCTCTGTTCCTCTTTATAATCTCTCTTCACAACATCCGCGAAAGTCCTGCCCTTCCGCATCTCTCTTCTGGTGCTTCGCGAATCAAAAAATGGGGCAAAAGAATCGTTAGACAAAAAAGAAAAAAAAATCAATTAGATACTCTTGCTCTAGCTTAATTCCCATCGCTCTGATCAGACATGTCGTCGTCCTCGAGATCAGCACTGTCCTCAATTTCGTGCTTGGGCGAAAAATACGAACTGTGGCGTCCGCTCTCGTTCATGTCCCAGTCATCTGACAAGCTCTCATCCGAGCCCCTGCCGTAGGCTGCAAAGAAACGCACAAGAAGCGCCTTTATTCGTCAGTAAAGCATGCTTAGACAGCTATAAAAATTCAAGGTAGAATTTTTTCGAAAAGATAGAACATCAGAAGTCTGTTAATTTCAACGATATTAAGTCACAATTTGCCATTCGTATTGACGGCAATAAACGCATATTCCAACCACACGGGGCTACTCACATTCAATGTACTTCCAGAACTGCTGTGGTACCATCGTCTTGAGCTTCTCAATGTCCTCATATGTGCTCTCGCCCTTGTCCAGACCCAGCAAGAGTCCCATCTGTTTCAGGACCTTCACGTGGTCGTGAATCTCAAATTTGTCATCAAACTTGAAGAAGTACTCCGTCCTGTGGTAAGAATTTCCACCCTTTTTAGTCACATATTCAATCGCGCTCGCGCGGCAGTGAATTTGGAACATCGCGGGAACGCAGGATAATCGCGAGACAGGGAATTATCACACACACACACTCATCTGGGAAGCTTGAAAAGACGTTTTGCCGGAAGGACGTTGAGGAGACAAATACGGGAAAGTCACTTACTTGTCGTGAGATATGCTGCAGTTGATGTGAGTCTCTTTGTGTGTATTAACAACTACAAAAGGCAATTGTATGGCAGAATTGGGCGTGGGAATCAATCCTCGCTGTTCTGCCTCCTTGTTTCGCGCCACGAGGCTCTTGAAAGAGACTTGCTGCGGAGGAGAGAAAGCACGCGCCATGTCAATGCACAAATCAACACACAAAAATATTACAGCAATATTTACCAGGAGAATGAGTTCCTTGAGTGTCTGCGCCTTGGTCTCGATGCGCTTGCGACGCTGCTGATTCTCCAGCTCAAGATTCGTGCAGCGCGCCGTGGAGTTAGACGGCAAGCCAATCCAGCGGATCTCCTTCTTCTCCTTCGAGATGATATTCATCGCCATAAGCACATTCAGGGCGTCGTACACGCGGCGCCGGATGTTCTTCTGGTCGCAGCTGGACGGATCCATCGGATCTGAGCGGCTGCTGTCCAACTCCTCCGCCACCAGCTCGTCCGCCACCTCGTTGTACGTCGTGATCATCTTCTCCTTCACCTTCTCGCACACCTTCATGGAGAAGTGGCGCAGCCCTTTGCCCAGCTTGTCCGACTTGCGGCGGCGCGACTGCACGCCGCCTGTGGCCACCGGCGTGCCATGGCCGCTGCTGGCCGGCGAGAACGACGACGCGCTCATCGTCGTCACCGTGTGCGTTGCCTTGCCGCCCAGCGCCGGGCTGTGGCCCGCCGGCGTCTGCCCGGGCGACTGCATGAAGTTGAGAATGCGCACCGGCTGCTTCGCGTCCGTCTTTGTCTGTGGAATGGTCATCAATTCTGCGGGCGAGAGAAGTGCGTGCTTAATTCACCCTCCAAAGAAGTCATCCAGCGAAAACCACCACGTCACAGCCAAAAGCGTGTCTATCTCTCAGCGCGAATCTCACTGATAACGCAATGTGAGTGCATTTAACACTCAAAATTATTAAACAATTCATCGAAGCTCTTAAATGCACACTAAATTATCTTTGACGGAGAAAAAAAATTATGAAACCACTAAATTAAGCACCTCATAATAGAGCTTACATACGTGTGGCTTAAGGTTTATGAATGATAAAGCTTTCTGTTCTAAATCAGCATTTTAGTACTATTTAAGAATACGAAATCCACTAAACCTTTAATCCAGAAGTAATAAACAATAATTTCTCTCTGGTTTGCAAAGAAAGTGAAGAATAGTGCATAAAAAATGTTTGCAAAACCTAATAACAAATGTATTTTTCAAAGCTTTTCTCTTGTAGAAAAATCAAGCTTAAAAGCACTGCAAAGTCTCACTTTTGTCTTGCTCAAGTAATTGTTTTGTGAAAATCTCTTGGACATTCGCAGAAATACTCGGCACAAAAACGCTGTGGGTTTAAGCTTGGACTTGAGCCCACACAGTATAAACACGGCATAAGCAATCACTCAAATTCTGATACTCACTGGAATTTTGTGGCATCGAGAACTTCTGACCCATGCGACTCGTGGAGGTTTGCTGCAAAGACAAGGAAGACACTCGTAGAGTCCCGCCGTGGGCATTGAGATTGCCGGACAAGTGATACTCACTGCTGCCGTGAGGACTCTCGTGGCCTCCTGGCCCGTCACCTCCTTCACAATCGCCTTCACACCGTCCGCCGTGAGCGGCCTGCCGTTGGCCGAGGGCATCACCTTGATCACCTGCTTCTGGCCTGCAATCAGGAAGCGCGCCCCATGAGACTTTCGCGCCATTTTGTCGCGCAGCAACCCCAGCACAGTGACGTCAGGACAGGAGCCCCGAAAAGGCCGACAAGGCGGAGCAAACGCGCGAGAGCGACAGAGATGCAGAGATGAAGAAGTGCGGAAAGAAAGAACCGAAGCGGAGGAATGCGATAAAAAAGGGGAAGTTTTTTGATAGCGTGGGTCCTCTTTTCCACCGCTCTAAGCTGCGTTCTGTCGGTGGGGGGCCTCGGTGGCCCTTTTGGGTAAATTTTCCGAGCTCTGGGGGCCGCTGCGGAGCTCCATGTGGAGGGAAATTCAGGGAAATCTGGGGGTGCTTTTCAGGGGGAATTTCAATTAAGTTGGGGGCAATTTTCCGTGCCAAAAACTCCATCGATTTGCCAATGAGACTCTCAGGAGTGCAACAAAGTGCACCCGGAAGCTGTAGATGGTGGGCAAGTGGGGGAAAATGAGGCTTTTCCGGGACGCGCAGCACTAATAGGAAAGCCCAAAACAGCCGCTTTGCTGTGGAAATGCTTCCACTCACCATTGGAGTCCTGAATGAGCAAATTCACCGGCTGCGCCATCGCTGCTCTCAGGCGAGATTCCCGATCACCTTCGCGCACACACTTGCACCACGAGATGCGATGAAAAGTGAGAAAAAGGTGGCTGTGAAAAGTGTGATTTTAGCTTTTCCCAACCGCGTTCAGTTGTCGGACAAAATGGCGTTTTGGCGAGATCACAAATGTGGCATTTTCTTTGCCAGCGATTTTCCACCACACCGCACACACGGATTACAGATGTCTCCTTGGTGTTTTGCCACTGGCACACACAGCTTCCGTTTAGGTGGTTTTTTCGGCTACTAAGCACACTTTGCCGGCCACAATGAGTAATTGAAATTCACCAATTCTGTGCAATTTCTGCGTCGAGAGCTTCGGGAACCGCGGAAAATGACATGACAACCCTCGTCGAGTGCACATAACCTCAACATCGCAGAACTCGTCTAAACGTCACGGAGGCCGTCGTAGACCAATTTTCACTGTTTTCACCAGCTTCCAGAGCGAAAAGACGGGTTTTCCACTCAGCCGAGCCATTTTCCTCGCTTTTTGCACACTGTGTGCGTTGCTCTCGTCTCTGTGGCGCTGTTCAGTGCGAAAAAAGGCTGATTACGGTTGTTTCCTTCCAGTTATCTCAACATAATGAACAACCTCCTTCCGGACAATGTTTTGGAAGTAATCTTCTCATATCTGGATCTCCGGGAGCTGCGTGACTGTTCGCTGGTGTGCAAAAACTGGTATCGCTACCTCAATGACGAGAACAATGACGTGTGGCGGATGCACTGCGTGCGGAAGCTGGCAGAAGAGGCCATCAAGAGTGACTTGCTGTCCACCTTGCCATCGTACAAAGCCAAGCTGCGGGCCTTCCATCACGCCTGGAACCCCAATGACTGCTCCCGCAACGTGTACATCAAGCCCAACGGCTTCACACTCCATCGTAATCCCGTGGCGCAGAGCACGGACGCGACGCGTGGCAAAATTGGTTTCCGGCAGGGGCGCCACGCGTGGGAGGTGATCTGGGAGGGACCCCTGGGCACCGTGGCGGTCATAGGCATCTCCACGAAGGCCGCTGCGCTGCAATGTCACGGATATGTGGCGCTTCTGGGTGAGACAGTCTAATTTATGCAGCGCTGTTTGTCTCTTATTGACGCTCTTTGGCCATCTTCCAGGTTCGGATGAACAGAGCTGGGGCTGGAATCTAGTGGATAATCACCTGCTGCACAACGGCGACGCTCAGGGCAACTATCCACTCCTCAATAATGCTCCCAAGTACCAAGTCGGCGAGAGGATTCGCGTGATTCTCGATTGCGACGACAACACGCTGAGTTTCGAGAAGAACTACGAATTCCTGGGCGTGGCGTTCCGCGGACTACCGGATAAGAAGCTGTACCCCACAGTCTCGGCCGTGTACGGCAACACGGAGGTGTCGATGGTGTACTTGGGGCCGCCGCTGGACGGTTAATAGTGACGAGAGAGAGAGAAAGAAAGAGTAGCAATTCCCAAAGACACTCCCAAAAACCCCCGGCGTTCATGATGACGACAGACTGCGTATAATTCTAAGGTCCGCAACCGAACGGAGATCTTATATCCCCCCCCCCCCCAGAAAACGTACAAACACGCCCTTCACTTTCATTTCCGGGAGACGCGAGAGCCGAGGGAAGTGCAGAGAAGAGTGTGGCAGAGACAAGAATACCATCGATGCCTTGTGCTAGTGGCAAATTCAATGGATTCGCTTATTTCCGGGCGAGAATGGGAGTATTTTCTTCTATTGTTTTTACTTTACTCATTGAGGGGCTCTTCTCAGCTGACTTTCAAACTAAATCCCAGTTTTAATCTCAAGCTTCCACTTCAGGTTCCCAAAAAAAAAACAGCTGAGAAGCTCCTCACCTGCAATTATGATCTCATTAAGTTATTAAGCAATTCCTAGGCAAAAGAAACTACGTTATCGTGTCATATTTTAACTTATATATTTATCTTTAAGACTAATCACAAATTGTTATGCATTTTATCGAAAGGCGAGCGACTTATTTATACACCAAAAGAGTGGATGGCAAATGGAGAAGACGAAAAAATATATAATGTGCAGATTTTAGTCACTATTTTGTAGGGTTTTCTTTAGGGCATTCTTTTCCCTCCTCAACATAAATTCCTCCTTCCAAGAGTTTTTAAGTAGAAAGAGAAGACAATTAATCAGCATGAATCAATTTTAATCTTGTACATAAATGTAAAAGAAAAAAAACCAACAGTAAATCTGGCGATTGTCGTGTGTAATGCAGAAAATGATGTCTTGCAACATGAATTTACAGTGGCGGAAAAGATTCTTAAATAAATAAGATATTCTTTGACTAACACGAGTGTTTGTTCAACTGTTTTTCCTCTGTTTCCCTGCAAAGTATAAAAGGAAGAGAGATTTATGGTGGATTTTCCAGTTGGAATTTGCAAATATGCAAAGAATTATTATCAGTGCATTTGGAATTTTGTGCTTGGTTTTTGCAATTTATTGCACTGAAACCAAGAATTCTACCCAAAGCAATGCCAATAAAAGTGAAGTCTTCAAAATTTACTGGAATGTTCCAACGCATCTGTGTAAAAATCACATAAAACATAACGTTACATTTGATCAACTCTTAACAGAATTGAACATAATTCACAATATTAATGATTCCTTCAGAGGAGAAAAATTCAACATTCTTTACAGTCCTGGATTGTGGCCATCGCTTGAGCATAACAAATGTATGTATTTTATGCTAGATTAGTTAAGTGCAAAATTTACTTTCAATTGAATCTCTTATTGTCTCTCAGCTGTAAATGGAGAAATGCCACATCATGGAAATCTAAGCTTACATTTAACAGAATTGAAGAATTATGTTAATCATAATATCAGTGATAATTTCACTGGTTTAGCAGTGATTGATATGGAATCTTGGCGTCCAATTTTCCGACAAAACACCGGATGGATGACCATTTATCGCGAACGTGTATTTGATGAAGTGATAAAGGATAATTGTACCTTAAAAGGACAAAACATTACCTTAAAACTTGTGAATGCGACAAATTTGATATTAAACCAGAATTATTCAGCTTTATCTTTGGAAAATGGCACTTTACGAATAGATAATAATACTTTTAAAATGGAAGAAAATTCTATTAGCCTCAATCATGTGGAAAATAGTACTTTAGGACGTTTAACACTGGAAAACTGTTCATTAATACTGAAAAACCACACTTTAAAACTTGAGAATTGTGCAATAAAACTGGAGAACTGTACTTTAAAGCAATTCGAAGGCAATCTTAAGGAGTTGGATAAAGAAGAAAATAAGTCTTTTCGCAATTATATATTCAAGAAGGCTGCTGAAATATTTGAACCCATGGCGAAGATGTTCATGAACGAGAGCATCGCCTTAGTGAAGAAGTTAAAATCAAATGCGCACTGGGGATATTATGGCTTTCCCTATTGTTTCAACATGAGATCAAATGATAGAAATGAAAGTTGCCCGGAAATTGTCCAGAAGGAGAATAACAGGTGAATGTCGAACTTTTCTGATTTTTCCTACTCCCAAACCAACAATTATTTTTTTCATTTTACAGGACTGACTGGCTATTTAAGTCCTATGATTACTGGTTTCCTTCCGTCTACATTTCCAATGATAACTTCACAGAAGATGAACGCAGACAACTTGTAAGCGGAAGAGTGACTGAATACAACAGAGTTCGTAAATTTAGCAACAGTAAGGCAGAGATTTATCCTTACGTTTGGTTCCTTTACAATCTCCGCGATGAATATCTGAATGCGACTGATATGAAAATGACACTGGAAACCCTCAAAAATGGCACAATGAATGGGGCCGTGATTTGGGGCTCGTCGGCCAATATTAAGAATGAAACAATGTGCCAAAATCTTTATAATTATGTCAATGGAACACTAAGATCAGTTCTACAAGAATTAAAATTAATTAATAATTCACTACAAGTATAAGAGGAAAATAAAGCTTCTTCTTAGGGAATTCTACGTAAATCCGCAGCAAAACTCTTTTTTACTAGCTAGAAAAGCTCTCTTTATTCACTTCTTCTCACTTTATCACAAACCCCCTATTTCTCAGTTGATGTCCGGCAGGATTTTCTCCTCAGTCTCACTGAATTCCTCCTCATCTTCGCTCTCCACGTCACAATCTGCATTGTCTGAATTTTGGTAAAACAACCTGTTCGTGAAGCTCTGAAAGCGCTTCGTGGCGCTCGGCAGCGGCATGGTGATCTGCAGGAAGTCATCATTCATCTGCACCATCTTCTTCCACATCGTTGTCCTGATCTTCTTCTGCGGCGACTCCTCCGGCGCCACTGCGGACGCTCCTTTGCCCTTGAGAGCCCTCTTCTTCAGCGCCTTCTTGCGACTGTCGCCCGAAATCGCCTCGAGCGTCGTGTCGGGATTGAAAATTTCATTGATCCTCCGCAGTCCGGACAGGATCTCAGCGGCGCAGTTCGACTGAGGCAGGAGTTTGTCGTTCCGCGGATCCTTGAGGCCCTCCTTCATCTCATTGTATCCCAATTCGACGAGTTGCAGCGCTGTGAGAATTCCACTGCGTTCGCCAACGAAGTTCATCAAATCCTTCTTCACTCCATTTTCTGGGTGGCTTGGCTGCTCGTCGTTGTCAGAGTCCACTTCCTGCTGGTTCAGGTACCGATCAAAGCCGTACTCTTCGTCAGTCGCCACGAAGAGGAACGCGTTGATCTGCACCAGCTTCCAGAACGCCAATCTGGCCTGGATGAACTCTTCCGACAGCGAAGCTTTGTCCACAAAGGCCTTCAGGATCTCCCAATCCGACTGACGAATGCGGATCTTTGTGAACTCCTTCGCGGGCTGCTTCAGATAGAGGCTGTAGAGAAGATAAAAGGCTCCCAATTGTTCCCGGAAGTGTGCAGCCTTCGCGAACAGGCGCTTTACGACGGGAATGGCGATATCTGTGAATTCTATGAGTTCGAAAGTCCTGGAGAATCCGCTGGAGTGACAAGGAGACTCATTAGATCAGAGAAGTTTGGGGAAAATCAGAGAAAGCGAAGAAAACTCACTGAAAGATGTAATAAAACTGATGTTTTGTCCACTGTTCGCAAAATCCATTGAAGGAATAATTTTCTTCAGTCACAAAATCTGATATGAGATTCTTGCAATCCAGCTCAAAAGCACTGTCTTCCATTTTCCAGTGTTTTGGCGAGGAAAATGCTTTACTTTACGTTTGCAGAGAAAACCAAAACAATCCACATAACCTCGCTTTTCGCATTCGCGCGTCAACAAAAATCTTTCAATTCCCCATCACCAGAGGGAGAATTCGAATCTTCCCTGTATAACGGCTAATCAGCACTTCAATCCAATGAAGATTTCATCTTTTTCAGTCTCTTGCGCTCCTCCTTCATTTCAATCCCTTTCCCAAGTAATTTCTCCATCACTTGAGATCTCAAGCAGCACCCAAACAAGCGTCCAAATTCCACTGCATCGGCGCAAATGTGATAATGTCTCGACCCTTCGTAATTGCTTCTCAAGAACACACATTAGAAAAGTTTCCTCAATTTGTTATGTGTCACAAGGATTAATAAAGAAAAAAAAAGAATGAGGACACTTTCGAGTGGATTTTCTGTAACCATTTCCAGAGATCCAGACGCACGGAAAAGAGAGATTGTTTACCAGCCAAATGTTCATACATGACTTTCACATGTTCGGGGCGAAAGGACCTCACGCGATTTACGGTCAGTGTGTGAATGTTGAGAAATGGGGCGATAAATCATGCAGCAGGAAAAACATAGGAGAGACACTAATCGATCGTCCTGGGGATCTTCTTTGCGAGAATAAATAAACAAAGAGACAATTTGTGATCATCAATTAATATATCCGCTTGGCTTGTGACAATTTGCCATTGAATGATTAATATCCGATGATTTGTCGCTGGATCATTAGGGTATTTTTTCCCGGTGGCAGCGGCGCTTTTTGTCAGCCGAAATTAGGAGGTCGGCATCGCAGCTATTTTGGCTCCATCGATCTTGTCGAGGAAGTGTCGCTCGTTGAGGAGAGATCAAATGGCTGATGAGTTTGTTATCCTTGTCAATCAAATTGGCAGCTTTTGGGAGTGTCTCTCTTGTGTAATTCAACACGCCAAATTGATACACTTCGGTCTCTTCTCTGCCGCACAACGCCAAACGCCAAATGATTGGCCATCCATCCGGAACAATGGCAAGAGATCACACAGGATCATCCTTGCGCGGGACAGCTACCCATTAGCCACACACTCTCTGGCGTGCAGCATGATTTATCTGCGTAGGGCTAAGAGAGTGTTTATTTTGTCTTTCTCCTCCGGAGACTCTCACATAAACAACATCAATTCCCTCTTTCTCCCATGCAAATGCCCAATGCGAAAAAAAACACGCGCGTGAGACAAAAAAGAGGCCAAAGAGAAATGGGAAGAAGTGACATAATTTTTATGACTTTCAGTCTGATCTTTTTCTTCTCAAAAAAAAACCTCCAGAGCGATGTTACGCCGACATCTTTGACACTCCAGAAACCCACCCCTTTTTCGCGATCAACACCAGCCAAAGTTGCAGCCATAAAAGCCTCTTTGCGGCACAGAGAGAAAGAGTATTTTTAGCCAAATCTCTGCTGATCACCGAAGCGCATTTAATGGATCCTAACATCTGCGGAAGAGGCTGATAACGACGTGTCAATGGGATTCGCGGACGTCGGCCCGTCTGGATGTCTTTCTCACATTGACTACACGCTTTTCGCCATGTTACTTGTCTAATTTGCAGGAAAGTTTATTTGGCACATTGAAATTATTGTTACATCAGCTTTAAAGCAGCACAAATCCATGTTGTGAATCGGCGAGACTTCATTCAAAGAGGTCTTTGTCAGCTTCACCTGCAAAGGATATTGCGAGGATATTTAGATTGTGGATGTTAATTGGAAAGAGGATATTTAAGTATATATTGAAATTTTTGAGACACTTTTCGCGATAATTTGAGCTGAATTGAACAATTTTCTGTATGGATTAACATTGAAATTAACAGAAAATGTACTTTTGTATTTTTTCAATCTGCATTTTTAAATTATTTCGTTTTTAAAACCTGATTTCATCATCAGTTTTCTAATAATTTTCCTTAAGATTATAATTTTTAATATAGTTTTCGATATTCTCACCTGGGCACAAAATCGATGTATCCTGTGTGCCGCATGGGCGCGTAGAAACCCTGGTGGTAGGCGCCGGAGTAGGAGGGCACGGAGACCGGCGGCGGTGGGCCAGGCGGCGTGAGCTTGAACTTGTCGTAGGGACTGGCATAGCCGTTGCTCGCCAGGTGGTGATGATGATACAGTGGCCCAAAGGAGCTGGCTTCGGAGGCGTACGGCTGTCCCAACGGCGAAGTGGCCGCCAGGCCCGCCTGTGGGCTCTGCGAGAAGCGGCCGGGCTGCAGGTTGGCCGGCGGCGAAACGCCCTGGTGTAGATCGGCGGCAGCGGGCTGAAGGTGCGGCGGAAAAGTCTCCTCGTCCATGACTTCGGGTGAGAGAAAGTGATGGGGAAAATAATCAAATTGGAGGCAAAGGCATTTCCACACTTCTCTTCATGTATCTTGTGCCACTCATGATTAAACAAACGACTGTTTATTTTTTCACAAACAGACAACGAGAATCAGTGGAGGGAATCTTTTTTCATCTCGCCACTTGGCTTCTGTTTTTTTTTCGGTGGGCTCACCTTTGGGATTCGATGCGGAATTTGACGATCGGGAGGCTGAAGATCGCGATCGTGTTGAGTTTGATGGCGGCTGCTGTGGCATGTGAACACCATTGATCATCTCTTGAGATCTGCAAGGATGGGAAAAGGTCACATTTCACAGGCATTCCCAGCGATCGCTACTCGATATCGGTTGCATCACACATGGCAAAGAGTTGAACATGGAGGAGAGCGATTAATTTCCTACGATCAAAGGGCTCCTCGTCAACCGATCTCTCTACAAATTCTCAGAGCCACTTTCCTCCAGTGCTCAATATGTTGTAAACATGATCACGATCATGATGCTCACTTTCTCCCCTCGACCCGAAACGCCCAGCAAAGGCGCAGCACTAAATTTTAAAATGGTGCATCTAATTCGGTTTTACATGTGGTTCCCGTCCCGGTACTTAACTTACGGTGATGTAAACACTTCAATTTTTGATTCATTGCGCTTCGTTGATCCCAATGCGATCCTCAAAACGCACACAGAAAAAAAGGCAATGGTCTCAACAGCGACAAAGTGCATTGGACGCTTCACGTGATCGTCATGAGACTTTTTCAACCCTATAGACTTCACTCTGCAACTTCATAAATAATGACAACTCATGCGTTGAGTTTTCACGAGATTTTACGACTCGGCTCTTTAGATCAGCTCCTCAAACTCTAAACATCTCTTCACGGGCTTATGGAAAGCCGCAGAAATTGACGTGCTAAATCACTTTCAGTCAGAATATCAACATAACAAATTTTCATCCACTTAATTAGCAAGATTTTCCACCCAAGTCGAGGAAGTAAAAATGCTCCACTAACGAAATAAATCACCGCAATGGTGAGAAATGCAGCCAGAAATAGGCCACAGATCGTTTAATTGCTTTCCCCCAAATTTATTTACTCAATCATATTTTTCTAATTAAACTGCTGACTTTTGTGGAGGAGGGGGGAGTTGAAGATTTCTTGTTTATGAGACGCCAGTCCGAAGTGGCTTAAGAGATTAGTTGCTTGAGACATTTAAGCGATGAAATTGTGAAATATTGTGTCATCAGCGAAAGCTCATGTCAAATTATTCACCAGTGGCCAGATGGAAGGACAAAAAATCAGCTGGTTTCGATCCTTTAAGAACTTTGGTAGCAGTTTTTTTTTCACTTCTCAGCGTGAATTTCCTCAACGTCATGCGGAGAATGGAGAAAAATGCGCTTGAGAGGAAAAAGTTTCGAGAATTTATGATCTTATTTCGCCTCAGCATCTCTAATTTATCGCTCTTTCGCATCAACAATGGGGGTTTTTTCGTATTTATTGAACTCTCTGAAGGCAGGAAGAGACACTTTTTCGGGCCCCTGAACATTTGGGTGTGTTTATCAAATTGGCGCCTTTTTCGCGGAACAGGATATTTGGTAGAGAGATTTGTGCTCACGATGGTCTTGAGAAATGAATGTGATCACGCACAGATTCTTTTCACCTCCTACCACATATCTAAATGGTTAATGGTGAGCAAATAAACAGACTTTTTTCCATTAAAACTACCCATCTTTTGAGCAAATAAACAATCTCGCGGCCCATATGAATTTCTTTCCATTTTTCATCTGTGGCAATCTCTATCGCGATCCAGGCTATAATTCCCAATTGTCCGTCTGTCGGTGGGCTGAATGTTTGGATTAACTTTTAATTAAATTAAGTGCAACATAATTTTCTCACTCTCAGGAAAACTTTGATTCGCTTCTCTGTAACAGTTTTTCTGCCACACTTCCCATGTTCTTTCCCCAGAGCATGTGAATGTTAAAGGTACATTTATCACTCGGAAAAGTATGTAAACATGACACTTTGAAGGCTCAGCGTCAGATCATAACTTTATTTATAGTGTAAAAGAAGCATTTTTATTCATTCACCTAACACATCGCCTCAATGGAAACACTTGTAATTAATTTAATGAGAAAAGTGCCACTCAATTTGCCATCTAATGAGCGGGAAAATTCATAATGATTTCTACAATACTCACTCATCCGTTGAGTCACTCTCTCGGAAGCCCTTGGCGAAGGGATTGCTCACAATTTTCAGTTGAGTGACCTAAAAAAAACAGTGAATAAACAGAAAGAAAAAAATAGAAGATTTTAAAAAAGAAAAACTGTGTCATAAACATTTTTGTGAAAACAGAACCGCAAGGGAAAATAGAAGAAGAAGTAAAAAAAAAAGAACGTCTCTCATTAATTTCAATTATTTCCCAATAAGCAGAGCAACCAAAAAATCGCGTCATAAATCCAGAAGGTGCCACGTCATAGATATTTATTTTCCGCTGCGCGTCTGGCGAAAAGAGGCAGAAAAATCATAAATTGATCTCATGCGAGAGTTGGAGCACATGAATAAATTTCCATGGCGACACTTCACATATCATCTTGGGAAAAATTATACCCAGATCGACTCCTACCTCCCGCAGGAAACTTTATGCCCTAATATCTGTCATGCATTCCGGACGATCGCACTGGCGTCAAGCATATTTCACTATTATTGCCGCGCTCAGCATTTATTAAATTTTCACTCTCCCCCTCAACTTGGCACCTCGTGAATCGCGCGCGCGGGAAAAGACCCACAATTGAGCTGGGGAGAAGATGGAATAAATTGGCTTCCTCTTGATCGAGAGACTCACTCTTTGGTTCTGATACGCCGTCACGGCCGTGAATGCAGTCTCGGGAAATGTGAAAGTTCTGTAGTGACTCTGTTCTTCGGCAGCCGCCGCGGCGACCCCAACTCGCGACGCCGTGACCTTTGGCGGAAGGTACACAATGTGGAAGCGCGGCTGGTAGCGATGCATCGAGTTGAGGATGATCTGCAGAAGTGATCATTAATCCAGCATTTATCAGATTGTAGCAAAGAGGTTTTATTGAGTATTTTTTGTTGTTTTTGTTTTGTATATTTGTTGTATTTTTTAAGCAAAAATCCAAAGGTATTTAAAAGAGGTTTTCAATTATGATTAGTTTGTACTTGATTTCTGGATTCTTACATGTCCGTTCTCGTCCAGTTGATTATTTGTGAGCTTCAGCTTGTCAAAGGAGACAATCTGCTTCATCCACGCCGCTCCTGGGGCCGGAGAGTCCGGATGGACGTGGATGCGAGGCGGGGAAATGGGATCAGCCTTGCCAGCCACAACCCAACTCGAGCTTGCAACGGAATTTGTCGGAAACTTAGAGCGAAGGACCGCATGAGGAGTTTCTTGGGAAGCTTACCTGTGGAAGGCGTATCTGTAGCGCTTGTCGTCGCAGGGCACGAAGTCCATCAGCATGATGTAGGTCGCCTGCGGATCCAGCCCGAAGATGCGCACCTGGAACGTGGGGAACATCCTGCGGCCGGTCTTGGTGACGATCATCTCTGTGCCCTGCTCGTGGAACTTGTCCCACAGCTGCTTCGTCTCCAGCATGACGCCGGCCGTGCTGAGCGCGGGATGCGGATGGCCAGGAGTGTCCTCGTCCCTCTTGCTCCTGGCATTCTTGACAGACTCCGCGGCAGCATCTTCGGGCTCCGCGCCATTGGATCGCGTGCGCTCCTCCGGCCTCAGGCTGTGATCTATGTGCTCGAGTGGCTTGTACGATGATCTATCTTTGCCAGCGCTCTGCAGGCACGCTGAAAGACACATCCCAGAGCGGAAGGGAGGCGAGATGAGTGATGTTGCAGCACAAAAGAGGCCCAAGTTTGAGCCCAAGTGATAACAGAAGAAAGGAAGAGCGCGAAGGAACATGTGTTGAGCACAGAAACATAGTTTATTGTCCACCAAAATAGACAAATGGTGATATTTTATCTAGGCAACAAAAAAATTATCGCAGATTTCGTGAGATTATTTTCCTGTAGAAACATTTTAATCCAATAAATTATTCCCTCTTTCAGCGTGATAATTAATTTCAGGTTTCCTCAGCACTTTTATTTGTTGGCGCGGCAGAAGACGTTTATTTTTTCCCGCCATTGTGGGGGAAAAAAAGGCAAATAAATGTGGTATTGATAAATTGAAATCATCCACATGAACAATATGAAGAAAAAAGGAGTTGTCGCAAAGCTGAAAATAGCATTTTCAATATATATGCACTCGGAGGAGCGCATATTCGAGAGAAGGTGTTGAAAGGCGCGAAAAATCCGTTTATACACACTGGCATCGAAATGTAAAGCTTCGCACTTATGCAGAAAATCATAAATGTGTCTCTCATGAGTCTCTGAAAGGCTCTTGTCAGGCCTTTTCATCCTCAGTTCTTCGTACTCAATAATTAATTGAATTTCAGCGCAAATCGACGACCATCGCTAATTCTCACTTGTTGCACTTCACCAAGTGATGATTTGCACCACGTCAAATTAATGCTGTGACACGATCACTTTTGGGTATTTATTATCGCTGGCAGAACTTATAATTTAGGAGTTACCGAATTTTGTGAACCTAATTCGTTTTAAAAATCACTCAATTGAATTTTTTAATACAAAATTTCTACAATAGATCGTATTTCGGACAGAAAAAATTGCTATTTCAGAGTAAAATTTGAAAGTTACAAATCACTTTTGTGATGTCCTGAAAACAGAATTGCGAAATATCTTAAGAAATTCACTTTAAATCAACCAAGTCCTATTAAAGTTCATTTGTACTAATTATCGTTTCAGTTTCATGATAGGAAATTTAGCTTGCCGAATGTAATGTGTCAGCTTGTCTTGCTTCTCTTCCTTCCTAAAAATGCTTGTGAAAGCAGCTAAATTAGCACAATTCCCGACAGATTTGCAGAGAGACTGCCTCTGTGCTCAAGATCTTAGAGTGACCCCGAAAAGGGCGCGGAATGCCATCAATTGCTGAACAAGACATTGGCATGTTTTGCCCGCGAGCAAATGTTTGTTTTTAGCCAAACATCCCGATGTCATTTCTTTTTCCCTCTGTACCACAGCCAAAGCATTCTGGTGCGATCTTTCCCGGCCGAGGAAAAGAAATTCTGGGCACTCCAAGCGAAGGATGAGCGAGAGAAAGTGTGCGTTTAATTGTTTGCCATCTCGCTCGGAGTAATTAGTTGGAAATGTTTGCTTTCTCACGTTATTTTTAGATTGATGTAACATCGTATTTGTCAACTACATGGTCGAAGATTTATCACTTTGCTGATTACTGACTCCGTCTAATCTTCATGCCATTCCATCAGAATTGATCACAGCAGAATTGAGCACATTGGACAAGATAATTCAGTCGTGAGATTTTCTTTTTCTCATATCCAGGATTCAGTTGCAATCATCAGACATATTAATCTTGCCTTTTTCCTCCCTTTTGGGGCGCAGAAGCGTCCACAAATTTGTAATTACCACCCCGACTCTTAAAAGTCAATAAATTAATCCCACTGTCTCGCAGTGTCTTTGCCTTAGTCAGCCAGAAGGAGGTTGATTTATATGGCATTTTCGGCTATTTGTCTCATTCATTGCACATTTGAGCATCTCATGTATGTTCCATGACAATGTGTAATTACTTTATCAACGATTTATATGCCTTTTTTGCCCACCAAAAACATTCCTGGATCATGTCTAGAAAAAAAATCTAATGGACTAAAAATGTTTAAGTCTTGGTTTAGAGTTAAAAATTTTTGAAAATTGTTTGCTATTCTGTGCAAAGTCTCTCTTTTGCCCTCAAAATCACAACAATTTATTAAAAGAAAACTGAAAATACTTCCAATTTAGGTACAAAAATTATTATTATTATATTCCTATGGATAATAAGCGACTGTAATATAACGACACGTTCTTAAGAATTCTAGGCTTCAAAATCACCTTTTCAAAACGTCCTCATTTTTCGCAAAAATATTAATGAAAATATTTTGAGAGAAGATGAAAAATGCAATTAAAAGATCTTCAAGAACAATTGATAAATAATAAAAAGAAATCTGTAATTTTTTGGCGTACTCTCTCAAAATCTTAATATTAACAATAAATCTTACGTTTAGTATTTGTTCGTGTTTAATATTTTTCAATATTGAAATATATAGAAAAGGAATTTGAAATCATGTTAAAATCATTCTCACTTTACACTGTGACAGGGATTTTTAAAAATTTTCTTTCTGCTGGCGAACTTTGAAATTTTTTGTGCTATGTTGAGTTTAAATTATTGACTAAAATTGTTAGATTTGGTGAGAAAAAGTTACTCAAATTGACATTCTTATGTGTTTGTTTGCTTTTTCTAAGCTCCGTTCGCTTGACTCTCTACCAATTCCCTTCGATCTTCACGGTCCTCACTGATAAATCCGCCGCGGAGCGTCACTCTACCTTCCATCTGTTTCATGGGGTTCAGTCCGTTGGAATAGGGAGTGACCATCCAATTGTCACCAGCGAAGAAGCACTCTGTGGTTGAGGTCATAATCCCACTTTCCACGCTGGCGAGGCCCGGGTTCACGAAGGCACAACCGTCGGTGAGTGATCGCTGGTACGAGTGATGCATCTCCCAATTGGCGATCATTGGCGCGATCCTCTGGCATCCATGCGGAATGCAGGAGGCATCAGCACATTGTTTCGCACTTTTGCGTGGGCAGCAATCAACGATCGGGCACAATACAATGGTAATTAAACTTTCAACTCTTTCTGCGGATATTCACGGGCACACTGAACGCCACATTCACAAAAACGACGGGATCTGCTTCTGATCACTGGCGAAAACGACAAGCACTCCGTTTGTTTACACATTCACTGCGCCTCGGGTAAAGTCAAGAGAGCGCTCCTCAAGATGCTGATCACACAGTCTGACCAGTTTCGGCGGCGTGCGAATGGGAACTACTCACAGTGCCACTCCAGACGCTCCCTCGGGAGCCCGTCCTCTGAGCGAGACAGACGAAGGGAATGTGGGTGTCATCCGAAGCAGGGTGATCACGACGAGAGCACGTCTCTCGGCACACAAATCACTCGGGCGTCCACAAATAACTCAGCATCAACTTGCGGGCATCCTTGTGGCAAAACGAGGCGGTTCTTTATTGCGACTTGCCCACAATTTACTCAACACGTCGGCCAATGGAGGCAAAATATTGGACATGATCGTCATATTTCTCGCCAGCACTTCTTCATGATCACTTCTCGATCGCGCGGAGCTTTTGACCCTCGCTGAAAAGTCTCTTGTTAGATCACTCGATGGCTTCTCTTTGCCACCTTTTCCCCGGGGGAAATGACAAGGGAAAACAGACTTTTTTCCTCAAGATTGTGGTGCGAAATAAAAGCCTCTCTTGACTTGAAGGATGATTTCTATATAACTTCCTTTTATTGACATTCAAAGCATTCAAAGCACAATGATAAAGACATGAAAGTGGCTACTTTAGGAATGAATTCAATGCACTTAGAAATGATTGTGGAAAATCCTCAGTTGAACTGGCTGAAGAGAATCGCCATCACGGCAAAGCCGAGGAAGGTGAAGATCGACGTGATTCTTCCGGCGCTTCCGGGCGAGTCTGGGAACTCAATCGACGAAACATTGGCAAAGTTGCAACCCTCTCCGATGCAGGTGTAGCACCCGCCGCCGCCCGCCTGACTGCAGACTGGATCATCGCTAACGCAACCCCGAATGAAGTTGTCCCCTTCGCGACGCACAAAGCACATGTCGCCGTCGACGAACGTCGGACAGATGATCGCCGGATTCGTTTGCTCGCCTTGGCAGTCGAAGTTGATACCGGTGTTGCACACGTGGCAACGCTGACGGTGTTCCGGGAAGATGATGTTGTTGCATCCCGGATGGAAGCCAATGCCAGTCTGGACATTTGTGCATGATTGGCAGGATTGTCCTGTGCACTGGAACTGCTCAGGACCACTCAGAGTGTTCAGGCATCCTCGGACGGTGCTTCCATCTGCATAAGCAGCAAAAACCGTTAGTCAAAGTGTTTGAATTAGTGTCAAAATTTGACATCTTACCAGTGTCGATCCTCACGAAGCACTGACTGTCCCAAGGAGTACAATTCTGCGACGGAAGATTGTCATATAAGCAATTTATATCGTGTCTGGAGTCACAAATCACGCATTCTGCAAAACAGAAGAGAGGATTTTTATATTGACCTAATGGCAGCTTGTGATTTCGTACTGCTGAAGTGGACGTGATTTGGTGATTAGATAATATTTCGAGCACATGAAAGGTAAGTTTTATCCACTCTAAATCGACATTGGAATGTGATTTGTTTAATTTTCTCCGAATTCGTCCATTTATTCACTGATAACACTCTCGATTACAGAGTTCCCAACTATGTGTTCGCGGTGTTCCCTTATCTGTGCTCCCCATTAGAGAATTGGGCTTCTGCACAAGGGAGTTTTCTTTACATTCACACGTAAGTTTTACAGTGGATGTCGTAAAAATTGTGCCTTCTTCAGGAAAGAAGGGGTTTGTTGGCTTCATCAATGTTGGCTGTGTGCTTCTATTAATAAAGACTTATGCAATTTTTCCATGACATAACTTTATCTAATCACAGATAATTTACTCCATTTCAGTCACACTTTCTCACCCAAAATCAACCTCACCTGCGCTGGTGTAGATGAAAAGAGTCGCCAAAACTGTGGCACCGATAATGTATTTCAGCATTTTTCAATGCTTTGGAGCTATTAAAAGTTTGCACTAAAAATTGTGAGGAGAGCTAGAAAGTGTAATGTTGTCACCTTCGCGGGCTTGAGTCAACTGATAATTCGTGAGTCTCTATGTGAATCAATGCATTGGGCTGTTCTTATCTCTTGGAGCTAGATAAGAAATTCGGCAGGTAAATAATTAACTTACGCGCACTGCAAAATACACACGAAGTGATTTTTTTTTTGGCAAAAAGTGAGTCAAAGTTGAGTTCGAAGAAGCAAAAGAAACTCACGAGAAATTTGGAGAAAAATATTCTCATATCAAAATGAAGTGATTTGCAAATTCTAGTTAGAACTGGAGCACTTCTTGGCGATGTCTTTCATGTTCAAGATCAAAACATATCCTCACTGCGTTGTCAATGTGTGAATTTATTGCAATTCCCTGCGCTGTAAAGTGACTTGAGGGCAGATCGAGCGAGAGTGAGGCAATAAATGCGATGCTGACGGATGAAATTAAGAAAATTTCCGTTGGCCATATTTCCATCAGCGGCCCTCGGCTGTGCGCCTCTTAAGGAGTCGAAAGGAGGAAATGGCCTCTGAGGCTTGACGGTAGTAAAATGCACAGAGCGACTCTCTGCGAAGCTCCAAGACCTGGTGGAGAGTGTTTATCTGCGAGCGGGCTATAAATAAGCGGCACTCTCATGCGGGGCAGATCCATCTCAGCATCAGTGGCGAACGGCAGCGCGAGGGTGTGAAGCCCATCCATCGGGTCTGGAGAGAGGAGCGGAAGATATCGATGCTGTCAACACATCATTTTATATCTCCATATATAACAGCTCTGATGATGATGATCTGCTGCCTTCAATTGAAGCCAGCAAGAGATGCAACACGGAGTGAGAGTCGCTGGGCAATAAATTTCGGAGTCCGGGAACATTATTTTCAGATGCGCGTCTTCTCCAGGAAAAAACATTCGCTCTGTTGTGCGCTGAGTGATGACAGGAGATGAAATCCTGGCCCTTTGTCTGGAAAACCTCTCTGTTTCTGCCTCTGAAATAGTTGCCTTTATTCGCTTTATTGAACCGTTTTGTAGAGAAAAAACACAATTTTTACGATGTAAAATATTTTATTAAATCAGTTCGGATTCAAAATTAACACACATTTTACAGATTAGCTTCCTTGTGCAGCCAATCGCGCACTGATGCAACACGCGAATAGACTCCGGGATATCCTTTCTCGGCGCATCCCTCTCCCCAAGATACAACTCCCACGAGGGTTCCATTCTCCACCAGCGGACCGCCGGAATCTCCCTGACACGCGTCCTTGCCGCCCTCTTCGTAGCCAGCGCAGATCATCCGGGGTGTGATCATGCCATTGCCTCCGTAAGCTTCGCTGCAGACTTCGTCATTTGTCTTTGGCACAAGAGCTGCGCGCAGCTTTTCTCTGGACTCCTCAGCGTTCTGAGTGTTGCCCCAGCCGGAAACCAGCAGCAAAGCGCCATCCTCCACATCCTGATCCTGCTCCGGCAAATCAACTGGCTGACACGCTTCGCTGAACGTCAGTGTCTCCGCCAGTTCCAGAAGGGCGAAGTCATAATCGATAGTCTGAGGATTCCACTGCGGATGCTGCACAATTCTCTTGACGTTCACAACTTTACCGCCCTTTGCGTGGTAGCTGGATCCGACCCTCAAAGTGAACATATCAGCAATTGCGTCACTGCGAAGGAGATGAAGAACAGAAGTGATATTAATACCCGATTTGGTCTGATGTGAGAGCGAGATCATACTCAGTGCAGTGGGCAGCAGTCAGGGCGAAATTCTCGCTAATAATTGAAGCACCACAGCTGGAGTAGTCTGTCTGCAGTGATGCTTGATATGGAGCCTCTTCAACGTTCACCTCATAGCCACCAACAATCTTTCCATCCAGCCTCAGTTTCGGGTAATTCTTCAAATTGGCACCGAAAGCTCCCACAATCAGGACACTCAAAACCACAAAGCGCATCATTGTTTCACGAGTTCGTTCACAAAATACCCAAGAAAATACTGAATAGTGAATGATGTCCAGACAATTCCAGTCAGTGTACTTATAGGAAAACTGAGAAAAACTGATAACACTGATAAGCAGAGATAATTCATTGAGTGTCTTATTAAAATCCGGAGATCTTAATAATGAGATCACTTCAAGTGGCCCTTATGTGAGACTCGTGCTCGCGTGGCTTTCAAGAATGATAGGAATTTATTGATTGAATATATCACTTCCGTTTTGAAAAGCTACAATAAGACTCAAATCTGGAAACCTCACGATTTGGAAGTTAGCAACACTTGAGATACCGATACATGAGCATCCACTTTATGATGGTAAAGTATAAGTGATGAACGTTTCAGCAATTATTATATTTTATTATTCCTTGCTGTTTTATATTATAAATCTCAACATCATCACGAACAAATGTTGTCTAAAAACAGCCAAAATATCTTGAGATTCTTCAATAGCGCCTCAACAATTTCCCAATATGTAATGTTTCATGCTTGTTTGAAACGAAATAAATTAGCCGAGACAGAAACCGCATTTCAGATCTGGGCTGAACTTACCCGACATTTCGACTGTGAGTTCACATGAAACATAAATGAAACAGCGAGAAAAGGCATGAGTAATACCTTTTCTAAGGCGAAGCGTACCACTGGGAAGTCGAACGTCAAGCTCACAAACATCAAGTGTGTGAATGTAAACAGGATCATGGAAAGTCCACCAAAGAAGGTAGAAATGGTGAGAAAGCGCTAATAATTCCCTTGACACAGTCTCTCAGTCTCGGTTCCTCTCCCAGGGTGTCCTTGGCGCCTGCTCGTTCAGCAATTGGTACAGCCACTTCGAGAAGATCACTATCAAATCTTACGTTTTGCCCATTCCGAATGACGTGCTGGATTACCTGCGCGATGACATGATTATTCTGCCCAGGGAGTGTTTGGAGGCGCACGAGGAGGTCGATGAAGAGAACAACGTCTCCTTTCCCGACTTCTCTCACCGCATCCGGGAGATTCTGCAGAAATTGCCTCGCGGTGCCTTCCTGAAGACCAACTGGCATTGTGCCAGAGACGCTCACTGGATTATGCCCGGACAGAGTTTGAAGGTGCACGATGTGGCCGAGGTGTATCAGCTGCTGAAGGCGTCGAATTACTCAAAGATGGACTTGAGTCCTGAGCGAGGATTCGCGAGTGGCTTCAATTTTCACGTGGTGCTGCGCAAGTGGCAGGAAATCAACCCAGCAAGTGAATTCCGGTGCTTCGTGAGGAATCACACACTGCTTGCCATCTCCCCGAGGGCCTGGCCAGAGTACTATGAGCACATCTATCAGCAGAAGAGCGACATTGTCCGAGACATTTGCACAATGTTCAAGGAACACATCAAGAATCGATTTCCTCTGAAGGATTGTGAGTTATTTTTTTATCAAGTTGCTCTTCTTGGATTCTCTTCTAATTCCCCACATCTACGTGCCATTGCAGATGTCTTTGACGTTGTCCGGGAGAAGAAAGATGTGGTTCAGCTGCTGGATTTCAGTCCCTTTGATCAGCAATTCACAAATTCTCTGGCCTTTGAGTGGCTGGAATTGGAGGATGACGACAAATATCCCGCAAATGGTGAGGATGAGCCTGAATTTTGCTACCTGAAGCAAGATATTGGCATTCAGCCTAAGCAGAAGAACCTGTACGGTCTTCCACTGGAGTTCACCGCGCTGGCCAGCAATTCTGACGCCTCTGTGGCGCAACATCTGACGGATTTGGGACTCTAGAAAGCCTGTCTCAAGGACCAACGCGCACAATCTCACCCATTTTCTACCCACACCGACAAAGGATTTCGTTGCAAAATCTCCCTTTTGTACTTAGCATTTATTCTCTATGTCAAAAGAAGGATTATTTATATACAGTCAATATATAGGATGTTCAAATAATTTACTCTACACTCTATTTCTTCTTTTTTTCATTCCAAGATAGTTTTAATGATAAAAAAAAATTAGATGCTCAGAAGCACAATTACTTTTCCAAAAGAGATAGAGAAAAAACACTTGAGACATCGCGACTAAAACAGGCTATAAAGGACCTTTTCTCGCACTATAAAACTAATTTCCCCAGGGAAAAACACACAAACTCTGTTCTAATTTGTCTGGTCGGACGTCGTGTCGACATTTGGGCAGCTGTTTGTTGTGTAAACGGCCTGATTGACCTGAAAACATACAGAGGATCTTAAGTCCAGATGAACAGAAAAAAATGATCACAATTCAGTACTCACGTCCCAGGAATTGGCGCCCCACTCGGCTCCGTTCACGCCCTGCGCCGCTCCGTAATTCCAGCCGGCCCAGTTCTGCGCTCCTGCATTCCAGCCGCTCTGCTGCCATCCTTGAGCGCCCCATTGGCCGGCCACCGGCCACTGCTGCTGGCCTGCCCAGCCGGCGCCCCACGACGCCCCGCCCTGTGCTGCCATTGCCGCTCCGGCGTCCATTCCGGCATGCGAAGCGCCGCTGTAGTTCTGGAAGCAGACGAGAAACACTTAAACTTCACACACTCGGCGCCAGAGAAATGCCATGCCTCACCTTCATGGCCGACGAGCTCCCGGAGTCCCTCTTGGACGAGGAGTAGTCACGGCGGTTGCTGCGAGAGCTGCTGTGCGAGGAGCGACTGCCGTAATTATCTCCTCCACCGCCACGGTTGTCGCTCCGACGCTCGCGAAAATCCTGATCGCGTCCAGAGCGCCCGCTGCGACTGTCCCTGTCACGATTTCTGCTGTAGTCCCGGTGTCCGTAGTCACGTCGGTAGTCACGCTCGTTCGAGCGACGTCCGCCGCCACCGCCACCGCCGCCGCCACTCACCCATTGCGGATTATTCCAGCGATCGTGGCCCGCACGCCGATCGTATCCGCCTCCGTAATAGTCGCGTGGCGGCTGCGGGCGCCATCCAGACGACCCACGAGGGTTCCCGTACGGCTGCCAACGATCGCGACGATCACCTCCACGATCCCAGCGGCGATCGTAGTTGTAGTCTAGAATTATAAGTGTACAATTTTCATTAATTAATAAAAATGTCAATTTTGACATGAAAGATCAAAGATTCTTGGGCAATCTTGATATTTGAGGCTCAAACCAAGAGTCAAGATTTCAAGAGATTGTTCACTATGCTAAACAAATAGGCGATATAAAATGATTTCTCCCCAATACCTCTTCGACGGCGATCCCTGTAGTCATCGTAGGGACGACGCTTGATCGACTGCGGCAGAGCCCTGCGTCCCTTCTCATTGTAATCCTCAACGAGCTTCGTAGCCGCTTCGTCTTGCAGATCGACGTACTTGATCTCATCGAACCACCCAAGATCTGTGGTCGGCAGCGAGTAGTTGGCTAGATTGCAGAAGAACAAGCATATTAGATGACAAGATCTTGAAAATCTCCTGATTGTCTACAAAGCTAAAAAATGAAAATCACTCTACAGCCATTCAGCAATCCACGCTGCTTCTCATTTACCATTCACACACTCTTAAGGTCTAGTAAAAAAAAAAAAACCAAAAATGATAATAATAATAATAATTGTGTGATCCTTAATTACAAGTTTACTAAGTCATCTAACGAGAGGTGCTAAAGTGAAAAGGTATAGAAAAGCATAAGAGAGGAACAGAAAGTAAGGATGATTAGTGCCTAATTGGTTATAGATTTTGAAGAAAAATACCTTTCATCTCATTCACGGCGAAATCTGCTATTTCTTTGCTACCGCCCTCATTTTTACAAGCCACACGCCTTTTATATTCCTCGTCGTCCGGTATAACAATCACCGCAATACGTTTGAAGTCACCAAATCCCTTCATTTTGCGCCTCTGGGCCGACGCAAAAACGTTCGTCTATTCAATGGTGAAGATATAGAAGATCACAAGATCGTATTCCAAGATGTTAGATTTCATTGCATTGTTTGTTGATCAGGAAGAGTTACAATCATTTGGCTTTTATCGGAGACTTTGGCCATCATCTTTTTCTGGATTTGCCTCAAGATCACTGCTTATTAATTTTTTGTCTTTCTTTCTTAGTCGCGCCATCACCCATTTTCTGCCATTTGTGTGCATTTTCTCAATTCTCCTCCCTCCCATTTTCACCCTTACTGACTAAATACTTACCACTCATCACTGTCGATCGCTATGGGCTATTCTTTTTCAGAGAAAAATCTATCATTTATATGGAGACAATAATAATGACAAAAGCTATAGAAAGGTTATGAAGAATCCTTACCACAAAAATCGCTGCTCAAGGGGCCTAATTGTGCATTTTCACCTCAACTTTGTGACTCTCAGCAAGAATTTTTTCCTCATCTTTACAATACATTTTCCCGAATATTCATCAAATACTTTTAGCAAAAAAAAAATTCAATCCAAAATCAAGCATTTTCGAGAGTCTCCAAAGTTTTATCCTTTCATGCCAATATTTTTTCGCTGTTTATCACACTATATTTCTGTTTTTTTTTTTCTTAATTTTCGCTCTATAACTAATATTTACCTGCACTTTTCAATGTATTTTTCTAATGGATATTGAAGTGTATCGCCGCTGCAACACCCCAAATAAATAATTAATTATAAATTGTACGAACCTCTACATAAGAATAAGAGTGAAAATATGATTTTTTTTTTAATACTCTCAGAGCCAAAAAATTTGATGCAAAAGAATAGTTTTCTCAGAAAATATATATATATAAAAAAACAGTCTTTACAAAGATGAAATTAACCTTCTGTTGGACTATTTTCGAATTATTCCTATGACACAAGAAGTGCAAATCATCTTTGCAAAGACCTCAAAAGTCAAATGATAACAAATAAGAAAAAAAATGAGGAGATAAAATGCAAATATATCAAAAAAAAAGTATTTAGTGGGATAAATAATTAATTATTGTCACTTGTTTTTTAGATTGTAAATAAAATTGTAAACTCAATACTCAAATTTCTCTCGCTGTTCTAACATTTTCCCAATCATTTTTCTCTCTTTCTCTCTCTCTTTTCACATTTTCCCTCAAGTCCCTTCTCTTTTCATGGGCTGACAGACAGTCTTTTTGCGCACATCTTCTCTCCATTTGTGATCGTCTTTTGAGCAAATCCAGGCTTCCGTTTTGTCTCTTTTTCTCTGCAGTTTCTGGCCAGTTTTCTCCACTTTTCCATCACTTCTCTTCGGCTGTTTTTCCGTATTCTCTTGCCTCATAACAGTCTTTATAACTACCAACAATACTCTTTCTTTCATCATCTTCTTCTTCTTCTCAATAAATCGCAAAAAGGGAAAATTCTTTAGATTCATCACTTAACATATTGCCAACTACTAATTGTCTATTTTGTGATCAAGGGAGATTCTTATCAAGTGATCTCACACTCACCTGATCCAGAATGTAGTTCCTGCGCCTCTTCTGTGCCAACTCCTGCAGCACTGTGAAGCTCCTGTTGCACATGTCATTGAATTTCTCCGCCTTTGACGGCTTCGTGCGATTCTGTGGACAGAAAATCGACTGATTAGTAGAAAGATCTTCCCAAACACACACGCGTGCTCGTGCATCGTCAACTTACCGTCATTCGGCTGTACAGGTAATTGTCCCCAATGATGTTGTAGCGCTTCTCCGGATTCTCCTCATTCCACTTGCTTACCCAGTGAGTCTTTCCGGCTCCCGGCAAGCCAATCATCATGATCACCTCACACTCCTTCCTGGTCTCCGGGCGCTTGTGACCCTCCACAAGTTCCTCGCGCGGCAAGTGAGCAATCAGCACGAAATCCGGCAGACTTTCACGATTGATGGGCTGCTCGGGTTCCTCCTCCTTCTCTTCCACCTCCATCTTCTCCTGCGCCTCCTCCTCAGGCTTCTCCTCGACCTTCTCTTGAGCCTCCTGCTCAGGTTTCTCTTCCGCAACCTCCTCTGTTGATTCCTCTTCTTTCTTCTCCTCTGCCGGAGTTTCCACATTTTCAGGCTTCGGTTCCTCCCAATCTTCATCTTTAGGATCATTGCTCTCAGACTGAGAAGAAGTCCTCGGCTTTTCCTCTTCTTTGGCCTTCTTCTCACCCTCTTGAGCCTGCTGTGGCTTCTGCAATACGAAAAGAGAGAATCACAATTATTGCAAAGAATGATTGATAGTCAATTTACTCACCCTTGGCTTGAATTCCGACAAAAGAGTGTTCTCCAACTGACCAAAGTTCACCTTGAAGTTGATATTCTTCGTGAGCACATGCGGGAAGAGCGCCTGGTCATTGAGTGTCTCCTTCTCAAACTCAAACGCCACTCCCTGATCCTCGCCATTAACCGTGTATTGCACCTTGCAGGGCGTCGACTCCAAGTCCAGGTACACTCCAACCACGTCTCCCACGGTGAACTTCACGCCAAAGTCCTCCTCATTGTCTCTGTGATACTTCTTCCCCTCTCCGCCATATGCGAAGCTGTTCTCAGCCTCGCCCAGCTGCAGATCTGTGGCCAGTGTTGACCAGCCGCAGCGCAAATCGAACAGATTCTTCTCCTCAGGGAAGCTCACGCGGCTGTTGCGCTGCAACAGTTGCACTTCGTAGAATACTTTCCCACTCTTGACACCATGAGTGGCTCTGGCGCCCGCCCACATCAGTCCCAGCACACCGTCGCTCATCGTTCTGCCCTCGCAAAAGTCTGCACTGCTGATCTTGAGGTGGAGATCAGAGTCCACCCACGACAGGGCGGGATTCTCCGGTAGTGCCGGCTCATCCTCGATGTTCATGAAGTCATCGGCATTAGCGCTTTGAGAGTCCCGACGAGGCCTTCGTCGGGAACTCTCACTTTCCGACGGAGAGCGGCTTCGACGGCGCTTCTTGTCCTCCTTCTCAGCTTCAGGCTCCTCTTTCTTAGCCTCCTCGGCTGCGAGTTGCTCCACTGCATCCATAGGCATCGTCTCGTTCTCTGTGTAAGCATCCACGGAGTCGTCCTCTTTCTTCTCCTTCTCCTCCTCCTCATCCTCTTCTGGGGGAGTTTCGGTGGTTTCCTCTGCTGCTTGCTCCTCCTGTGCCTCCTGAGATACCTCCATGGGCGCAATTGGCTCCTCTGGCTCTTGTGGCTCCTCTTGAGGCATAGGTTCTGCCCTTTCTGCCTCTTCTGGCGCCTCTTGAGACATCGTTTCTGGTTCCGGAGAGGCTTCTGGAGCGACTGGTGCAACCTGTATAGCCGGTGGAGCCTCTTCCATGGGAGCATCCACCTGTGTAATCACTTCTGGTTCACTCTCCGATTCGCTGTCAACAGCTATTGCCTCTTCCGCCACTACCACGGGAGGCGCTGATGGTTCCGGAGACGGCGAATGCGTGGTAACGCCCTGTGCCCCTGACAAGTCGTCATCCGGCAAAACAGAGTCCTGTTCTGGCCCCTCATCCGACACCTCCTCGGCATCATTTGACTCACTCTCCTCTGCAACTGAATACGACGAATTAACCATGATGAGTGAGATTTTGAGAGGGAAAAACATGGCTTTTGTACCACTTACCATCCCCTTCGGCCTCTATGGCGGCCTGCAGCCGCGATATGAGAATAGCTTTGACTCCCTTCGTATCCAGTCCACGGTTCTGCAACTCCTGCTTCAGATCCACCACGCGCAACTTTGACAGATCCATTCTCACACTCACTACTTTTCACGCACGCAAAATCAGTGAATTTGTGGTAAAATGCGGAGAAAATGTGCTGCTTCGTCTGAGAAAAACAGAGAGACGCCAAAGACTGACAACTGGCGAATTTGCTCACTTGGCGCTGCAATCGCTGTGGAGGACACGAATTCACTTGACACGTCGATCAAATTGTGGTGGTTCAGCCTCTCGGATTTTCCCAGAATTTCCTCACTTTTCCGTGTGTTTCCTCATCAAAATCACCTATATCGTCTTCAGGAAAGATGGTGAGTTCTGGTTGAGAAGGAATTTGAGGACTTTTGGTTGTATTGATTGAGATATAGTGCATGAAAAGAGGGTGTTTTCTGCCTGCCAGACACCATGTTTTTCCTCCAATTTTCATTCTAATTTTTCTCCGACACTCTTCCAGGTGTTAATCGCTGCGGCAGTCTGCACAAAAGTCGGGAAGAGTGAGTTATTACTTTATGGAATAATGTTAGCCTGTAATGCAATGCGGTTCTTGTGAAATTGCAGCCATAGTGTCGCGACAGTTCGTGGAGATGACGAAGGCCAGGATTGAGGGTCTCTTGGCTGCCTTCCCGAAGCTGATGACTCCAGGGAAGCAGCACACATTTGTGGAGACAGACTCTGTCCGATACGTGTATCAACCAATGGAGAAACTCTACATGCTGCTGATCACTACAAAGGCCAGCAACATACTCGAGGATCTGGAAACGCTGCGCCTCTTCTCGAAAGTCGTGAGTATTCTTGCATCAGGAGGTGATGTTGAATCACACTCATTTCCTCCACTTGCAGATCCCAGAGTGCTGTCGAACACTTGAGGAGCGAGAGATTCTGGACAATGCCTTCAATCTTATTTTCGCTTTTGACGAAATCGTGGCTCTTGGATATCGCGAGAGTGTGAATCTGGCGCAGATCAAGACATTTGTGGAGATGGATTCGCACGAGGAGAAGGTGTTCCAGGCGGTGCGCCAAACTCAAGAGCGTGAGGCGAAGATGAAGATGCGTGAGAAGGCAAAGGAGCTACAACGACAGCGAATGGAGTCCGCGAAGAAGGGCTTGTCATCGATGAGGAGCAGCGGTTTCTCAGCCGGTGGCGATTCCTTCGGTTCTGGCATCTCGAATCTCACTATTGGCTCCACGCCGAGTATCAGCACGGTGAATGATGTCAAGCCGACGCCCACGAAGGCGCCGGCTGTGAGGAACGCCATGAAGCTTGGTGGGAAGGGCAAAGATGTGGACACTTTTGTTGATCAGCTGAAGAATGAGGGCGAGAAAATCTCTGCCGCGCCAACTCAAGTGGCCAGCCAAGGTGTGGCGAAGCCGAAACCAGTGTCGGACGTTCCCATGGAAGATGTACATCTGCACATTGAGGATAAGCTCGTGGTGCGCCTCGGCAGAGATGGTGGAGTGCAGAAATTTGAGCTGTCCGGATTGCTGACGCTCAGGATAAGCGATGAGAAGGTGGGCAAGATTCGCGTGCAGCTGGAGAATCGCGATCAGCGCGGTATTCAGCTGCAGACGCACCCGAATGTGGATAAGGAGCTGTTTAAGTCCAGGACACAGATTGGCCTGAAGAATCCAGCCAAGCCCTTCCCACACAACACGGACGTGGGTGTGCTCAAGTGGCGCTATCAGACGCAGGAGGAGAATGCAGTTCCGCTCACCATTAATTGCTGGCCTTCTGAGAATGGCGACGGCGGCTGCGATGTCAACATTGAATACGAACTGGAGCACACTCACTTAGAGCTGCGCGATGTCACAATAACAATTCCATTGCCGTGAGTTTATTACTTCAATCTTCACTGAGAACAATTACAACATGGGTGTTTTCCTCTTCCAGGATCGGGGCTACGCCGTCAATTGCTGAGTGTGATGGCGATTACAATCACGACTCCAGGAAAAACACTCTCACGTGGAGTTTGCCGATTGTGGATGTGAACAACAAGGCTGGCTCGATGGAGTTCAGTGTGCCAGCGTCAATTCCTGGTGACTTTTTCCCACTGCAAGTGGCTTTCGTGTCCAAGACGCCCTATGCTGACATCAAGGCTCTCGATGTGGCCACAGTGGATGAGGAATCGCCGGTGAAGTTCTCCTCGGAAACGGTCTTCTATGCTGAAAAGTATGAGATTGTGTGATGAGGACAACCAATCGTTCGCGCCTCCTGGCCGGGCTGGAGGTGCTACTTTACTATCCCCATTTTTCCCGCCCATTTATTTGCCCTGTGCGGTGGTATATTAAAGGATCTATTGTAAGAAGAGTAACACTAGTTGACATCCGGTGAGGAAATTAGAGGATTTGTCGTGTTGACGAGGATGAGAGTGCTGTGCTGAAGAGGCAGAATGTCGCTGATCTTCACATAGTGGCCTTTGGACAGCTGCTCGGGTGAGGAATAGAGCCTGAGAAGAGGGGATTTAAGGGTAAGTTAAGTTATCCTCAAAGATTTTACATATTCACTCACGCTAGGATGTCAATGGGATCGAGAATGAGCTCGGATTTGTAGACTGTGACTAGGAAATTTGTGAAGGCGGCTGTATTGCCGCCCATTCGGTAGTCTGAATCCGTTGCCAAGGTGTCTGGGAAGTTGTCTGTGGGCACACCAAAGCGTGTTCCCCAGAAACTCACGACATTGTCATCGGAAAAGACGATGGATCCTGTTGAATTGCACCTGACTTTAATGATGAACTTACTCTTGATGCCCGTGACGAGATTTGCGACATCCGGTGGACATTTGTTGTGTCCCAAGCCTCGCTGGCCATAGAAATTGTCCCCGAAAGTGATAACATAGCCGCCTGGAAGCAAAGACACGCACTAGATAAATTGGAATTCTCAGCTTCTGATTGTTCAAACCTTCGAGGATAAATGCCGAATGTTCCTCTGCAATGGACAAATCTGTGACTTTTTTCGCAATTTGATTGATCTTCCTAAATTTTGGGATTTTCCTGACACTCTTGCCGAATCCCAGGCGATTTTTCGTGTTTGCTCCACTGGCATAAATCTCTCCGGTGTCCAGAAGGGCCAGAGTGCAGTTTATCCCAGCATAGATGGCCGCCACTCTAGTGTCTCCAGTTCCCACTGAGTCCACTTGAGTGGGAACGGTCACAGAGCTGATGCTGGTTCCCAGGCCAAGGGCTCCCGATTGACTGGAGCCCCAGGTGAAGATAATCCCTGTGGAAGTTAGAGCGGCCACGTGGTGACCTCCACAGGCCACTTCAATGACCTTTAATCCGCGCAATCTTTCTATAGTTAAGGGTCGAGAGCGAGACAATCTGTCTCCGTGACCTAGGGCGCCGGATGAGTTTTCTCCGCAGCTCAGAACGACTCCAGTATTGGTCCAGAAGATGGTGAATTGATCACCGCAACTTGCCCTGGAAGATTATATTGCATTACATGTGAGTTTAGAGAGTGTTCGAGGGTGGAATTTACCCAACAATTGTGTATCCCTTGAGGCTCTCAACTTTACTAGGGTAGTGCTTGAAAGCTGATCCCTCAGCTCCAGAACTAGCTCCCAGAGCGAGCTGCCCTTTACCGTCGTCTCCCCACGTGTAGACCACTCCATCGGTCATCACTGCCACAAAGTGCGCCCCATTTGTGGCGACACGAGCAATCTTGGCGGTTGCAGGAAGTGGCAATGCTCTCATAGAGACTCCTGTGCCAAAGGAGTGCAGCTGATAGAGGACAGAGCGCTCAGAAAGGGGCTCTGGAAGGCCAGCTGTGACTTCCTCAGTGTACTGCTTCAGAGATAGCTGCTCAAGAGCTGCTGCTGCCTCTTCCTCAACCTGTCTCGGGTACGTGTATCCCCTCTGGGGCCCCAGGTGGCGGTAGACAAGAGGAATCCAGTACTGCAGCACTTCAGTGGCTGCTGGACGATCCGCTGGATTGACCTGAAGGAGGAGCTTGAGGAGATTGCGGAGGCAAGTGGAGTAACCAGCCGGTGGCGGAAGATACTGTCCTGCCATGATCTTCGCCACAAGCTGAGAGAGATTGGATGCTGAGAAGGCCTTCTTCAGGCAACACATCTCACCCAGAATGCATCCCAACGCCCACACATCGCTCTTGGCGTCGTAATCTCTGCCCTCGCACATCTCTGGGCTGAAGTAGTACGGCGTGCCCAGAATTGTGCGAGTGTCTATCTTGGTGTGCATAATCTTGGAGATGCCAAAGTCCCCGATCTTGGCCACGCCGCGGCGACTCAGAAACACATTGGCAGTCTTGAGATCTCGATGAAGAATCGCCTGGGCGTGAAGATAGGCAACAGCGCTGGTGATTTGCTCGACAATCGTGAGAATTTGACGCTCGGGCAGGCGATCTGTAGGTGTTCGGGCAGAGATTACATGTGCCAGAGTACCTCCTTCGGCGTACTCCATCTCGATGAGGAGCAAATCTCCGCGAAGGAAACTTCCCAAGTAGCTGATAACATTGGGATGGTGGAGTTTGGAGAACACCTCGACTTCGTTCATTGCCATGGCGCGTTCATCTGGAGTCAATTCACTGAGTTTCACCTGCTTAAGCACGACTAAAGTCTGGTCTGAACGTTTGCGATACAGGACAGCAATTCCGAAGGATCCTGAAGAGGAAAAGTGTGAGTATGGGCTGAGGATATTGAGGAATGATTATGGGAGTTGAATTTCACCTCTTCCCACAACTTTGAGTCGCTCAAATTCCGGCAAGATGACTTCATCCGAGGTGCTGGTCATCGTTGCCGGCACTCCGGGATCCCTGAATCTGGACAAAGTGGACAAATTGGATAAATCTGAGGAAGCCTTAGAAAAGGCACCGACTTTCGACACTTCCCGACTCTGGGACATCGCGAATGAGACTAAACACTAAAGAGCGCGCGTCCCAGAAGTGCATTTGTTGCTCTTTTGTGGTCTCCTAGGCGATGGACACCACCCGGAAGGATTCCCACGCTTTGCTCTCGAATCTTTTCATCCACTGACCTCAATCTGATGGGAATTGAGAACAAAGAAATCACGTCCACACACGCAATTCATAAGCTTGAGGATCGTCTTTATTGAGTATAAGTGCTACAGGAAGTGTCTATGAAGTCTATCTATAATTACCACAGGCTGCTTTTATGATCTCGATTGCGGCATTTACGGTGTCTTTCACTTGATCCTCGTTTCCTATCCTTGGGTTCACTTCCACGAGATCCATCACGTTCAGTCGTTTGGTTTTGTGCACCTCCTCGACGATGTGGATGCCTTCGCGGAGAGCTAGGCCGCCCGGGACGGATGTTCCGGTGCTAGGAGCCTCCAAAGGATCTGCAAGTGTTAGGCAAGTTAGGTAATTGCATCCAATGATCTCATTTCAAAGCTCATACTCAGGGCGTCAATGTCGAAGCTGAGGTGAATAGATCGACTTCCATCGGGATCTATGGCCTCCAAGGATCTGTTGATGACATCGTGAATGCCATACTTGTCCACATCTCTCATTCCGAACGCTGTGATGTTGTACCGTGCGATCATGTCCTTCTCGAAATCATCCACTGATCTCAGGCCGATGTAGGCGATATTCTTCGTGGACACGCGCGGCACCTGCCAGTCCATGTTGGGCAGATACGGCCACATGCCGGCGAACTCCTCGGCCAGCAGCGCCAGAGGCATTCCGTGGATGTTTCCTGAGAGCGAGGAAGTGTTGGTGTTGAGATCAGCATGAGCGTCCACCCAGACGATCGCGATGTCCTTTCGCTGGCGCACATGACCATCTACAGAGCCTATCCCGATGGCATGATCTCCACCCAAAGTGATGCACAAGTGGTCGTCGGAAAGGATCTCAAAGACCTTCTCAGACAGGCGCTGGTTGCAGGCCACAACGTCGTCATAGCCTAGCATGTTCCTAGGCTTGATTTTGGTTGTCTTAGGCTCATAGGTGATGTCTCCGAAGTCCTTCAAGCTGATGTCATCTGGAGAGAAAGCGAAATTTCAGTTAAAACTCAGATTTTGCAGTTAAATAGTACTAAATCTTAAGAAGGACTTGACGATTATTAGATGTTCTTTATTTTTTAGCTTTCTTAGATTTGTAAATTTCAACCAACAGTACAAGGAAGCTTATCACACTCCCTATCAAGAGGACATAGAATGGCAATTGAAAGTCTACAAAGTCGTAGATCCTGAACTTCTCCTCCTCGACGAATCCTAGTCTTCTCCTATTGAGCCAGGTTGTGTTCCAGTTCATTTCCTGAATCCACTTCCCCATGAAGCCACCTCTGTCGAGATGTAGCATGACAAAGTTGATTTGCTTGAAGAAGACTGAGTTCTTGGGCAGGACATAGGCTAGGTTGTACATTTTGGGACATTCGGGGACCAGAAACACTTTTCCAGTGTGAAAATACTTGGCGTTCTCGAGTTTAACTGTGGACTTTCTTGTGACTGTGGCTAAGCTGGGGTCTTTCATGACCATTTCGATCAATGGTATGGACAGCAGATCAACAATCTTGATCTGGTGTCGAAGATGTTCGTTCAATTCGGAATCTTCAGGTGGGAACAAGTCATCCAGCATGCCTTTGTACTTCACACCAATCTTCAAGTTCGCCTTGTCCAAGGCCGCCAGGGACGTGATATCTCGATAGTAAATCGGCCTAGTGAAGGCGGTGCTGAGATTTGACTGGAAGATGGCCACGACTACGACACTCATCATCAGAACTGAGGCAATGAACATCCGTTCGCTTGTCACCCGCGTATGTCGTCTTAGAGGAGAACTGATGAAGATGATCGTGGTGTCGATGAAAAGCTGCAGCGTTTTTCTAGATGACTGATTCTCGAGTTGGATTAGGAGTTCCTTGTCAGGGAACATCCTCTCTTCACACCAGCGAATTGCTCTCCAGAAGCTACTCGAGGCCAAGATGCTGAGAAGAAGGCAAAACCAGACGTACTCGTGAAAGCAGAGCAGGGGAATCCAATACTTGGGGATTTGCTTTGCCTGGGAAACCAAAGGAAGTGGTTTAGTAACAAAAGCTGGATAAGGAAACATCGAGCCTTGCCTTCTGGACAACACAACAGAGCTCATCGAGATAAACCGGCATCGTAAACTCCATGTCCGGATTCGAATAGTCCTTGACGAAGAAACCCGTCAAGGCGAGATCACTCTTCCTGGTGCTGATTCTTCCCAGGGTTCCCGTGAAGCTTCCGTTGGGCAGTTTGTATCCGAACATATCGCCGTCAGGTTGCTGGAAGATCGCTGAAATGCAAAGTCTTTGTGGAAGAAGGAGTTTTCCAGACAAGGATAGGTCTTACCGGTGAAGTTCATGAAAACTCTGAGAGCTCTCATGGCCTCAGCATCGGTTCCTTCGAAGTACTTAACACCAGTTGTTTTGTTGATCCTCAAATAGTTGAAGGCTGAGTGGAACATTTCGATCCTGAGCGGATAACCATTCATGTTCTTGATGAAGTTTTCCGGTCTCTCGCGAAAATTCATGAGAACACCGAAAGAGTTGTTTCGCAGCGGATTGCGCATGAAGGGATGAATAGTCAGGGTGTCGTTGTGGAGCATCACGTAAACTTCATAGGATCTCTCAACTTCCCAGGCAATCATAATGTTTTCATAGACTTTCTCCAGCACCTCCTCCGTGGCGTCAACGTCAAGGAGGATTAAATAAATGCCCAGAGGATCCACAAGACAGTCAATGGCATTTGGGAGCATCTCAAGGGACACAATAACGATGTAGCCAGTAATGGCAGTCCTGAACCAACTATCTTGAAAGTCTGACAGACTTCCTTCCATTCCTGCACTGGAGCGCTTTCTTCGCCTATAGTTTTCGGCGTAGAACCTTTGTAATATCTCATCTCTCCAGGCACTGAAGCAGAGATCTTGCTCATCCAGATCCCAGGAGAAGTAGTAAACCATAACGCTGTGATTGTGCTTCACCACCGGCACTAAATCTCCCAAGAAATCTCCTGATTCGTAGTAATCACCATCGATGGCAATTGCGATAGTTTTCACACGATTCAAGATAGCTGAGAAATCTTCAGTGAAACTGGGAAAGTGGTCCAGAATGGAGATTTCGGTGAAGAATGTGAGATTTTCTCCAAGCACCGAACAAGAGAGAATGGAATAGACGAGGAGTGAGCTTGTAGCAAGATTTCGCGCCATTTTCACACCGATTCTGGTCTAGATTGTGTAAATCAATGGGATATTTATAATAACTCCTTCCATGCCGAATTGCCTTGTTTGTTTAGTTACAGGAAGAAAAAAAAATGTGATTTCATATTAGGATATTGAGATAGTTGTGAGTTTTGGTAAGATTTCAAGAAGCTCTGAAATATTACACACTGAAACAGATCAATATATACATTTGCATATCTTCAGTGTTTTTTATTTAATTACTAATGGAATTTTGATTAAAATTGCGAAATTTTCACTCTTAAGAAATTCTTCACGCCTCTTCTCTGCCTAATAAATCGATATTCTGTCCATAATTCATAATTGTGTGCTGGTTTTAATGGTGTAATTGGATGTTTTTGGGGGTGAAAATCACTGTGAAAAATGCCCACGACCTTTCGGCGTAGTATAAATATTTGGAAAGTAATCACAATCCTTTGATAAAGAGACATCATTAGTGGGAAATTCGACTGGGAAAGTAATTGAGATGTTATTTGTCAGTTTGATGTTGAATATTCCAGAATTGAGCTGTGATAGCGCGCGAGTGGGAATATTTCAGAGATTTGGAAGTTCTGTCGTCAGAGTTTGTTTACAATTTTAGCATCATTCGCTGTGATGATCATTGGCAAAAAAGCGCGTGGAATTATTGTGATAAGGACATGGTGAAAAAAAATCCGGTTCAGTATCGTTTCCTTGATCTCTGGGAATGATAAAGGCGCGCCACGCTGGAAGAACACGCCATGTGGCGGGGGATTGCTTAAAAGCGTATATATCTTACCTGAAATGTCAGCGATTTCCTGGGCCAGACCTGCATCTCGGATGGCTTTGGGACCACACTCGACCCCGAACTTCTTCTGTCCACGCGAAAAGGGCACACCAACGATGCCGATCTTCTGCAATTTCCTACGCACATCGGCATGTGGCTGCCTCTGGATCTGGTGAATAGCACGCCTGAGTGTCTGGAACATTCTGGGTGTCACGAAACCACGGGATATATTCGAGAAAATGAATGTGGGCACCTTGAAAAATTTTCCACTGTCTGGCAATGTTGTCTCTCTCTTGGAGAAAAAGTATGGCTTTCGTCCACAACAATCTCAAGATAACTGACGATCAACTCCTCAGAGTTGTCCCAAAAAACCCGTGTGAGAACTCATCCGAAGCACCAAAACACTTCTATCCTTATCACTCTCGGAGGTCTTTTTTGCCGCAAAACGCCCCACGCCGGTTGTTTTCCAAGACAGCATGGAATATTCCTGGAATCTTTGGGATTATCTTCTATGCTAATGAGCATTTTGGCCACTCCTTGTCGTCAGAAAGGAGGGACTCTTGAACTGGCCAGATAAGCCCTACTCTTGCTCAACAATCCAAATCCTCGTGTTGTGATCGGCGGAGGAGTGAATGGGGCTGAAGAGAAGTCGCGGGGAGACTTTCTCCGGATGCCGGAGGCGCTGATAGTGTGCCCGACGTATCAAGAGGAAGAGGATGACGAGGGCGAGAATGGGAGCAGAGCAGAGGAATACAGCCAAGAGCACCATTTCGAACGGAAGCGCGCGAAAGACTGAGGGAAATCAATCAATTTATGCTCCAGAGAGCTAAAATTAGTTCCATTCCAGAGGACGAGAGAGAATAAGCCACGAAATACTCCTGGTTTCAGAGATTCTTTCACTTTGTCGTCCATACAAAAATCAATTTATAATAATTTTATTAAATTATTTACACTCAAATTATAGCACAGTTTTTTGTGTGTGAATCATTTGCACCCAAGACTCAAACCATGGAAATTGTGAAAATGTGTATTTTAGTCATTTCAGCGTGGAAATAGAGGATTTTCAGTTAAATAATTCCCTCAATTGAATAGCAATAGCTGTGGGTTTGACAGCCTGACCGCAGATGCTTTGTTCCAATTACTTAATTGAACCCATTTTGCAAGGACAATGGGAGAGTTCAGTGATGTGAAAAATCATTAAAACGACATCACATAATCTCCATTTATTGCTCTTTACCTGGGAATGGTGTTCACATTAAAAATCTAGTCAAGAGTCACTGAGACGTCATAATCTGCCTATATTCTGCCTGATCCTTGAGGAGCTTTTCGAATACCCTGAATTTCTTAGCATGGTAACTGATGGTGGCCTTTTTCGGTTCGATCCTTTGGGTTTTCCCGCCCATTTTGGCCGCTGCCTCGGGCAGACTGGGATACAATCCAGCTGCACGCGCTCCCAGAATGCTGGCACCGAGAAGAACGCTCTCTGGCTCACTGGGAACGAAGACAGGAATTTGGCAGATATCAGCATGAGCTTCCACATAGACTGGATTGAGACTGAGACCGCCACAGATGAGAATGGCGCGGAACTGGCGAGAAAACTGCACCAAAATTTGTTTGGTGCCGTATGCCAGAGCCTGAACTGTGGCCAGATAGAGGAGAGCGAGATCCGTGGGCTCATGATTGAGAGTGAGGCCAGAAATCATCCCTCGACGCGTGGGATCGGCTATTGGTGAGCGATTCCCATGAAAGTCTGGGCAGACGTGAAGATCCGCAGTGAGTTCGTGCAAAGGCACGCTTTTCTGGGCACTCATCTTGGCCAGGAGGACATTCAAGTGCTCATAGACGTCTTTGAGCTCTCTGGAGTTTATTTCCTGGCAGATTTTCGTGAAGGACGGATGGGAGTAGAGAAGATCATCCAAAAGCTTCCCAGTGGCGCTTTGTCCTGCCTCGTGAGCATACATTCCGCTGAACAGGACGTCTTTGTAGGGTCCCCAAACTCCGTCCACCAGCTCCATTCCTGGCGCCACGCAAATGTGGCATGTGGAGGTGCCACAGATGAGAGCAATCTTCTCTTCCAGCTGGATTCCTTGGTCAGTTTCGGCTCCCAGGAGGGCCAGAGCACCAGCGTAGGCGTCAATGACTGACGTTCCAACAGGAGTGCCTTCTAGCAGTCCCAAATCTTTAGCTGCAGCAGCAGTTAATCCATTGCCAACACTTGCTCCAGGGCTTTGGACATTCTCCCCGGCGAGAGAGATGAAATCACGGCCATTCAGATCGAATAAGGAGGCAGAATTGAGGAATTGTGAGTCCCAGCACTGCTTCTGACCATCGTAGTTCCATTTGCAGACAACGGAACAGAGAGATCTGCAAGAATTACCAGGTATTAGTCTTTTGATCGGGTTTCTCGCCAAAAATCTCACCTTGAAGTGTTCCCAGTGCTCTTGAAGGTGAGGAAGTCCGGCAGCTCTATGAACTTCCCGACTCTCTCCCAGAAGTCTTCGGGGGCGTTCCTCTTTAGCCAGAGTATCTTCGGGCACTCCATCTCTGCAGAAACGCGCCCACCGACAAAGCTCAGCAACTCATGCTTCTGCGCATTGATGTCGTTGGCCTCCTGAACAGCTCGATGGTCCATCCACATGATGATATTCCTCTTGTCCACGCCATCTAAGCACACCGATAGTGGTTTGTCTGCACTGTCCAGAGCTACTAGAGAACAAGTGGCTGTGAATCCAATGCCGCGAATTGACTCTGGCGGCCTCTGCTCCACAACTCTTTTTACACATTGGCGAACAGCGCTCCAGATCTCCTCCGAGGACTGTTCGTAGTGGTCCTCGAGTGGGCTCCAGGTGGGAATTCCCGCAGAGAAGGTGGCCAGAGAGTGTCCGGAGGCACTGAAGAGTCCAGCCCTGGCGCTGCCACTGCCCACGTCAACACCGACGAAGAGGGACTCAGACATGGCGAGGAGGAAGGCGCACTGGAGGAACGGGAAGAGTTCAATTAGAGGAGATCCAACGTGCGGTCGTGTGACCCAGAGAGATGAACTCAAAGTGGAGCTGTACACTCTCTCTTTTGCGCTCTCTCAGCGCGACACAGAGAAGGGGGCAGCAGAGACGCACTGGGACTGAATGGGGCCCACGCCTGGAGAAATGAGATGATTTGGAGAGAAATAAGTTTTCATTCTCTAACCAGAGATCGCATTTGCCTGCTGTTTTTAATGGATAACATTCAAGATAGCATTTTGGAATCTGAATTCATTTAAATTAAATGTGTGTTGTGATTATTAGCCCCTCACGCGTAGTTTCTGGAATACATATCACAGCAATTCGCAGGCTCGTTAGTTGTCCAATTAACTTTCACTGAGCGCAAAGTGTGGTGTACACTCCCAGTTCGACCGATAATCGCCTTTCACTCTTATCAAAGTCTCTTTATTATCTCTTACTGCCCTGATAAAGCCGTCAATTGTAATTGGTGAGCACTTGAACTCTCTGCGAAAAGACACTCACACACAGAAACAACGCGCTCTGAAAGCCGCTCTTAATTCAGTATGAATCAACAAGAAAATGGAATATGATCAGGTACGAATTGGATCTTCCTCTGGGCGACTTTCGACCCTCGACTCTCTGGATTATCTGGTCACTGATAAGATTGTCTTGCTTATCAGTTTGTGCGGTGCAAGTGTCCAAGGAGGGCGCAGCATAGAGTTATGTTGACAAAAGCTCTGTCGAGGTTTAATGGCATTTAGATAAACTGCTCCCTAAATGCGATAAAGTGTCATAAATCAGCAGAAAATCTCTAGTGGGCACTTATCAGTGGCTTGATAATGCTATGCAGGCATTTTCTTATGGCTTTCCAATGCCTTGAAATGCCTTTGGCATTGATCTAAGCGGGAAGACGAAAGAATTCTACATTTCCTCTTCCCTTCGAATTCTTACTGTAGAATTGCAAAATTCTTTGGCTAGAAATCTCCAATTAATTCTTGACCAACGCGTGAGTGAAAGCAAAAATTTCCGGTTGCTCTTGAAGAGGTTTTCACACACCCAAACATACCATCAACCGGTCACGCTGCAGTGGCTCAAAAGTGATAACGATGGACAAATCTGTTATATTCCGTTAATCCTGGATCAGATTATCCCCCAAAAAAAACAGTGGCTTACATCATTCGGAATGCTTTATATCTTCACTTTCTGTACATTTTTCTATGTATAAAAAAATCCCCCCAATTTTGCTTGGGGGTTTTTCTTGGCTTACAGGCTGAATGACGAGGAAAAATGCTCCCGTGAGATGAAAGTGTTAGTTAGCAAGAGTGATTAGAAGCTTAGAATAGAGTGGGTTGGCTTTTTTTTTGGTAGTTGGGCCGGGGCTGGACTGTCGCATCCTCGGCGTCTCTTCTGCGCTTCTTTTGGAGGTGACTTAGACAGCCTTGTAGTAGCGGACGCACTTGACATCGCCGGCAGTCATTGTCTGAAAGAGCCCAGCAATTAGCCTCCAATTGACTAATTGAGGAGTTTAGCCAATTAAACTTACAGCCGTGAGATCGGTGTCGGTGAATTCACGCACGATCACGGTGGGCTTCTCGCCCTTCTGGTCGTGAATGAGTTTGTTCGGCCCGTCGAACGTGCACACGCTCTTCACCTTGCGTCCGTCTACGGTCTCCTCGTCGAAGTCCTCGCCCAGCTTGAACTTGATGGTGGTGCTCTTGAACGTGGACACAGTGTTGAATGTGTACTCGTCGCCGTTCTTCACCAGATCCACCGTCGGTGTCACGGTGTTGCCCATCTTGCGCAGAACCATGCCGACTCCTGCAGGAAAAAAAAAACCACCGCGAGAGTTGTTTAGTGCCTTAAGAGTGGACTTTCTGCATTCCACAGCCGATTATTCTATTGGATTTATGGCTTTTGTTGTGCATTTTGCACTTGGATTTGCAGAGAAGAGAAGAGTTGAAAGTTTCATGTGAAATTACTGATAAGTTTCAAATAATCTTTCATCCACATTTCCAGAAGTCCAAATAGGAAAACGCAATATTTGCTGCTTTGAAGCTTCTGGACACATTCTTGATGAAATTCGCATGAAAATATTCGGCTATGAAAACATGGACAATAATGTATTTTATATTGTTTGAACTCCATTAGCACATCTCGCGCCTGGTCTTGGAATGACTGTCCGATTAAGACTGACACACAGTAGTGGAGCGAGTGGAGCAATTAATTAAAAAATGGTTGTTAATATTCATTCAGGGCATTTAAGCATCTTTTTCCGAAGTTGTTAAACATGTCGTAAACGATTCTTTGGAATGAGAATGCTATTTTAATTTCGTCTAATGCAGATTAAGGTATCTTTACGCTGTTTCTTCGGATTCTCCGTATCTTTGGATTCCATGGGCGTTTTCGCACAAATCTTGTAAGCTCAATTATAAGCACGCAAGCATTGCAAAAAGTTACCGCAAAGGAAGTTTATTGTAAATTCTGGCGTGACTAAGTTGTTGGAAATTTGCTTAATTTTGACTACAAGAGGAGATCAAAGCAGAAGAACAATCTGTAGTCTCTCTTGATATTATAAGAAATTCTATGTTGAATGATAAATAAGTTCCACAAACCCGACGTCAATTAGGTGACAGAGTAATTAGGTAATTATAGTAAAGTTTTGCAAATATTTGACCTCGTTTCCGTTTAATGATCAGCCAATATCAAAGTTCGAAACCTCTCCCAATATGTGTGAGATTCTCAATGAAATTCCTCTTCATCGGCGACTGCAGAATCGCGCCCTTAAGCATTTACCCAAATTACAGTGCAGCGCGCAAAGGGAGTGACTGACCGCGTGCCACGATGAGAGCATAATTGCTCGTTTTGTTGTTCAGCACATTGTTTAATGAGTTGTTGAGTGAAAATGTGCATTAATTAATCAACATTGCAATCATCTCTCCCACCATCACGTGCTGCTGAATGCAGCAAAAAGTCCCTCATCGCAGAATGCCATGAATAAAATATGTGTAATTCGTCTGAGGAGACGCGAAGGGGAAAGAAAACATGTGTTATGTCTACTATGCAAGTCATACGAGGTTGTCGTCACCGCGGAAAAGAGCAAAACGGCCCAACAAATGGGTGGTCACGCAGAGTGGTCGAGGCGGAAAGAAATTTTTGCATTTTTCCTCCAATCTCTCCCGTTTTCGCCTTATCTCGCATGGCGTGAAAGTGAAGACATTTATTTATAGAAGAGGCAGTGAGTAAATAAATAGCTTTCCGATAATTTTTATTTTCTCACACTGGCCTCTTGTGTGTAACATTGGGTTGTGCGGTGTTATGCAATGCGCTTTTCGCTTCGAGAAAATTGAGTTTTCTTTATCAGCAACACAACAGCCATTGATCTTTGGCGCAAGTCTTAATCTCAGTGGCTTTACCGGTGAATTTTTGGTTAGAAACTTTTCCATTATGGTGGTGGAAATGAAGAAATTATGAGGCGCGATAAGAACCAGATAAGAAGTCCATTGATTAGGGACTTTGCCACTGGCGTGAGAGACCACAAAATTTGATAAAGAGAGAGATGATAAATGACCTTTTCCCCAGGCAAGAATATGCATCCATCATGAAGTAAAAAACTTGTGAAATTTGTTAATTAGATTGAAATAATGTCAGAAATAGCTTAAATGCTAATTGTCTGCACTATTTCCGAGGAGAAATCGCTCAAATTTCCCACTTTCAGTTTGGCGAAACAGCCTGGAAATGCCCTTGAAACATCCTTGTGAGGAAGAAATTTTCGGTGAAATTTTAGCATGTTTTCTCAACCCTCAGCCAATCAATAGAGCGTATTTTGACCTCTTTGCTGCACCGTCGTGTGATTTATCGTGTTAATTGCATGAAAAGCCGCCACAATTGGATGATGTGGGGCCGCAGGAAGGCCCAAAGAATTAGTTGACAATTGATTTATTCACTTTGAGTCAATTCCCAGTGACTTATTCACGCCTTTCCTGGCCTTCGGCCTCCGGCCAGACACACCGCATGCTTTGTATTAAATTACCATCAACTCCCGGACATACTGGAGTAATTTGTCTGGCTGCTGGGGCGCTTCCAAGGTTTGCAAGTGGGACAAAAACGTGCCGAATTTGAGGGAAACGCGATGGTATCAATGTTCGACAGAAAAAAAATCGATTAGCCGGCAAAGCACCGCTTCGGCGCCCTCCTCCCAAACCTTAGCTAGAGTTTCCGGTCATACAGTCGACGAGAGTGATGAGAGTGAATAATTTAGAAGGGAATTTGCCAGAAACCGCACCGAAAGCCGGCTTTATAAACAATGTGAAACATGAGAAAAGTTTTCTCACCCAGAGCCTTCATGTACTCGTCGAAGTTGTCGGATTTCTCCAGTTTGTACTTCTTGCCTTCCCACGCAGCCATTCTGGGATGATAATTGGGTGTTCACTGGGTGAAATATGCAAAGAAATTCACAAATTCGTGAGAATCACGCGAGGACTGTCAAGAGAACTGCCTGGGAGCCGCCTTTTAAAGCCCGCGCGCCATCAGTGGCCAAAATCTCGGACCCCTTCGCATCGTATTCGACCACCTTCGCTGCCCACTCTCCGCATCGCTGCGCCATCTGGACACATGGTGGTGTTTACTTTTCACGCTTTGGCGTCACATTTATAAGTAGGTGTAAAGAGGTGGTCAAAACCAGGCAAATAATCCCCTAATCCCTGTGGAGATCAATGGTTCGCGTAAAGTACAGGTGGGTCTGTCTTATTGGACAGCTTGTAGAGGAAGATTCTCTCTAATACACTTACAATTTCAGGTACAATCTTGTAAGGATTGTCACACTCGATGGCCGAGTGTTCCGGCCGGGAATTTCGGATCTCACGGAGAATCTCAAGGCTCTTTGCCACCAAAGCTATGGGGATGTGGGTCTGGCATCTGTCCAGAGCCTCAAGATCAAGTATATCGATGAGGTTTCACCGGTATTCATAGTGAGACTGCGGCATGGATGTCATAGATTTATGACGAGTGTCTTGCCACTCGTGAAGCAGGTGAATTTTAGAATTATCTTTCTCTCCTGCTTTTTTTTAGAGGTACTAAGACACTCGTTCTCTTCGGCAGATTGGCGGAACCCTCGTGAAGCTGGAGTTTTTATTCACAACAAGCACAATTAAGCGATGCTATATGTTTCTTGTGGAGAATTCTGAGAAGATTCTGCTTCCGGAAGCTCCAAAAATTCTCACCAAAGTTCAATCATCGTAAGAAATTGTGAGTACAATTAAATGAAACCAAGAAAATTTGCATTTCACGTGATAGTTTCCACTTGGGAAACTCCTGAAACAACTCCATAAACTTTTCCTAGCGCTCATTCATATATTTTTTCTATCGATCCACAAAGTGAAGAGCCAGCAATAAATCATATGGTTTCCGCCTTCATCCATTCTGCACGACTTATTTATTCCGGCAGCGTCTCGTGGTGGCTTTTCTCGCCACGCTAATGAGTTGAAAATGCTCTCCATCCCGCCCTTCATGGGCGAAGGAGGGCCCGGAAAAGTCGTGCTGTGGAAAAAGTAACTGAAACCTTAAGAGGATTCTTTGCCCGCCCCTCGTGAAGAGTCGTCGCATGTCGATTGTCCGGTGATTTTCCGGGGGTGGGAAAGCCCGCGAAAATTGAGACAGACTGGGGCATAAATCGCGAGGGGATTTCTCTTGAATCTCTCACGCAGCATCGCGTTAACCCTCGTAAGGGCGAAAAATATTCTCTTCGACATTTTCAACAATTTGAGGGAAACAAATAGATTTATTGTAAATAGAGATTTTTGAAATCAAATCCTAAATTAGCTTTTTATATGTATAGTGAAAATATTTCTGCAAACAACAATCTTATTTACTTACCTGAAACAGTTCTCGCACCCACTTGAGGGTTAACGCAGTCTTGGCGAGACTTTGACTGCGAAATTCTCTCTTGGAGCTCACAATCAAAGTGCAACCGACACGCTGTGCAGACCAACAATAGTCTCTCCGCTCTTCAGTGGTGGTTATCAAGGGAAGGAGTCATTTTTCCGGTCTCTTTCCTCATTTCTTGCGATTAGTGACCAGTTTGTTGCTTTGTGGCGCGAAAATGGAGGAGAATTCCATGGATTTGATGGATCTGATTGACGAATTCCTCAGGGATTCCCTTGAGTTTGCCGAGGAGTTGCTGTGTCACGTGTGCGGAGAGAAATTGGTAGGCGACGCGACTCTTCAGCATCACCTCGAGGGTCACGGTGACAGTTTGAAGGGCTTGAAGTGCCTCTTCTGCTCGAAGAGCTGTTGTGACATGAATGACCATATCGCTGATTGGGACTTCACAGAGGATTTGCTTGATATGTGTCAGATTGAGGAGGATGCTGAGAGTGAAAAGCAAGTTTCTGATGAGAATCCAGAGGGGGAAAAGACAGAAGCATTCCAGGAAATCAGCCAATGCGAGATTTGCGGGAAAATCATGCTGAGATCTTCAGTGGGAAGTCATCTGAGGACCAAACATTCGTCAAAGAAGCCTTTTGAGTGTGAGAAATGTGGAAGATGTTATAAATCCAGAGGATCTCTCAAGTTTCACCAGGAGAATCACAGGAAGAGAACAAAGTCGTGGACTTGTGAGAAGTGTGGCAGTTCATTTTTCGATGAGAAGTCACTTCAGGCTCATGTGAGAAGGATTCACGGTCAATATCCAAGCTTGAGCTGCTGTCCAGTGTGCGAGAAGTCCTTTAGGACGCCATATGATTTGAAGTATCATCGAGAGACTGTGCATCCAACGTCGGAGAAGAGGTTCAAGTGCCAGACTTGTTGCTTGCCTTTCAAAGGACTACAAGGACTGCGTCGCCATGAGGCTAAGCATTGCGAGGGTGAAGTTCTTCCTTTTGAGTGTTCCTATTGTGACGTGAAATTCACTAGTCAGGCTCCTTGTCGTCGTCATGAGGAGAATTGCAGTGGCCAGATGAAATATCCATGCAAATTCTGTCCGGAAAAATTTACCACCTACATTAGACTCAGAGGACATCGCAGGAGAGAACATAAGGAGAAGATTTTGAGAAGGAAGCCCAGGAAAAGTCAAGGATCTTTGTGACTTTACGTGACATTTACTTCTATTTAATTACAGTAATTTTAAGTACCAATAAAAAAGTGACTGTAAAATATCACTCAATGAAATTGATTGATAATCAATCTGACTATAATGGATTTGAATGGCACCTAGGTTCCATTTTAGGAATGACGTTGAGTCTGTCATGTTTGAACACTTAGTCTTCATCCTCACTCTCCATGGCGGCTTGGATTTGGCTCTGCAACGATAAAAGACGATTTAATAATGCCTATTCAGTGCCTAGGTTCCAATCTAAAGGCTGTACCTCTCTAACCAGTCTTGCGATTTCGGCTTTCTTCTCCCTCTTGAAGAATCCAAGCTGAAAAAAACGAAAGACATGATAAGTTTTGTGTCAGAATTTGATGGGAAATCGCCTTACCCTATATAAAACATAGGTGATGATTGTCAGGAGCAATAGTCCACCTATTACCGACACAACAATCACCCAGATTTGCAGCTCTTGTGGAATGTCTTGCACAAAGTGTGTGTAAGTGGGTGTCTCGGAAATTTTTATCGTGCTCCCTTGCTCGTCATCGTCTCTGGTTATTGAAGGGACGATTCTCAGCACTAGGGAGTCCCTGTTCTCATCCAATACTGAGTTGACAGCCTGCAAGTCCACTGGGAAGGTGAGTTTAATCATAACTGGAGGATCATTTGGTGTGATTGAGGCTGGAATTGACACTGATCCCTTGATGCAAGACACTTGCTCCTGTTTACAATCTAAAATAATGGTTTTGTCGATCCTGGAACCTAGAAATTGAGATCGGAATTAGGGAAGTTCAAAGTGTAGTTATGAGTTTGTCGGTTCATACCCAAAATAGCATCATCTAGGCTTCGAGCGCTGCTCGGGTGGTTTTCAGTGAGTCCTAATGTGTAGGGATTGAAGGAAGTTGTGGTTTCTAGACTCCTTCTCTTTCTGTACACTTGATTGAAGTCATCGTCATTGTTGTTCTGGTTGTTTGTGTCTAAATTGAGATCGAAACCCAATTTGGAAGAATCGTAATTGTTTCCACTGAGATCATCAGCAATGGCAGGGAAGCTGGTTGTGTATTCTGTAGGGTTCTGAAGGAGAATGTTGTTATCTTGACTCCAGGAGATGAGCAAGGCTAAGGACTTGTAGTGGGCGATCGCTATGATCTCGCTGAACTTTATGAATTGTACCGAACGTCGGCCAAACATCATAGAAATGGGAATATCGAAGTGAATCTCGCCCGGCCTCAGTGGTGTTGGCCCTAGGTTCCGGAATTCGAGATAATAGGTGATGTTCTCGTTGTCATTTCGGTCCCTGATGGCCACGAAAGGAGGATGTGACTTCCCGACGATTTCAACGTCGCTGAACTCTTGAATGGGAATCATGAACTCTATAGTGTTATCTTCGGGTGTCTCTTCATCTCCTGTACTTGAAACATTGGCTGTTATGAAGACTTCCGTGCCCTCGAGGTTTGAGGGATCGAGTCTGAAGGCGATGGAGCGACTCTGTCCTCGAAGAAGAGGCTCAGAGGAGAGATCACAGGTCATAATGTCCTCGTCTAGGTGGCACTGCGGGAGAACTTGCATGAAATTGAGGCTTGGACTCTTCTCGACGGATATTTTAGGAATGTAGGCTGTCTCTCCGTGGTTCACCACCTCATACTGGACTCGGAATGTCTCAGTGGATCCTAGAATGTAGGGCTGCGGAGCGAATAGTTTGCCAGAAATCCTGAGATCCGCTCTGCAAGGAATGTTCTGGCATCCTGTGTTGAAAACTGCTTGACTGCGGGCGTAGGTTGGATCATTTGGGTTGACAGAGACACAATTTGAGCAGAACTCCTCATCTTGTTGAATGTTGCTTATGATCTCCCAGGACATCTCCAAATCCATAGGCTTAAAAATAGTCTCTGCTCTAGATTCAACGGATGCCTCAAATATCTTGCATTGACTAAAGCTTTCGGCCTTTTGCTCGAATTGTAGACTATTTTTGCTCTCGGGAAACATTATTCTTCCATACTGAGCGTCTGCGGTGATGTTCATCGAAAGGATGATGTTGCTGGGGAAGGTCGTTGGGGATTGAAGGGACCAACAGACTGAGATCTCCATGCTCCTCTCCCCGATGTCCATCTCCCGTTTGTTGGGGCTGATCGTGCCGATGACCTTGACTACTGGATAGGTGCGATAGACAAAGACCTTCTCATCTTCTGGGGCGCCAATTGCCACGTCCACATATCCGTTGGCATCGATGTCCACTCCGCGGGAGATGCTGTAGCCGAAGAGGCGATTTCCTCCTGGGGATAAGATCTTCTGGACGGGTTTTTTCTGCAGACCTTCTCGGCTGCCCAGGAATATGTACACCACTCCACTGTCTTCATACGGAGCTCCGACTGCGAGATCTGGGAAGAGAAAGAGTTGATATTACTTGAAAGGAAGTGGCAAAATGAGAATATTTTCTGCAATCGCGAGAGAAGAAGTGTAGTGAAACATTATATCTGTTTGTCTTTTCAAGGGTATTGTGTGATAGTAATTTGCTGTGTAACTTACCATTGAACCCATCCAGATTGATGTCCCCAATCTTGCCGAAACTCGTCCCAAATCTTCCTCCAAGTTCATCAGATGTGATCACCAATGGTTCTTCAGAGAATTGAAGCTTTCCCAGGTTTGTGTAAACGTAAATCGCACCTTTGTCAGTGTCATCTTCGCGATGATATGGCGCGCCTACGACCAAGTCTGGGAACTGATCACCGTTGAAGTCCTCAACTAACAAACTCGAGCCGAAGTATTCGCCGAAAGTGGGCGCTTTGAAAGTCCAGTACTTTTTGATTGATTTTATCACAATATCTGTGGTTTCAATGTCGAATAGGTAGACTTCGTTGGCACGCGGAGCTCCGGCCACGTAGAGGATTTTCCCAGTTCCGGGACCATGGAAGAACCCGGATCCGATGGCATAGCCAAAATAGGAATCCTCCTCTTGTGTCAATCTTGATGGGATTGGGATCTCTTCACTTAAATCAATGCTACTGGTGAATCGGGCTGATTTTTCCTCATGTCGGAGGCTGTTTGTCTCTCTCCTGGACAAACCACCGTCGAAGGAGGTCTGCTTGTACCGTATGACGGTACCCTTCCAGTTATATACTCCCACAGCGCCCAAGAGGATCTCCTCGTTGTTCTCAGTGACGTGAGAGCTGAATCCTGCCTGTCCCATCATGTACAAATACACGCTCTCGGAGTTAATCTGAATGCCAGCATCCTTCTTTCGCAGCGGCATGAGCTTCCGGATGCCCTGAGGTTGCGTGTCTGTTGTGTTCTCAATCCAGTAGCAAATGCCGTGGAGAAAGTGTTGCGAAGTCATGTTGATGAAGTTGCGCGAAGCGCAAGCAACGAATTTGGCCTCATCGCGTCCTGGACCGTCAATTGAGGCACCCAGCCACTGCTCATCCTTTGTTTCTGAGTTTATTGGACTCGCCTCTGCTTGGATATTTCCCAGTTTGTCGAAGACATAATGGTGACAAGTTGAGGATTTAATGTCGCATTTGTAGATTGCTCCTGGTTCACGAATTTTCCGCTGCGCTTCAATGCGAGGCGGCGCCCGAGGAGCTCCGACAAGGAGGCTAGAACAAGGATAAGAAAGCTCTAATTAGTATGATTTTTAACTTATTTTTCAAAGCATTCGTCTTATTTAGTGTCTTTTCAAGAAGTGCATAATAATCAAAATTTTCGGACGTTTAGACGCTTGACTCAATTCTGATGATTCACACAAAATGTCTCAAAAATAAGCACGAAGAGCAAGTTTCTTTGTAGCCCATCAAAGCATTTGTTTACATTTCTTTAAATCAAACTACATTTGACACTAATTTAAGAACTTATGAGATGTGATTTTGGGTGCTGAACACGACGAATTTCTGCTACATATATTGGTTAATTTGTTTACACATTTGCTCAATTTCCCCATATTATTCATTCACATTTATTAATCATCACAAGCCGCAGTGGTTTCAGCGGAAATTCACCTCAAGATTTGTACATGATTTTCTGGTGTTTAGCAGGAAAATGACGATATATTTAATATCATTCTTGAGCTTCTTTCCTGCATTTTACGCGATAACACTTTGCACAGAATGTTTGATAAGCGCTGTGTGTTCGCGGCCAATCGCGTTTGTGCGGCGATAAGAATCGCGAAGACGGGCGGCGGCTGGATAGAAAAATCACTCATGCGACACTTTTTCTCACCTGTTTGGCCTCAGATTGAGGCTGTAGCCGAAATATGAACTCTGGTTCTTGTGCGGATCGAAACTGGTGATGAGTGGCGGTTCTTGTAGGACGTGATTTGGCGTTGGGGACAAATTGTAGGCAATTGTTGGCGCCAAGATGCACAAGAGTGGCAAAAGCGTGGCCCAAAAAGACATTTTTCTGATGATTAAGCACTCAGCAAAGGTGACTAAAAGCGTGATTCACACACAGAAGACTTTCAATTCAGGCGAGACAGTGTGTCTGTTTTTTTCTGTATGTTTTAAACAACTAGTTTTGGGTACATCTTCTCACATTGAATATCCGCGAAAGACTAAAGTTGAAGCTCGCGCGTGAAGTCAAGTTTGTCGCAACAAGTGTGACGCTTCTATGACTTGATCATGCTTCTCGATAAAATACACTGAGAGGAATTTTGTGTGGGACTCAATTGCGTCTCTGTGGATCAGGAATTCCCCAATCAAATGATGATCTGTATTTTTTTTTGTTCTCTCTTTACAGAAGCTGTTCATGGATCGGCGGCGCTCTGGATTTCCTGATTGATCCAGTCGCGATAGTGGGAAACGCGCACGAAGACATTGGGATGGCCACTATTGCAGGGTGGCATCCAGAAGCTGGCAATGCCAACGAGAAAGCGATCCAGAAAATGCAGCAGAGGTCCTCCCTGATCTCCGAAGCAGAGGCTAGTTGTGAGACTTCCCTGTGCGCACCACGAAGCCTCAGTGACCAGCTGGTTGCCGTACACGATCTGGCACTGGTTGACGGGCAAAAGAGTGGTGAACGCTTGCTGCAGAACGTATGGGACGGCGTCCGGAGTGGTGGGATTGGTGGAGCCATAGCCGAAGTAGATGTATTGCATGGCGGGCATTAAATCAACAGGCGCCATGACGATTGGCGTTGCGATGTTCGCAGCCACGGATTCGGTGAGTTGAATAATAGCCAGATTGTTGTTAAGGTTGACAGGATTGAAGTTGGGATGAACTGTGGCATTCTGACTAACGTAGAAGTGCATCAGCAAGCGATTTACATGGCCCAGACCGACTTTCCAGCGATGGTAGCTGAGGAAAAAGAGGTGTTTTAGAGGGATTTGGACTCAAAGTTTTGCGCCACTTTTCTCACCCATGAGCTGCTTGACCAGCCGTTAAAACGTGCGATGGCGAAATAAGGACGCCGCTGAAAAGATATCCGTGGTCTGTGGATGTTTCCAAGAGGCTCACGATGAGACAAACATTCGTGAATTCATTAGCTGCATTCTCGCCTCCTATTATGAACTCCTCAGGTTGATTGGCAGCTTGATTAGTTGGGCTTGCCTGCAACAATTGAAGAGCAAAAATACTCTTGAGAAATGCAACTCTTTATGATCGTTACTTAATGTAAAAAGAATAATGGTTTCCTGCGTTTTCTGTTTAAATCACCGTTAACTACTCTTCATTCGTTTTATTAGCCTTTGTTTGATTAATTCATACTTAAAAATAGAGGCTTGATTAGTGACGAAAGGAATTTGTCCAATCATTTTTTTGAACTCCAATTTTTTTTTTTAATTTATGACTTTCAAACTACAAAAAGTGTGTTATTTTCTTACATGGAGATGAAGAATGTCGAGAAGGTGAAACAGGATAAAAATTTTGGCAATTTTCTGCAACATTTTCACAGCACTGAATTTGACTGAAGTTTCTTCCACGAAAGCTTCCTTGATACTGACTTTCGTGCGAAATCGTGTCATTGTTTCTCTGCTTTTTTTTATCGCTACTCCGTGGGGATTTTATCTGATCCCGGGGTGGCTTAAGATTGTCAGAAAAAAAGAAGAATTAATGCATTTTTCAAGTGATGAATTTATTGATTTTCCTCCAAATGATTTCCAGGAAAGTGTTCAGGAAATTGGAGCCGCGATAATGGTGTTGATCCAGGTAATGTGATAATCCACGCGCACGAAGACGTCGGGATTGCCACTATTGCAGGGATTCATCCAGAAGTTACTCAGGCCCACGAGGTAGTTCAGCAGGACGTGGATCACAGGTCCGCCTTGATCACCGTGACAGAGGCTAGACATGAATTGGCCACCGCACCAGGTGCCGTTGGTGATGAGCTGGCCGCCGAAGATGGCTATGCAGGCCTCTTGCGGCAGGGAATTCGTGTGGCCCATCTTGACAATGTCTGGGATGGAGTTGAAGTCCGATGGGTCTGTGATGCCGAAGCCGTAGTACGTGTACATGGGACTGCTGATGATATTGTCGGGCGGCAGTGAGATTGGCAAGGCAAGGAATGGCGGAATGTTTTCTGGCATGATGAGGATGCCGATGTTGTTGTGCAGATTGGCGGCATTGTACGCTGGATGGATCTCTGAGTCGGAGACGTCGAAGTACTGCATGTAGTGGCGATTGACATTGCCCAGGCCAACTTGCCAGTTTGAGAAGCTGAAAGGGAAGATCGGCGGATCAGTGTTTTATTCTATGTCTTTAATCTGTGCTTCATACTCATGGATCGCTTGACCAACGGTCAGCGTGTGTCGAGTCGAGATGAGACAGCCCGTGAAGAGCCATCCATAGTTGGGATTGTTGTCCTGGAAGCTGACAATGAGAGCGACAAAAGTAATCCCATCCGGAGCGGGATTTCCGCCAACGACAAAGTTCTCAGGCAGAGAGGCTGGCTCAATAATGGGAGAGGCCTGAAAGAGAGAGAGGAAGAGTGCGAAACCAGTCCCTGAATAATCTCACAATAGTAACTGTTCCTGATGCAAACAGACAAAGAAGAGCCTTTCAGTGTGACTCTGGCGGTGGAGAAATGCGGCTGGGCGTAGTTTTGGATAGTGAGAATGGGATATACTTTGCCGGTGACAAGATCACCGGCGAAGTAACTGTGGATGTGGAGCGTCCGCAAGCGCTGAAGATGATCACGGTGATGCTGCGCGGCATAGCGAAGATTGCCTTCAGAGAGGGAGCGGGTCTGCCTTTCTTCCTGGCCACCAATAATCTCTGCTACGACCAGCAAACTATAATGTCCCGCGAGGTGATTGTCTTTGCCAACTCCAATCCGTCACCAGTGATGGAGAAGGGCTCGTATTCCTTCGGGTTCAGCTTCCTTCTGCCCAACCTCATGGTATCGAGTTTCAAATCATCACACGGATATGTAACTTACACGCTGGACATTGTGGCGAAGAAGAGGTTCTTCGTGGAGCGCCTGCATAAGGAGCTGAAGATCTTCGAGTTCAACGAGGACACTCCTCAACTCTCCTACAGACCACTGAAATTCGAGAAAGTCATCCTACCACGGCTTTCCTGTCTCTTTCGCTTCTTCCTTCAGCGCGAGGACATCACGGCGCGATGCCACATTCACATCCCGAGGATTACATTCTACAGCGGCGAGAGCATTGACGTCAACGTGGTCCTCATGGACTATCAAGTGGGAAGTGAGTATAGAATTTCATATTGGAAGGCTTTTTCTTAAGGGAAACGTGGAAAACCATTGACTTTTAGCTCATGTTGCCTCCAAATCACGACGTTTTATCTTCTTGACTGTTAATCCTTGTGGATTTGAATTTTTTATTGGACTCAGTGATAAGATGTGGTTCTCTTTGACCATCTCGCTTCCACTATCTTGTGGAATTCCAGAGGAAATATGTCAGAAATATCTGGTATTTATAGAATCACCTTGACTCTGTCTTCCAGATCGCGGAAAATCGGCCGTTATCATCACTGAGCTGCTGCAGGAGTTCGCCTTTCAGGGGGGCTTTAGCAGCCGAAGCCTGGTGGAGCCGCGCCGGGCCATTGCAATGAAGAAGACGAAGGACGTGAAGGCGTATCATCAGCTAATTGTGCCCCCTTGTCCCAGAACTGGGGGTGTGTATCGCAGGGCGCGCGTTGGCTACTACGTGAGGGTGCGCGTGCAGATGCGATGTCGCCAGTACCACTTGCTCATTCCCATCACCCTCACTGGGCCACTAAACGACATGTCCAGGAAGTGGCAGAGTCACTATGAGCAACATGACCAATCGTCAGTGTCGTCGGAGCCGGAATTGGCGCCGGCCGAGAGCATGCAGCGGCACGCTGTCACTCTCTTGCAGCTCCTCACCACCAAGAAGGAGCACTGCACAAGCATGGAGGGATTGGACATTCCGCAGTCGGTGCCAGAGGTGGGTGAGGATTTCGACGAAGTCGACATGATAGAGAAAATTCGTAGCACGCCAGACAGCCTTGTGACTCTAATTACGCCGCCCGAGAGTTTTGCTACTCACCCTGGCCAGGAGCACGAGGAAGCCGGTGGTGATGAATAGGAGGTGTGTCTGCATCTTAATGGATGTGTCCACAATGCACGAGAGGTACTTTTTCACTGATTTTCTTTGAATTTTCTCGGGGTTTTTTATCACACATGGGATTATAGATAACAGCAAGAGCGAGTTAGATTTCAATGGAAATGCGGCTGTAATTGATTGAATGGCAGCGAGAGTCCCTCGGCTGAGGATTAAAGAATATGATTGTTGTAATAAATGGGCATTTTCTTATCAATTTTCTGTGTTTTTCCACGAATTTCCATTCTGGCGCGCGCGGAGGCAATTCTAGCGGCGTGAAGTTGGTTACAATACACGCGCAGCGCCACTTTGTCAGCGCGCGGTGACATTCGGCACTACGCCCCACTCTTGCCACCTCGAAGTGGAATCTTGCAACCCTGTTCAAAACAAGATGTCCGCAAAAATCGCGTATACATTATCACATAATTTAATTATCGGATTTTAATTGGAATTTTGAGACATTCTGAGGTGTGTGATGTGCGACAAAGTGCTCTGTGTGTGCCCGTGATGGTGTTGTGACGCCCCATGTGCTGCTAGCCGCGCTCCAGGTGTGATTTTCAGCGATCAGTGTTGAGGCCCGACCTGCTCACATTGAGGCGCTTGCGACGGGGGCCCGTGAACAGCTGCAGACGCGGGAGGCCACTGTGTGGATTAGGTGGTGCGACAGGTGACTAAGGGGGCGCGTGGGAAAGTGTAGAAATCAATGGGAGAAATTAATGGGCTCAGATAACTGTGCTTTGGCCACCATTTCCATTCTGGCGAGATGGTAGCGCCCTCTTGCTGGCGCCCTGCAGCCGAATTGCGGCCCTTGCGGGCTGCTGGGCGCCCACGGGGGTCACCCACCCACTCCTGGGACACCACCCCGTGATCCCCAACCCCGGGCTGAGTGCAAAAAGCACCCTCATTTGCTGTAATCCGTGTAGGAAGGTTGGTGTGCGAGTGTGAGTGACTCCGGGAAGCGTGTGAGTGAGACGGAGTGTGAGAAAGCAGAGGCGAAGAAAATGCAGCGAAAAGTCAATTTCCGCGAGATTTTCTGCAATGGAAATTGCTTAGCGGGGTGCATTAGATGTCAAAGAATGACATTTTGTGGAAAAGTGCGGGATATGTGGTGTGGGATGTAGTGAAAATGCGTCTTGAAAATGTTTCTCCATCTCCCTCCCGCCCATTTACCTTCCGCTGTAATACATAGAGGCGCCTACTATATGGACGACAGCTCCATCTACGACCCAACCTGACTTTGTCTCGCTCTCGTGTGCGTCTCTTTGCCTGGGCGGGCATCGGAGTGCGAGAGAGACGGCGCGATGGGAGCCTGTTAGTTGGGGCTTCGAAAAGGGGTGTGAGAGGATGTCGCTAGCATCTACGTGGAGGAGAGAACGAGAAAGAGAGAAAGAGAGAGAGAGAGAGAGCGAATTGCGGTGTTGCCACAAGAATCGACTTGGAACATTGTGTATTTTCTTCCGATTCTTATTTATCACGAAATTTCTCCACCTCACTTTGATGGGTGTACATAGGGAGTATATGTGTGTGTTGGTACATAGGCTAGGCTCTCTTGTGGGTACATAAAAATAAGAATTGATGTGTGAGAAGAGGCAAAAAGGAGAGACTTTTTCTCGGGTCAGACTCCCTCTCACTCTACCCAAGCGCCGCCATGAGGAGCGACGGTGAGAAGGGGAGACTCGAAAGAATTTTCAACCATCTTTGCCTCTCTTCTCGCCATTTATTATTATTAATAATATTTATTGAAGAGTTTCTCACAATACACACACAACACGCAAGACGGGGGGACGAGAAGGAGGCAAAGAAGCAGTGCAGACGGAGGAGAGACAAAGCAAAATGACAGAGCGAGAGAGAGATGGAAGTGGAGAGAAAAAAGACCTCTAAAATTTGTATTTTTTCGTGTTTCTTACAAGAGAGAACCACCTTTTTTTGCCCACTTCTCGTACATTTCTTAAGACGGTGTTTTTTTGTCTGCACTCTCCCGGTCAATTGAAGTGTGGCGAAGGTAAAGCCGAAGAAAATGAGAGGAGAAAAAAAAAGATGCGGCGATTTTTTCAAGCAAAAAAGGTGATTTTTATTGGCAGTTGGCATGACAATTGCCTGTCACACACGAAGTGACGAGAAAATGGCTAAAAATACGACCTTTAATGCTGATTTCAGGCGAAGGAAATCCCTTTTTGTCTCTCTCTCGCTCTCACTCTCTCTGACTTTGAGGTTATATTGGGGCTGTGATGAGTGAAAATTGCAAGGAAAGCCAGATGGCTTAATGTTTGGGGGGTGATAATCCGGAGAAAAGGGAGGTCTTTCCTATCGATTCACTGCATAAGTATCCATCTTCCGCCCAGTTTGTGGCACTTTCTGCCCTCTTTCACCCTGAAATGTTGTTTATCTTGTCCGGAAATCGATAATACTGCCTTTCCATTGCCTCCTGCATTCGCATTTCTTCGATCTTTTTGTTGTTGTGCGAACAATTTAGGGCGGAATTTGCGCTATTTGCAAGTTGAATGCGGGAATAAAAAGAGGGTATTTATTAGCGAAAATTCTTGTCATTGCTTTTTTTTTCATCTTACTTTAAAGAGAATCGATGGGAAATTGAGGCGTAGTTTCCAGACTATTGATTTTTTCTCATGATGCTTAAATTTAGGAAGAATTTGAGTGCCAAGAAAACAGATTGCCAAGGAAAAGAGATCCTTTTTTTTCTTTCTCAGACGATTATTTTTGTATTTAATAAGTCGCTATTTTTTCCCTAAATAATGTCGTCGTTAAATTGCCTGACATATCTTTGTTTTTTCTTATTAGATTCTAACCTCTCTCTCCAGTTTGATCTTCCTTGCATTGCTTAAATGCATGTAAAGCTCAAAAACTGGTTTAAATACTCATGTGTCCGAGAATAAGCAGTGTTTTCACATATTTTTAGATCCTTTCGTGAATCTGTATATCTGACAATGATTGTGTTTAATACCATCAAATGCATCCTTGATGTATTAAAGGCTCTTTGTAGGGGAATTCCTTGTCCTGCAACAAAGACTCTTTACTCTTTTGGCATCTCGTCTGTAAACGCACAAAGCCTGCCTTTCTGCACCACGCCAGCTCCTCCCTTTTCTCTCTTGTCACTTCCTGGGCTGCTTGTGACGTCTCACTGACCTCTGAATCACCCCGTTTTGCAGGAATTTTCGCTCGTGGGTGCAAAAAAGAGCTTGAAATGTCAGTTGGAAAAACGTGTGTCAGGAAATTCTCGATGAATTTGCGTCTTTTGATATATCTGGGCGCGCGTGTGTGTGCGTGAGAATTCCATGAGTGGGAAAATATCAATGGTGCTTCTTTGCTGATGAGAGAAAATTGATGAATTTCCTCTGTGCTGCGCCACCTTTAATGTTGGCGACCGGGCGCGACTTTAAGAGGCTTGCGTTTTTGGTAAGGGGGACGGGAGAGGGAGGGAGGGTGAATGTGGGGTTGTTCGATGGGCGGAGGGAGGAGAGTTCACGGTGAAAATAGAGTGAGAGAGAAAGAGAGAGTCTCTCTGTCGCCAGAGGGGAAATTGGGAAAAATGCTGTCTTATATAATTGTGTTTTGGGGGGCGCATCAGGACTTCTCGCTCTGTCGTGCAATATAATTTTTGTAATATTTGACAGACGACGGCCTTTTAACTCATTCTTGGCATGATTGTGTATGTGTGTGTGTGTGTGTGTTTGAGGAGGAAATTGCCGTCAATGTATAAATAGCACTCCGTTTTGGGTTTGAGACGCGAATGCGAGCGAGATGACTGCATGTGTTGCGGAATGGGTGTGAGAGCGAGAGCGAGAGGGAGTGAGAGAGTGAGTGGGATGGGAAGCTGTGGAGCTGTCCTAGTCTCGCCCTTATCCCGTTACGTGACATCAAATGAGAAACACACGAAATTCACTGTCATTTCCAACATGGTGTCTTGTGTCTTTGGGGCGCACCATACATAGCGAAATGTCCCCTTTTCCGGGTGCATCCGCGGTAGCTGGTGGGGCTCTGGGGGTGTCTTGCGTGGCTGGATTGCGAACAAGTGGGTGTGCTGAGATTTCTGCAGGTGGAGGGAGAAAAACACCCTGAAATCCCAGGGTAAACAGGCTTCGAGGGTGGCTTTTGGGGTATCCCAGGGTGATCTCTGCAGGGTGAGTGGAGAGTATTGGAGGGGAGCAATATGGTGGCAAAAGTTGGCTCATGCCAGATCGCACTTCCGGGTTCTTCACACTCTCAGTCAGTGTCTCAAAGGGTGTTTCATTGCTGGAAAGCAGTGTCGTTGTTGGGTGATGTGGTCTCGTGGTTTGTGTCTGCTTTTCATGATTTACCCTCTGTAGGTCAAAGGCGCGTGTGTGTTTTCTGCTGCCATATGTGATGATGATGTGAAGTGTGCAATCTGACTAATAAGTGTCTTATTTGGCTTCTTTGCAGGCGCTAAGCGTATAAAAAATGCCCAGTGGATGGCCAGGAGTGCGCTGAAAGTGAGGGCGAGAACCAGAATCAGTGTGGCACAAGAGAGACAGAGTGAATAGGAGGACAAGCGAGCAAGATAGTTTCTAAGATATAGTTGGTTAGATTGAATTTGTGTAATTGTACGCGGTGGCGAGAGAGAGGAGAGAGAATAGGGCAGTTTTTTTTATACACAGAATAATCCATCCCAAGAGCACCCGAGTTATTAATAATAGTGATAAGTCCGGTGATAGACGATAGTTTAGAGAAGGCTGGAAAGAGAGAAAGAGCCAGAGCGAGAGAGAGAGAGAGAGAGTTTCGTGTCTGTGTGTGAAAAATCTCTGTGAAACAAATTGGACGATGCAGGGTGTGACGGAATGAGATGGAAGCGGCTGTTCGACTAGTGCAAGGTGGTGGCCCAAATGGGCAGCGGATTGACACGACGGGCGGCCAGGGTGGGCAGCAGCAGCCGAATGCACTGACACATCAGGTGCGGTCAGTGCCGCCACCGGGAACGCCGTCGGGGGTGGCGCAGGTGCGCCCCATGGACATCCAGGCGGGCTACGTGGGGAAGCTGCAGGCACCCATGCAGAAGGTCAGCCGCTCGAGTCCAATGTCGCCGCCGCGGACTGTCGCCACCACGTACTACACGGGCACGGTGGTGCGCGATCCGGGGGCGCGGTACAGCCAGCAGATCCCCTACAGGCAGGTGGGTCAATACAGAGAGACTCCCTACAAAATGCCAGCCAATGCAAGTTTATTTTCTACCATAATAGATTCGATCTGTACCTAGAGTAGAGTTTGTCAAATTGATGCTGGAATGCTTCTTGCAGGTGCACCAGATGGACTACCATCGTCTCGTGTCGAATGTGTCCTCGGCGACAAACAGCTTGATGGTGGGCGGCGGTGGGAGTGCCGGGCCGGCCATGCACGAGGCGCCACCGCCTGGAATTGTGGAGAATCGCCAGCGAATCTCACTACTGCCGTATGGAGCCGGGAGTTTTATGCCTTCGGCGCAGACGCGTCAGATCCCAGCAGCGCCTGAGCATGAGTTGGACGGGCAGCCGGGCATCAAGAGGATCTGCCTGGGTGATGGCCAAGGTATGCTGAAGATTGAGGAGCAAGATCAAGGGTCTGGCTATCAGCCGCGAATCAAGAGAATTTGTGTGGATGAGACGACAGGAATGCTGAAGGTTGAGGATCCGGAGGCGCAGTCGGCGGGATATTTGAAGAGGATTCGCTTGGGTGAGGCGCCGGGCATGCTGAAGATTGAGGTGCCAGACGCTCCACCAGCAGCGGGAGCTTATCATCCTCAAGTGGAGGCGATCTCACCCACACCCGATTCCGCCGAGGAGTTGCGCGCCACGAAGGACGACTTGCTGCAGCAGATCTCGAAGGTGGACAGTGAGATTGGGAAGGTGGAGAAGTCGATTGAGTCGCTGAAGAAGAAAGAGGCATCGCTCCAGGAGGCGTCAGCCAAGCCACCCGCCACAGAGGAGACGTCCGAGACGCTGCCGAAGCACCGCAGCTTGGCGCAGAAGATCTATGCGGAGAACAAGAGGAAGGCTTCCCTGGCGCACGCAATGCTGACTAGTCTGGGTCCGCCCATTGATCTGCCGCTGTACAATCAGCCGTCCGATGTGGAGGCGTGCCGGGATGTTATTCAGCGGAATGTGGCCTTTAAGCCGAAGCTCCTGCTGCACTGTCAGAAGATCAAGTCGGAGAAGTCGGCACGGAGCGTGGCATTTGCTGAGTGCTACTTCCAGAAGTCGCAGGAGTGGCTGAGGCGGGTGGAGAAGACCGAGGGCAGCGCCAAGCGGAAGACGAAGGAGGCGAAGAATCGTGAGTTCTTTGAGAAAGTGTTCCCGGAACTGCGAAAACAGCGCGAAGATAAGGAGAGATTCAATCGTGTGGGTTCGCGAATAAAGTCTGAGGCTGATTTGGAAGAGATTATGGATGGTCTTCAAGAGCAGGTGTGTGTTTTTCCCCGAGCACTGCAGCGTGTGCGTTGTGTGTCAGATAGTCATGCTTTCACTGTTCTTTTTATTTCACTTTGCAGGCAATGGAGGACAAGAAGATGCGCTCTTATGCTGTAATACCACCACTCATGCTCGATGCGCACCAGAAGAAGTACTTCTTCATAAATGAAAACGGCGCTATGGCTGACATGGAGGCTGATTTCAAGGTATTTCACAGCATGGCTGAGATATATAGAGCATGACCCAATTCACAATTTCCGCTGCATTGTAGGATCGTCAACACTTGAATCTGTGGACGACTGGTGAGAAGGAGATGTTTAAGGAGAAATTTCTGCAACATCCCAAGAACTTTGGGGCAATTGCAGCCAGTTTAGATCGAAAAACTGCACAGGTAAGGCAAAGTTCTGCACATTTGTGAAATGTGACACTGATGACGTGTTTAATATCGCTGATTTGTGTTTGCAGGACTGTGTTAGATATTACTACTTGAGTAAGAAGACGGACAACTACAAGCAGTTGCTGAGAAAGGCACGTCAGAGGACGAGAAGTTCGAAGAATCCTCAAAAGTCGACAATAAATCAGTCTCAATGTATTATTGATGCACTAACAACTGGCGTGACGACAAGGTGAGATTGGAATTTTGGGTGTTTGGTGACTTTTTGGCTGACTCTTGTGTGTTCTTTTGCAGATTGCAGCGCGAACAGCAGCAGAAGATTGGCGGCCGTGATCGCTCCACGGCAACATCAACGGCCAGCAGTCAAAATAGCGCAGCGGCAAACACTTCAACCGCTAGTGGCGCAGCCACTCCAGTGTCCGCGGCCAGCAGTAGTGCGTCCGCGCCGGCCAATGTGGCTGTGGTCGGCCAGACGCCAGTGAACAGCCTGGCGGCGTCGAGTAGCGGCCAAGAGTGTGGCACCAGTGAACATGAGACGAGCCAGTCTTTTCTCACGCAGACCACGAGTCAAGTGACCACGACGACAGCCGGCCAGAATCATGTGGAACCGAGCGAGAGTGGCGGACAGAATCACCAGCAGTCGGAGGCTTTTTCCGGCACGCCAAGCGACGCGTCGGCCAACGAACAAAACACCAGTCAAAATTATGGTGCAATTGACAGTATCTCAGTGCCTCTCCATCAAATGGAGTCACATGCGACGACTAAGAAGGACTTGAGGTGAGTTTTTCCTTCATCAGCAAATTCCTGAAATTTTCCATAGAGTCTCGCGGTGCGTGATATTGATGGATTTGTATGTGTTTTTTTTCTTTCTTACTAATTCTATCTTTATTCGACTCTTCACGCAGCATCACACTGGAAAGAACTGGTAAAGATGACTCAACGGAAATCATTGCAGTGGATAAAGGTGAGTGTTTTTTTTTCCCCGTTGTCTCTTTGCGTTCGCGTGTTGGGTTCAAGGGAGAATTTTTCTAGCTTCTCTATTTGGAGGTTTTTCAATGAGTCACACGGTTTTATCTTCTCTCTTAAGCAAGTGATGGGTTTTATTGCTAAATTGTAGGTATTTGTGGGATTTGAACTGAAGTAGAACAGACAGTTTCGGTAGTGAGGAATTGAGATTCTACACAAGATATGATAGTTTGTAAATAAATAAGAATTCTCACATTGTTTGAAGTCTGAGTTGATGAACAGTGACAAATTGTTAGTCATTTCTCACATATTTTTATTGGATTTTTTGCACACTAACAAAATTCTTCAAACCTCTCAAGGAGAGAAAATTTTCAGTTTTATATAGGTTTTTTATGGGGAAGAAAAGTCTCTTTATTGATATGTTTTTTTTTCTGATGTTGTACAAATTCAATTTCTCAGCATTATTTCTATGCTCATGCCTTTGCAAAATTCAGCATATTTGGAGTAAAATTGTGTATTTGATTTCCTGTGTATTTGTGTGTGTTTGTTTAAAATCAGATAAATTGTATTGATTTGTTTATTCACTGATTTTTCATCTCAATTGTTTTTCATGGGGAAATGACTGAATGTGTGTGAGTTGCAGAGGGAAATTTATTTATTCATACATTCGATGAATCGATTGGCCGAGTGTGGGTGGGTGGGTGGCAATTATGAGAAGGGATGGGCAGAGGGATAGCCCTTTGTCCGCAACTGCATTGTTACTCCTCGTGAGTGTTTCTGTGGCACATTTTCCTGTGCTTGTGGACAAAGTAGTAGCTGGGAAACTTACAACCGCAGATTTTGCACGGATAATACTGCACATTGGTGCTCTGAGTGGACTCTTCGGGGGCTTTGGGCGAGACGGAGGGTAGTTGGTGGGGTGACTGAGGCTGAGAGGTGGTTTCTGGTGGGTAGAGATGGCGCTTGGCGTGCTTCAAGTAGCAGTATTGCGAGCGAAAGGTGTGCTTGCAGTGCAAACAGGAGAAGATTTCACTGTTCTGCTGACTCGTTGCGGTTGGCTTTGATGGCTTCTTGGGTGCTGTGCGGCGAAAGATGGGCATCTCCTGAGATTCCTCACTGTCGCGTCGCGGTGAGGAGGAGGAGGAATCTGTGAAGATGGCCAGATTGAGGACACGGCGGAATCTCACGGGACCATCGCAACTGGCAATGTCCACAATTGCTCGGGAAGAGTTGGGATTGTCGCTCTTGGTGGTGCTATCATCGCCTTGGGGAGAGTTTGTGGGTGTGTTTCGGTCTCGCAGACATCCTGGTGGGCTCTTGGTCGTTCTGTCCTCTTCACTGGGCGGCAGCAAGGTGTTGCTGACCGCCCTGAAGGGTGTCTCAGATGCGCTGGGCAGGAAAATGCATGCCGACGGCGATGAGATGAAGTTGAAGTCTGTCTTTCGTGCTTTACTGGCGATTGGCTTGACAATCTTCACACACTGTCTGATGTTCTCAATGTCTCTGACACCATCGGAAGCCTGCGTTCCGGCGCCCATGTAGTTCCACTCGGTTCTAAGTTGATGCTGAAGCATGAAGGACGTGCAGATCTCCAGGACTTTGGGCATGTGCAGCGTGTGGGCGGCGAGGAGGACGCTGAAGACGCTCTCGGCGGTGATGTCCAGGAAGCCAGTGTACATGTAGTTGAGGAGAATGCTGAACTGCTCGCTGGAGATGGTGGGAAGGTAGAGAGTCTTCTCAGGTTCTTGGCAGTCCTCCAAGAGGTTTCGCAGGTAGTGACTGTGATGGATGACTAGAGAACTGTGCACGGCGAATCTCTTTGAAGGCGGAGCGCCAATGTCCAGGATGAGGTCAGGAATCTGCTGACCACTTGCCACATTCCAGTAGTTGAACATAATTAACTGTCTCTTCACTGCACTTTTGGTATTGCGAGAGTGGTTCAATTGTCCTCACTAATTAGTGTCACTTCATTCATTCAAGTGTTACCTTTAACACAAATTTTCGTGGTCATTCTGACAATTTCTCTACCATGACAAAGTTGAGATGTGTCCAAAATAACCACGTTTATCCACTAATAACATAAGCAACACCTAATGAAAGAAGTTCAAAGGCCAGATAGTAAGGAATGTCGTGCTGTCTTATTATACAAATTATAGAGTGTCATAAAGATATTTAAAATGTGCTAAAAATCTCTTTGATGAGTGTCGCATTCTTTCATCTGGAATTCTTAATTGGTGAATCTTAGAGAATTACAGAGGAGGGGAAGAAAAATGTGAAGAGGGTGGCAGTCTCATTATTATTTAATTTTACAAAAGGTGGGATAAAGTGGTGTTTTTTTTTGCTCTCTCTCTCTCTAGAAAGTCAAAAGAATGAGAATAGAAAGGAGAAAAAACAAAAATTCTCTTTATACAATTTTCAAACATTTTGCCTTCATGCTGACTTTTGAATAATTAATTGACTTGTAATTAATTTGATGGTGCGTTTTGTATTCCACTCGCTGTGAACGCATTTGTATATTGCCTATATACGAGTGTGTGTGTGTGTGTCTTTTTTTTGCTGTTATTTCTTTGCAAAGAGACACAAAACAATTAGTCACAAACTCTAAAAAAAAAAAATTTACTTCCGATTTGGAGATTTTGCTAAAATTATTCACAGTTTTGCAAAAAATAAATAAATCGCACGATAATTCAGTGTTGTATTTTTGGTGATGCTGTCGATGCGCGGAAAATGTGCAGAAGGACGATTATCTGAATTGCAACTGAGGATATTTTTGGTGAAACGTGAGATTTTATATCATTTGACTGGTTGGAAAAGTATAACTGACTGTTTTCCATGGAGCATTTCTCCTCTCTCGTCATGAGAATTTCCCCTTCGGAAGTTTGTTGTGATATTAAGACGCAGGCAGAAAATCTGCAAATATCATACATAAATTCATTGAAATGATGAATTGTTAAAATTTTAATCAATTGTTGTTTGCTTTTTCGATTGTGTGATATTAACTGTTTCGGTAATACGCATTGATTACTAGATAAATTCCCAATTAGACATGATTTGTTGTATGACTGTTGCGATCTGCGCAGGTATAATTTGGAAGGGATGATGGATGATTTTGTACATACAGAAAAACCTCTGAAAATCATTCAATTGAAAATTCATCTGTTTGTTCTTCATTTTGCTGAATTGTTTTTGAATCATTCAAGCGTGATTTGATTAAATTTCACGGAGAGGAAATTCAATGAGGAGATTTGTGGTTCATTTCTGATTAATTAACATGATTTTATTTTTACTACCAAGGGTCAGTTGGCTTCTTTAATTGTGAGTCAAATGAGATTTTCCATGCCTTGTGATGATGATGAGGAAGGGTAAATTTGACTGAATGAATAGGTTTTTGAAGTTTTTCACTGAATTTCTACTGGAAAAATCTTATGCAATTTGATGTTCAAGTTTGGTCATTCTGTCCTCAGTCGTTTTTATGTCTTTGAAAGGTCCAAATCAGAGGGAGAAAGTCTGACTTGGATAATCATTTCTCATTCTATAAATCTCTCTTGAAAGCTTTTTTTTCACCTTAGGCGCAATCCTGTTCAAACAGTGTCTTTTCTTCTGAATTCATCGCTTAATTTGGAGAATTTCGCCCTCAGGGCGCTTGTGGGACCCTCAGAAATCATATCATTCTCCGGTGTCAATCGAGGGTTTTCTGTTGAAAAATCCCTCGTTGGCAAATAGTGGAAAATGTGTGCGCTGTGTCGAATTTAGAGAGGGGAGTGAATTTTCCGGCTTTTCCCGCGAATGCAGAGAGTGAATTTTGTGTGGTGCGGGTTTCACATATTAAATATGAGAGAAATGTAATTCATTTTGTCTCTTAATCACGGCAAATGTATCATTCATTTAATATTGACACTAACATTCCCAATTAACTTCCTCCTCTTCTCTTGCACACGCAGTAAATCTGTGCATGTTTGGATTTTCCACTCGATTCCGGATGGAATATCACATTTAACACTGTGTATTTTGTGCCTTCCCGAGAGAAATTTGCCGCTCAATTTTCTTTGCCTTTGATTTCCTTCCATTTCTCATTATCTCAATTGAAAATTTTTCCTCTCGATTGCATCTTGTCCATGTGTCAATTGATTCTTCACTGTATGATTCCACCCTGTGTGTGTGTTTGAGGGATGAAAGGGCGGAAGAGGAGCTCGTGAAGTTCGTGAAGAGGCGGAAGGGAAAGACAGGAAAAAAAGGAAAGATGAGCGAATTTGGAGAGCAACGAGAGAATGTGATGAGATAAAAAAGTAAACGGTAGAGTTTAAATAAGGGGTAGAAATATTATTTGCAGAGAGGAAATGTGGTGGTTACAATATGGCAATATTGACTTAATCGGAGAAATGCTGAGTTGAAGTTATAAATCTTTTAATGATAATTATATTTGCACAATTTCCACAAGAGAGAGAGAGAGAAACAGAAGTGAAACTGGGAAATAAATGTATTGATTTTACTCCTTTTTCTCAAACCACCGCCTTTCATGCATTGCCACCCACTTTTCATCCCTTAGCTTTCTGTGTGGTCAAAATGTGAAGAGAGATTTTGTGTGGGGTTCGAAGTGGAAAGTGTGATTGCAGTGAAACAATAGGCAATTTAATTATTTCACTTGATGTAATTCTGTTGTGGAAAGACTTTTTCCTCGCTGAAATTTGATTGATAAATATGATGATGTATGAAATATTGATTATTGCGCGATATTCTTGATCAATAATTCCCTTTGATGGCATTTCCAGCTGTTGAATAATTACATTTTCCATTGATTTGCGCTCTTAGAGGAGGAATTGATGAATTATTTGCTGATATGCTGTGAATGATTAATGTTTATTCGAGAGCTCTTCATTCAATTGAGATCAGATGCACTTTTGATTCGCTTTGAACAGGAAATTGAGTGTAATATTTGGTGTAAAAGTTTGAATTGCTCACTTGAAATGTTTTCAGTTTGAATTTTGTCTATGGAAAATCTATGATTTTCCTGAAAATTCTCATATAAAAGCACTCAATCGATTGGTGGAGGAATAAAAAAGAGTTAATCTCAGTAATTCCTCAGTGTGAATACGCAATGAAATTGCTTTAAATCGATTGTTTTCCCTTTGCAGATGTCCTCCAGTTCTGCTTCGTGTGCAAGGCGTCGCTGTGCTCTCGGAGTCGGCCGCTGGAGAAGAGCCGGTGCAAGCAGTATGGCATCCCAGAGGCGAGTCTCGTGGCCGGAGCGCGTGTTTGCAACACGTGCCAGTGCAAGTCGCTGCGCTCCAAGTACTCCAGCTGTCCACTGCCGACATGTCCCAATGCGAAGGATCGCGTGAAGCGCTTCAGGAATCTGCCGACGCGTCTGTTTGATCTGGCGCCAGAGATTCGTGATGCAATTGTGGCGGAATTCCAGATTCCGCCGGGCGTGCAGAAGTGCTGCTCGGCTTGCTTGATCAGGATCAGGCGAAAGTTGGCGCCACACATTCAGACGGCGGTGTTCACGGATGAGGAGGTGGGGCGGCTCAAGGGGGCGCTTGGCGAGTGGGGTCACAACTGGCAGAAGCTAGAAGAGGTGATGGGCAAGCCCGCGGCCACGGTGAGGATGTTCTACTCGGTGAACAGGAAGAAATGTGGTCTGGAGGAGGCGGTGGCGGAGTACTACAAGAAAAATCCGGGCGAGATGAGGGAGATGCAGGGCGAACTCTCGGATGTGGACGAGTCGGACTTCAGCACGTCGTCGTGCGATGAAAGAGAGGCAAATAGTGACACGGCGTCGGCTGAGAGTCCGCCGACAAATGCAGCGCCTGGGCAAATGCCATCAGTGGGAGTTGTTCCCACCGGGAAATTATCTCTCGAGGTGGACGCAATGGCAGCTGGTCAGATGGGGATGGTGAAGAAGTCAGAGGAGGAACGCCTGCCGCAGCCAGAGCCGGCGAAGCGTCACTCGATGAAAAGTGTGGAGGAGTGTGATTCGTCGGCCACGGAGACGGCGGATGAGGAGAATGAGTTGTCACCAGCCAACAGACAGAGTCCCAAAGTGCTGTTGTATCCCAATCAGACGACCATCACGATGCTGCCATTCTCTGGCCAAAATGGACCGCGTGATGTCTCTTCGCCGCCGCAGAATGTTCGCGATGTGGTGCTGAATGTGATTGAGAGGAGTTTGAAGACTTCTGGGCCGCAATTGACGACACCGGCGAAGGTGGGCATCATCAAGACGCCATTTGCCATGGAGCCGCGGCCGGAGTTGTACATGCGTGAAGTGAAGGAGCCTCCGCATCCGTCCGACACGCTGGCAACGATTTCCGTACTGAATAGCCAGAATCGCGCACTGATGGCTGGTCAGCAGCCGCCACAGCATCATCCGGGCGTGTCTCAGGCGGCAGCCGGACAGTTTGCGGCAACAATTACACCAGTTCCGCTCACAAAAGTGATGTCACCGGCCACGGCGGAGATGCAGAAGGACACGATGAAGATGTACGCGGCGATGCGAACTGAGCCGGAGCCACAAACGCTGGATTTGAGCGTGAAGAAGCAACAGACGAGGGAAATGGTGCCGTCGGCAAAGAATCCACCGCCTACACAGCAACAGATGGCCAACAATGTGGTGGCAATGCTGAGAACGGATGCTGGGACGACGCAGATGAGTCTGCCGCAGCAGACAGTGTCGCCGAATCACATCTACCAGACACACCAAGGATATCATCAGCAACAAGGGCCAGGTGAGTTGTGTCAGAGAAGTGGCAAATGTTGTGATTTATTTGCTAATTCTTGCTTAATGCGCACAGGCGGTCGATCGGCCAAGTCACCATCCGTGTTTGTGCCCATTTCCGTGGGGCAGCAGCAGATGTATCATCAGGTGCCGGCGACCAGAGCCACTCCTGTCACGGCCGCCACGATGATGAAGAGCAAGATGAGTCCCAAGCCAACAATGCAGCAACCGCCGCCCCACACGTCGGCGAATCCCAAGGGTTCCATCACGCACGGCACGCCTGTGAGTTCCGTGAGCCAACCGGCCACTTTCCTGCTCCAGGCGCCGCCCAATGCGTCGCCTCGCTTTGATGCAGCCGCACAGCCGGCGCCTGAGAAGATTGGGAGTATCACGCAGGGCACACCGGTGCACATGCCGCCCCATCATCTCAATGACAAGCACCGCGTGTATGAGTACTACAAGAACAGCCGACAGAGTCCGGCGCAGCCACCACCGCCGCCTCCACAGAGCAGTCCGCAGGCGAACTACACTCCCTATGCGCGCTCCTTCGGCATGGATCAGCAGCAGCTTAGCTCGCGACAGATCATTGTGAATGACTATTTCACGTCGCAACAGATGCACGGACAGTCGCGCGGTGCAAGATCGGCTCAGCCGACGTCCGAGAAAGATGCACATTCGCCGCGAAATGTGGCCACGATCAATGCTGGATCTGTGGCGATGTACTACGATAAGGAGCGTCAGCGCAGTGATTACATGAGCAGATCTTCGCCGGCGGACAATACGAATAGGTAAGTTGGATAAGTTTGCTCTAACAATTCCGCGAATGGATTTTTATTTACCAGTCTTCGTTTGTGTTTGACAGTCTCAATCGATCGCTGAAAACACCGCCGCCGCCCCAGCGTCAGGGCGTGATTCAGCGCCACAATACTTCGGGCTCGAAACCTTCGAGTCCGGCACCGAATCGACTGCACGTGATGCAGCATCACTACCCGCCGCCAGGTGAGCGAATGGCTGGAGCAGTGAAGGAGCGCGAGCGTGCTCTAACCGGTGCCACTCTTGCAGGGCACGAGGCGTTCTCGTCGCTCGTGGATGTGGCTGTGCAGCAGCCACTGTTGCCCGTGCCGCAGGACAAACGCCCACCCACTTTCCAGGGCAGTCCTGCCACGCATCACGACATCCGCCTCCACCACATGGCTTTCCAGTTGCACCAGCATCAGCAATTCCAACAGCTGCAGCAGGTAGAACATTTGACTGGGGAGCTTTGCTTGATTTAGCTCTCTACTAACTGTGATTTCTTGTGTTGCAGCTCGAGAAGTTGGAGTCGCAAAAGAGACACGCATCGCACATGCCTGGAGGGACATTTGAGGAGATGCAATTCGAGAGGGAACGTCGAGAGGATCACTTTTCGGGACGTGACAGTCATCCGGGTGCGCATGAGATGATGGAGCGACATGGACACCATGAGCGTGAGCTTCACTCTGACCACGAGCGCTTGATGGAGCGCGATGCGATGCTGGCGAGTGCGAATGAAGAGAGAGCGGCGGCTCTGCACAATGCCGAAATGGAGAAGGCTGCTGTGGAGCAAGAGCAACAGAGGCGTCTGGCCATGGCGCAATCGACATCTTATGAACCACCAAAAGTCACTGCTCGACAGATTCTGGACCGTGATCGCGAGAGAACGGAACGGTGAGGACAAATTGGGAGAATTTGGGATTGACTTGAGTGAGATATTGATTGATTGATGTGTCTCCACAGATCCTTGGGACCGCCGAGATCGACAGATGGAACACTGACTGCGGCCAATTTGATTGACGCTATCATCACGCATCAGATCAACCAGAGTGCATCGGAACCACCGCCGGTGTCCGTCAGTAGAGCTCTCCACAAGACAGCTTTCGTGAGTGTTTTCACCCTATCAACAAGTGTCTAATTATCTCCTGGTCAATGTAACCGTCTTGTTTTTTCTTTCCCTGCAGTTTGCTGGACGTGATCTGCACGGTGGCTCTGTGTATGAGAACAGCGGCAGCTCTGGCAGTTCTGGAGGCGGCAGTGGAAGCGCCGGCAGCGGCTCGAGTGGCTCCCAGGCGGCGAATGTGATAAAGATAGGCTTCGACAATGAGCCAGACACGCGAATGCCGTCTGCCGGGCCAGTGATGACGAAGAACATCACGATTGGACAGCTCACAGACTCCATCATTCAGAAGGACTTCGGGCCGAATCCCTTCCATCCGCTGCGGCAGACGCAGTTCATGCAGTATCCGTCGGCGGACGTGCTGTTGGCGGATCAGTGGGGCAGACGGCTGAGTGGGAAGGAGGGCGTCGTGACGGTGGACAGACTGAAGAAGGCGGCCGCGGAGGAGATGAAGAAGGAAGAGGGCAAGGTTGGCGACAAGGATGACGGTGCTGAGGATGTGAGACAAGTGAGCGGCATGAGAATGACAGCGCCGAGTCCCAATCATGCGGCCGCACTCAAGTCCACGGCCGTGACTGTGTCGGAGGCGTCGCCAGAGCCGAGCGGGGCGTTTTATCACTTGAACGACTCAGATCGGCGGCAGCACGGCGCCATTCCCGCCCATCAGACTCAATTTGCGCTGGATTGCTATGTGAAGAACAGGATTGTGGAGGCGATGCGCACGGAGGACGAGAAGCGGAGTGACACGATGGAGCGCGAGCGTGAGCTGCGCGAGATGGTGCACATGAAGCAGGCGGCGGCGGCAGCGGCAGCGGCGGCGGCAGCGTACGGAAAGATGGAGGTCGTGGTGGAGAAGACGGCGGCGAGCGACGCGGCGGGCGATGAGGCGACGTCAGCTGGTGTGATGATGAAGCAGCAGAGCTTCGTCCCGGCGACGTCGGTGACGAGCTTCTCCGCCAGCGCCTATCCGTATCCCTTCAGCGCCCTAAACGTTGTGGCCCAGGCACCGCCCACGAGCATCGCCGCGGTGGCCATTGCGAAGAGCAGCGAGGAGAGCCGACCGCCACCGCCGGAGCCGAAGCCGCTGCTCTCGGCGCAATACGAGGAGCTGAGCGATGAGGAGTAGGCCTGCATTTCGGATCACGTGAGCATTGAGATTACTATGATTTCTTCATCTCCACTCTTCTGACAGTCTGTCCTCTGCCTCTCTCTCTCTCTCGCCCTCTCTCTCCCTCTCGCGCTGTGTTTAAGAGGGAGTCTTGTAATTTTCCCTTTCCCCACTCTTGAGCCCTTCGTTTCGCTTTTTATATAAATATATTATATATACAGATATACAGTAAATTATGTATAAAATAACAATGAGAGGAGAATGTTGTATTTAATAAGGATAAGTCGAGGCGTCGAGAGAGAGAGAGAGAGAAAGAGAGTGGAGTGGGGAGAGGGGAAGGCGAGAGTTGTGTGAGTGAAGAGTGGAGATCATTTTTTGTTTATCTTTTAAAATATAATAAAATATAGATAACTACCTTTTCACCGTGAAAAGTGCATATAAAAATAAAATAGATAATGAGCGTGTGATTCACACTGATCCACACACACACACACCCACACAGAGTAAGAAAATATACACCCTGAAGGAAAGAATAAAAGAAAAAAACACACTCAGAATGAATGTAAAACACGTCTTTTGTATGACAGAAAGAGTTAGCAGAAAAGAAAAAGAGGGAGAAAGATAAAATATTAACTATTTAGTAAGTGAAATAATATTGCGTGAGGGATGAAGCGCGAGGCGATGTTATCAATCCATATGTTTTTTGTTTCTTCTCTATGATAAAGAAAAATCTATTCTTTGTTTTTGAAAGATGACTATGAAGAAATAAGCATGCAAACCATATTTTGTGTTGACAAGAGAGAGAGAGAAACATTAGTGCGATTTTTGTTCCCTCACGAGAGACACAGAGAAAACTGCTATGAGAGCGGAAGAGTATAAATAATAAAGAAAAAAAAATATAGTGAAAAAAAACAAGTCTTTTAGGAGCGAAGAAAATCTATTATTGAGAAAAAAAAACTGCAGACATGAGAGAGGAGAGAATGACTTGAGTTTTTTTTTTTTTAGATGGTAAGAAGAGGAGAGATAAGAGAGAAGTGAAAACAGCTGAAAAATACTTTGTAAATAGGCGTTTAGGACGGAAAAAGTGTGCGAGGAGAGGAAATTTGAGGGAGGGTGAAGATGATGATTAGATGAAAATAAAAAGATGATAAACTGTTGGAGAACTAACGATAATTTCTTGTCTCTTAATGAAAAAAAAAAATGGAAATATATATACTACACACAAGAAATGGTAAATACAGATGAAAATGCAAATTTTACGCTTTTCTTTCACTCTTTCTTTCGCTCCGCAGCCAGATTTGTCCATCTGCCATCGCTGGTAAGTTCTTAATCTCTGTGGTAGAACTGTGACTGAAATTGATTCATTGACTTAGCGAAATTCATTTATTCTGAGCCTCAATCATTCAGACCACAATGTAGTTGTAGAGATAGAATCTGGCCAGATCGTAGTTGCGCGACTCCTTGTAGATCAGGTGCAAATTGTACGCCGTGGCGCGCTTCAGGTCCACAATGTGCGGATGCTGCCTTATCATGTCGCTGGTGTGCTGCAGCACCTTCTTGTAGTAGCTCACGGCGACGTGGTGGATGCCGATCTGCTGGTAGAACCTGCCCATGTTGTACCACACTTCGTGGGCGGCCTCCGGCTCGCGCTTCTTCACGTACTCGTCCATGAAGGTGATGCCCTGCTTCAGGTACATCGGCCGGTTACCGAACTTCTGGCTGCCCAGCTGCAGGAAGGTCACGCCCACGAGCAGGGCGTTCATAGGATTCTTCGTCTTCATGTACAGCGACATGTAGTCGTTCAGGGCGTACTTGTACGTGCCACTGGCCAGCCAGTAGTTCGCCCTCAGCACACTGGTCCTGGGATCTAGCTCGTTGCCGTGCCTGTTGAGCAGTCGCTGGAGGAATCTGTTTGCGCGCACCTCGTCCGAGTTGTTGTTCATCACGTTGAACAGATTCCACGCTCTGGCCTCGTGCAGGTTCTTCATGAGGAACTCCTTGACGATGTAGTAGCCAATGAGGGTGTCTCTGTTGAGCAGACACGCCAGCAGGCACATGAAGCCAATGTCCTTGATGTGACTCTGGAATCTCTTGGACGTCAAGGCGGCCAGCGTGATCTTCTCCATCACGTCGTATCGCTTGCTCTCGCCCACTGTCCTCACCACGTCGCAGAATAGCGTCCACTCCTCCTCAATCGTCGGCTCCTCTGTACTCTTCGTGAACTCCGGCCCATCGGCGTCGTCCATGTTCTCCAGGCGCACCTGTCGCAGCTCCTTGATGCTGGTGATCTTCTGCGAGTATGTCTGCACGAACGCCGCCACCTCCACCTCCTCGCGATTCCTGTACTTCACGCAGTGCCTGGAGAAGAGGATGTAGCTGAGATCCACGTACAGCTCCAGGTTTCCCGTCTCCTTCAGCATGAAGCAGCGCTCGTACAGCAGCTTAGGATCGATCAGATCACTCTCCAGGTCCTGCTCCAGCGCCTTCAGCGCCTCTTGTGGCTGATTCTTCAGCTTCAGCAGAGCCGACAGCGTGAGTCTGGCGTCCAGATGCGTCGGCGCCAGACTCACCACCATTCGGTAGGAGTTGATGGCGTCATCGTGCCTCGCCATGGCCCTGTAGCAATCTCCGTGGCGAAGCCACACCTCGGCGTAGCTGAAGTTCTGGCTGTACACGAGCGGATCGAGGAGCTTCAGCGCCTTCTCGTACTCATTAACCAACATCAGCGCCTCAGCCACCTCGAGAACGCAATCGCCGTCCACCTCCACATTGACGTACTTCAGGATGTTCTCGATCACCAGGTCGATGAAGGGCTTCACCTGCAGATGTATCAGACTCACCGAAAGCTTCGTGCGGAAGTCAATGATGAGACTCTCAGGGATGACACAGTTCGTCACCTTCCCTTTGATCACAGTCACTCTGGCGTCGGTGTGATTGCAGAGGATCTCCACAGCCTTCTCGTACATGCCCTGCATCATCAGCAGTTCCAGCAGGAGATTCAAGTCCGCCGTGGTGAAGAGATTGGGGATCTTTTCGTACGCCCGCCTCATGGCCTCCAGCGCCTTCTGGCAATTGTTCTCCTGGTGGAACTTGTGCGCCACCTTTTTCGCCACCGACAGCAGATACTCACCCTGATTCTCGGGAATGTACGAGATCATGGTGAAGTAGCACTGCAACACGAAGCGATCCTCTCCCATCTTCTCCAGCAACTCGATCCGCTTCAGGCGCAGCTCAAAGTTCCGCGGATCGTACTTGAGCGCCTTTGTGAGACAGAAGACCGCCTGCTTCATGTTTCCCGCCTCCTCGGACAGCTCCGAGAGGCGCATCCAGTGATGAGTGTCGCCGGGATCCAGATGGGCGGCGATCAGCATGAATTGCATGCACTTCTCAGTGTCTGTCATCTCGTAAATCTGCGCCAGCGTGTGAAAAGGCTCCGCTGCCAGCGGCACTTGCCGAATGATCTCCAGACAAACCTTCTTGGCCAGTTCGTTGTCACCTCTGGCATAGCAGAGATTCGCCTCTCCCATCAAGCCCTGCAATGCTGGCGGAAGGATGCACTTCCGTCGCCTATACAGCCGCCCATCTTTCATTGTCGTCCCAGAAAGTTGACCTCTGAAGGCATCCCGGCGAGACATCATCAGCTCCTTCTCGAAAGCCTCTCCCTGATTACCCTCTTCCGCATCCTCCTCAGCACCTATGTCTTCAGTATTGGTGCCCATGCGCTCACTGTACTCACTGAACGACAGCTCGCCGTTCACCAGCTGCTTGATCAGTTCCTCTTCCTCCTCAATTGAGCTCACCAGAGGCTTCCGAGGAGGCAATTGCTCCACTTTTATGGGCTCTAACGGTACGAACTTAGACAACTCCTCCTCATTGAGAGTAGCACTGTCGATCTCTTCGATAATAACATCTTCCACGATCTTGGAAGTGCTGGCAGTGCTGGCCATTCCGGAAGATCTGCAAGGATCACTAAAGCCGGCAATAATAAGAAAAATAATCAGAAGAATAGAAATTATTCAACAAGTTATAATTGTAGGCACTCAAAGAAATAATATTCACGACAAATACCTTGCAAGTTGTCTGTTTTCTATAGTTTTTCGCTGCTTTTCCAGAGCAAAACATCCAAACAACAACAAACCAATTCCACGTGACTTTGACGGCCGAACATCGCCCCTCAAGCGACAGCGGCGCCGCGTGTCGGAAATAGAGCGCAAACTCGGTTTAATGGAGTCGAATTGGTGAAAAGGACCCAAAACAAGTGATTTTCCCTAGGAAATAGACTCTTTTATACTCAAAAAGTAGTGCTATAGGACAGAAAAGTAGCTTCGCCAAGGATTACAGTGTTATCTTATGAGCTCGGAAAGCCAGAAAACAGACGACGATTCAAGGTGAGATGGCTTTTCTTCAATGTCATCCTCCCGATCTTGTTATCATTCTTTGTGACCCCTTTTGTGCCCCATTTACTCAAATATCTCTCATCTGGGAGGTGGTTTTCCAGCAGCCGATGGAGGCCAAAAGAACTACAGTGTGTTTGGGCAGGAAAGTGCGATGAAATGTGTGCAAAAACAAAGTTAAGAGACAGATCAAGGGAAAGTTGGGTTATGTTTGGGATAATGACGACGAAGATGGAAAATTGCGTGGAAAATGATATTTCCCAGACGTCGGAAGTGCTTTCTTTTGTCTATTCCTCTCCTTCGTGACACTGCCCATCTCTTTGTCCCACTCGTGGTGACATTGGGTGGTCGGAGGCGGCGAGAAAGCGTCCAACAATGAACAGAGACAAGGAGAGCGACGGTGATGAGCGATTTTCTTTGATTTTCCACACTTTTCCGCCCAGTCTCTGCACCGTTACCCAGGCTTATGGTCGCGTGAGTGCTCATAATAGTGCTAAAGTGGAGTTTATTTGCGGAAAATGGGTCTCTCGCCGGATTCAATTGACTTTCCGTGAGTTGATGGGCGTTTTCTGTGGGCTCTTCTTTTCGCACATGACTGGTGAAAATCCCTTCCAGGAGAGAGATATTTGAGGATTCCCGTGTCCCGTTCTGTGGCGCATGTGTCTTTGTCTAAACCTCCAATTTGCAGGGCTTCTCAAGGATCGTCGTCCCCAGAGTCGCAGGACACAGAGACGATCCTGCTGTCCAGCGTCGGATTTCTTCCTGAGGTGCTCGACGCCCAGGCGTGCAGCAGTGCTGAAAAAGAGGAGGAGATGAAGCGGCAGGCTGTGAAGAAGCGCATCGAGCGCTACTTCTACCAATTGCTGGAGGGATGTGGCAATTCTGAGTGTGGCAATCGCTTCTGCGCCTCCAGTGGCAAGGTGCCCGCGCTGACACCCGACCAGGCGGCCGCCAGGGCGCTTCAGCTGTTCGCCGAGGAGGCCACACTCTGCACATCTGTGCAACCGTCCAAAGTAGCGAGAACTGAGGGCAGTGAAACTCATCCCAGTTCATCAGATTCCAGGTATTTCTCCAACTTTGTCGTTTCTTCGTCCCCCAAGAGTCTCTCTCTCTCTCTCTCCTGTCCAGGGAATTGTGCGGAGATGTGTCGGCAAAGGCTTGACGAAGAGAAGGATTGCTTATCTTTGTGCGTGTATTTTCAGTTCAGAGCCGATGGCGTGCACGAAAGGTGACGAATCTCCGTCGCAGTCCTCGAGTCACACCAACTCTAGTCAGGAGTCACACAGGGACACCAGGGAGGGATGCACGCACCTTGACGAGGAGGTGATTGAGGGCCTGGTGGTCAGTTGCATCGAGAAGAACTCACCGCTGTTGCTGATTCGCAGTCTGGGGGCGATTTTTTCGTCCACTGACGCCGTGGCGGCCAGTTTTCGTGCCCGAGCGGTGACGCCTATTGATTTGCTGTTGCGAAAGGCGCCGCAGAAGGATCTGAGACAGCTGACGAAAGAGGATCTACGCTCGTTGGAGGGGGATTTGGACAAGGATGAGGACAGCTCGTGTGCTGGCAAGGAAACCCCACCGGAAATCCATGAGACTGACGTGGACGTAGTGGGATTGAGGCGATCGGTGAAGCAACTGTTCGGCCTGGACGATCCTGAGGCCAATAAGCCGAGGAACACGTTTCCGGTGTTCGAGCCAGTGAATAATGCCCTCCAGACGCTCGCGACGTCACTTAAGATGGACCTCGAGGTCACGACACAGCGAGATGCCATCGAGGACATCATCAGGATCTTTGTCATTGTCTTCGAAGTGATGTGCATCTGTGAGTATTTTTAGCAAATCGAACAATGGCTCTTTTGTCTCTGTCGGTGTTATTGAACCGGGAAGTCATCAGGGACACGAAGGTGACCGAGTTTCTCGGTGTATATTGACAGAGTGTGTCTGTGTCTTTGCAGCTCCCACGGAATTCCTCGAAGGCGCTCTCACGAGGATGGCCAGCGCCGTGGTAAGCTTACCGACGTGGGCTCAGGCGCGTCTTGCGTGGATTTGGGCGCGGAATTGTACGCCGATTCTGCGGCCGCTGCTGGAATCACTGCAGCAGATCATCACACTTCAAGTGATTCCCACGATGATTCCCGTGCAGGACAATGAAGTGATCGTAAATGCCACGAAGCTGATGAAGATCCTGTACTACGCGGACATCCTGGCGGGTGAGGTGGATCCCGTGCAGCTGCGCGAGGAGGATGTGGCCAGCGCTGAGGCTGGTGACGAGGATCTCGAGGCCACGGCGCGATGGAGTTTTGACGATGTAAAATTCGCCGCCACGGCGAAGGCGGACGCTCTGGCACAGGAAGTGGGCGTGCAGCCGGTGGACGCAAGGCGTCCATTTCTACCACTGGCGGAGTTCTACAATGAGTCACTGAGTGACACCATCGAGATGGACTATGACTATCTGAACTACAAGAACATGCACATGGATGAGAAGAACATGAACAAGAAGTTTTGCTTCATGCTGTACTCATTCATCCTCACGCCGGCCACGAAGACATTGGCGCTGTACTACGACAGTCGCATCCGGATGTACAGCGAGCGGCGGATTAACTTGTTCACCACCCACTTGTCAGGACAGACGCCCAATCCATATCTGAAGCTGAAGGTGCGGCGGGAGCACTTGATTGACGACGCTCTGATTGAGCTGGAGATGATCACGATGGAGAACCCGAAGGATCTCAAGAAGCAACTCGTGGTGGAGTTCATGGGTGAGCAGGGAATTGACGAAGGTGGCGTGTCCAAGGAGTTCTTCCAGCTCATCGTGGAGCAGATCTTCAATCCAGACTATGGCATGTTTATTAATCAAGATGACACGAACACCATGTGGTGAGTGAGATTAATTGATTGTTTTTGAGGAGTGTTGTGGGTGATTGTCTTTCTTCTTGATTCAGGTTCAATTCAACATCCTTTGAGAATGAGGCGCAATTCACACTGATTGGCATCGTGTTAGGACTAGCAATATACAACAATATCATTCTGGCTGTGAACTTTCCCATGGTGGTCTACAGAAAACTCCTCGGCATCCGTGGCTCCTTCCCAGATCTCGAGGACTGGAATCCCGTGAGTAGAATGGCGGGAAAGTGAGTGGGGAAGGTGCTCACTTCAGATGGCTTTTGCAGAAGCTGTTCAGGAGCCTGAAGGTGATGCTGGAGGACGACGAGTCAGACATGGAGGCGGTGTACATGCAGACATTCGAGATTAACTACCAGGATGTGTTCGGGAATGTGCTGAGGCACGAACTGAAGGCCAATGGGCGCGACATTTCCGTGACGCAGGAGAACAAGCGGGAGTTTGTCGATCTGTACAGCGATTATCTCCTGAATGGGGCCATCGAGAGGCAGTTTTCTGCCTTCCGCAAGGGTTTCAGAATGGTGACGGATGAGTCACCGCTGGGGCTGCTCTTCCGGCCTGAGGAGGTGGAGTTGCTTGTGTGCGGCAGCAAGGAATTTGACTTCGAGGAATTGCAGGCGTCCACGGACTACGATGCCGGATACACGGCGGAGTCGCCCGTGATTCGCAACTTCTGGGAGATCGTGCATGCGCTGCCCGTGGAGGCGCAGCGGCAGCTGCTGGAGTTCACCACGGGCAGCGATCGTGTGCCCGTGGGCGGCCTGAGCAGGCTGAAGATGGTGATTGCGCGCAATGGGCCGGACAGCGATCGGCTGCCCACCAGCCACACGTGCTTCAACGTGCTGCTGCTGCCCGAGTACGCCAGCAAGGAGAAGCTGAAGCTACTGCTGCTCAAGGCCATCAGCTACTGCAAGGGATTCGGCATGCTCTGAGGGGGGAAAAGGACGACTCAAAGACGATGATGACAGTAAATAAGTCAAGAAAAGTGTAACCGAAGATTTTCTCTTGCTTCTTGCGGGATTCTTGCGTCGGTTTTTCTTCCTATTTGTGTTTTGTGCAACATTGTCCGGAATCTCAAGATATGGTGAGTACAAAGAGTGATATTTATTTTATCGATTATATCTTTATTACACATTTCTTTTATATGTATATATCTCATAGTAAATGTCTAAGTTAGAAGATATTTTGTTAGGATTCTCTTAACCTTTCTCTTATCTTGAGGTGAAAGAAGAAGTTGAAAAAGTCACAATTTGCATGTTAAACCACTCCTTGTGTGGCCGCACGAAAATCCATAATCTCAGTCTCTTATTAGTCTGCATTAAATAGTTTTTTTTTGATGTTGTTATATAGTATTGAGATGTTAAGTCGGTAACTTAAGAGCTAAACTCTCTTATCGTCACTCAATCATCGCGAAAATTAATATTTTAGCCATAAATTGTATATAAAAGAAAACTAGATTCTCTTGACCAGCATTAGTAAAAGATGTTTAAATTCACATAACGATCCGCCGCACGCCACATTCCATGCAGAACTTGGCCGTTTCCACGGGGAAGCGCGAGCCGCACTCGTGGCAGAATTTGCAGAGCTGCGGCGCCGGCAGAGACTTGGCCTCCTCCTCCTCGGGCGTGCACATGAGATCCAGCTCCCGGACGCTCTGCAGCAGCTGGTGTTCAGCCTCTTCGAAGCTGTCGCGCTTCGGCGTCGTGGCGGATTTCGCCTTCTCGGCGTAGTTCGTGTCGATGGGCTCCATCGGCGAGGGTACTTCTGGGCTGCTCACGTCTTCCTCGGTCGCCTCGGCGACTTCCTGCTTCTGTTGCAAAGGGGAAAAAGAGTGCTTAACTTACATTCAACAGACGACTTCAATCTGTCTCACCTTTTGCTCTTCTTTGGACTGCGATGGTGCCTCACGCTTGTCCGTCTTCTCCTGTGGCGGCGATCTGGCCAGACAGTGATCATCTGCCTTGTCCTTCACGCGTCTCTGTCTGCTCAGCATCAACTCCTTGTAGTCCCTGAAGATGGGGAACTGCTCGTCGTCCTCGAAGGACGTGAGGAACTCCTCAAAGTCGAAATCATTGAAGAGCTCATCGAAGTTGGCTGGAATTTTCCGCGGCTCCGCATCCATCAGCTCGATGGTCTGATCATAGGCATCACTGTAGGGATCTGGAGCGTCTGCTGGGGTGCTCTTGGGGGCATCGAAGAGGATATTGTTCCTGTCCAGCTTCACTTGGCGCCTCAAGTGTGAATTCTTCTTCTCCGCACAGGTGTTTCTTTGGTTGTTGCTCTGGACGCGATTATCTGGAACTTTGGAGGGTGACTTCATCGTCTCGCGCGATCCGCTGCTGCTCACGGTCTCGGAGGAGTCCGAAGACAACTTGCCCACATTCAACGACAGATTATCACACAGATTTATCAGCTTTGGATCGATAAACGTGCCGCTGTCCATCTTCTCGTGCGGCTTAAGGATCTGATCCAGCGTGATCGGCGTGAGCTTCGGCGGCTTCTCCAGTGGCGCCAATCGCAGCGGACGGATCTGAATGTCCGCCACTTCCGGGGAGTCTGCTGGCGTCTTCTGCTGCGATCGCAGGCTGTTGCTCTTGTCCTTCAGCTCCTTCTCGGACATTGACGGCGCCACGCTGAGATCTCGCTCGTAGTTGAGAAAGACCGCCAGGGAGTCCGTCTTGGCGATGGGAAAGTCATTTGAGGGACGATTGGGCTTCTTCAGGTCCAACTTCAGATTTCTGCGACTGGCCGGCGTTGAGGGCGTCTGCGGCGTCTTGCGGCCACTGCTGAAGTCCGTCGCATAAACCGACCGCACGGGCATTTCGTCATAGTCTTCGGGCTTGACGAAGTTCGAACTGATCGGACCCTCGTCTGAGATGCCGCGCTGAATCTTCGATTCCACAGCTCGCGATGGATAGTAGGTCTTGGGCGGAGATGTCTTCTTCGGCATGCGCAGCGAGGAGGTGCGTCGGAAGTTGGAGGTTTTCAGCTGATTCAGCTGCGTTGTCGGACTGATTAGGCTGCTTTTCGCGCCATTCGACTGAGGAGTCTTGGCGGGAGACTTCCTGACCGTCGGCGTGGTCTTTGTGGGCTGTGAGGGTGAGAAGAGCTCCTCCAATTGCCGCTTAGCAGACACAAATGGATCGTACTTGTCCGAGAAGCCGCTGAAAAGAAGGATTCAGTGAACTTAGGAATAACTAAGGCTAGACTTGACGAAGCGTTTTTCCTTCTTTATTCTAGAACACTCTTGATTTTGATCGCCCGCTTCTTGATTTGACGCTCATTCGCATCTTCTAATTGCATATCTCAAGCTTCTTGAGTTTGTCCTCGAATGATTTCTTCGCATACCTTTCGCTCGTGATTGACGACGTCATTGAGTTAGTAGAATTCTTCCGGCCAAAGTCAATTCGTGGATTACACGAGACGATCGAATTTGGTGTCATCGTGCCGCACTCTGAGTAGGAATCATCGAAGCCTGGCGAGTATTTCTCCCTGTTCAGGCCGCGCTTCGTTCTGCAAATGTTTCACAGTTTATATATATTATTGATATTGCGATCATCTGTCGCGAATCAATCTTCTCTCATCCACTCACACGTTTTACTTTCAGCACGGAAGCAAGAAATTTAATAGTCAAACATCTTGTGAGACGGATTAATATCTGGAGCGTGCAGATTTGAGGAAAATCGCACCAAGAAATGCTATAATCTGAAATTCAATCTGAACATCAGATACAAACACAAAAAATGCCATGAATTTATTTAATCTTTATGGCTTCCGAGTGTCTTTTATCGACGAAGAAAGTTGTGTGATAAAGGGCAAATGGCGCAAATTGAGCCAGTGAGTGGATTAAGGTCACGCTGCATTGACGATTCTCACCTGAGTGTCGGCGCTCTGTAGTTGATCCTGGCGTTGAGGCGCTCCTTGGCCGCACTCACGGTCGGCGATGTGGATTTGTCCAAGAGCTTCGCCTTCTCCGCGCACCACTCCACGTGGCGATCGTAGGCGCGCATCCCGAACGTCCGCTCGCAGTGCGGACACTTGTCCGCCTGCGGCGGCGCGATTGTGCGCCGCCTGGACGTGCCGCCCACGGACTCCCTGCCCAGTGAGTTAAGTGACTGCGTGGAAGAACGCCTCTCGACGGACGGCGATCTCACGTGTGATCCGCGCCTCAGAGTGTTCTGCAATGTGCGTGAAAGTCAGCTGATTGTGCAATATGCGCAGCCCCCAATTTGGATGTGCGACAAGCTACCGTTTTTGGTGGTGAAACTCGCGATTCTCTTCCGTTGGTCAGGCTTTTCGGCAGATAAGTCGCCAATTCTGTGCCCTCGCGGCGCTGCTGCGACGAATCGAATTGCTTTCGCTTCCTCGTCGCCGTCTTCTCGCAGATTATCACGTGCTTCTCCAGCGTCGACGGCACGAAGGTGCGTCCGCAGTAGGGACAAGGCTCCAGGTCCATCGCCGTTGCCCGCTCGAATGTGCTGTCATACACTGTGGAGAAAGTGGAGATCATTAGGCTGATGTCTGGACGCGCATCTGTTGGAAAAGAGGTCATTCTGCAGCCTCTGCACACAATTCCGTATGAAGTGAACATGTCTTTCCACTCTCCATGGATTAAGAATCACAATTGATTTGAAAATTCTGACTCACAGTGCCAAACAACATTTTTCAACCATAAAGAAATAATCTTCAATTGATCTTCATTATAAACGATTATATTTCTGTAAAATATTTAAATCTGTTTCAAGTGATCAGCAATCATTTTATGACTGTTTTCTCTTCTGCTCAAATTTCAAAAGCCTTTTTGTCTAAGAACCATTGTGCGGAATCTTTTACGACTTTGCTTTGTCTTTGTCGATGATCTTGCTAAGTGATCGCACACGTTTCCTAAAATATTTCACATGCAAACTAATCTCAACAGTTGGAATTTTAACCATTTCCTCGTGTTCTCTCCATCCGAAGACTCCGTGTGCTGTGTTGGGGGGTTCATTGAAGGAAATTGAGTGATGTTTCAACGAATAATTAGATTTTGCAAGACGCTCGTCTTTCGCAAAACCACACACACATACAAATTCAGAATCCATCGGACAAAAGACGCTGGTATTTTTTTTTCTTTTACTCTACGCTCCCTCAGCAAATTACGAGAGATGAAAGGAGAGGAAGAAAAAGAGTTGAATTAAGTACGATCACGATTATCTGATCTTGAGAGAGAAGTTGGGACAAGTGAGGAGTGAATTAATCCACTTTAATTCACTCGTGACAATTTTAATTGCAGAGTTTTGTGCCTCATAATCGTGGGAGTTTATCTCACTTTGGCACACCAATTGAATGAATATTGTGGGAGAGTCTTTTTTTTTTGCTATATAGCATTTCTTTTGGATGGTTATATGGAAGTGAAATTTGCAATACAACAATATATCCGTGGTTTTTCCCCTTCATTTGAAATGTGATCTTGGGTGTTTTTCTTAGACGCACTTCTTCCTCCTTTTCGTGAATTTCGTGGGTGTTTCACGAGTGGAATTTATTTCTGAATTGGGCACACACTCTCAGGTTGAGTATCTGTCGTTTGCAATGATTTAATCTACTATTTACAAACAGAGTGTTTTAGAAATATTGGGATGCCTAAAAGTTCCCTTTTTATGATGATCAATCTAATTCTGCATCATTTTGGATGCTCCTTTTTCTGAATTTCACACCATTTCACTATTAGGATCATGTGGCTTCTCCTGAATGTGTTCGGGCGCGTGAGTGTGCGTGAGTGTTGTGACTAAAATAAAGTGCATTTGAGGGAACCTGAAGATGCTGCCGATGAAGTGGAAGATGAATTGAAGTGGTTTCTAGATTGATGAATTGCCGTGCCTTTCGGGTCATTGACAGAAACACTGTCGACTGATTGACTCCCCGAGTCACTGAGTGTGTCGCCATCTTCGTCCTTTTGCACCTTCAGCAGGCTCTTGCCACCCTTCCGCTTGAACAGCTTATTCCACATCCTCACGATGCACAAATGCCGATTTATAGTATTTGCCTCACACTCTCCCGGGCCAAGATGTCAATCTTGCGGGCGTGTTTCTGCCACCCAGTGTCGCAACACAGTGGAAAACATTGTTCACAAATGGAATTCTTCAGCACACAGTCATATTCTATATGGCTCTCTTAGACGTTCCAGATCACTTGCTTTTTTAGCATTCCGCCCGAGAGGCGCGATGGAGTAACAAAAGCGGGGAAGTGGAGGAGTGTTGACGAAAGAAACCGGTCAAGCGCGTATTTGTAAGATGGAAAATGTGCACAATTTTCAAACTCTACAACACAACTCAAAGAGTCATCGCACGATCACAAGAGATCACAGAGGATCTCACCACAAGACGTTTCCACCCAGTGCGATCAATCACATGAAAATCACCACAAGAGTCCAGCGAGTTTGCAATAAATTGCACGATATTTGCTAAAATTGGCAAGATGGTGATGAAATGATCGCCAGATGATCGTGATCCTCGCGGCGACGCGCTTTGCTCACTGCCACAGACCGCAGTTGACTGAATTGTACGAACGCCTTGTGGCGACTCGAGACTCCCAATCTTGGCGGCTTTTGCCATCTCTTTCGTCGCCCTGCAACAGTCATACAACCGTCCAATTTCTTGTGACGCCGTGCTCTTTCTCTTGCAAAATACCATCTGAGAGAGCGCGCCGAGTCTTCCGGGAGAGGCTCGCATTTAACATAATAGAGCAATAGACCGAAGAGTGGAAGTCTCTTTGACTCTCTCCGCAGTTGGTATTTTGGGAAATGCGATGCTAAGACATAAGAGTGTTTTGGGAAGAAGATATTTGACTTATTAGACAATATTTTAGAGTATTATATATGCGTTATTTCCGTGTTTTTCTTGGTCTTGAACTATTGATTTACTGAACATATTAATTCAGTATCGTAAAAACGACAGGCAACGTCTTCAAATTGAAATAAATAAATTGAATTAGAATATCAGCCTTTGATGTTTTGATTTCATACAATTCTTGCTCAAAGTCCCTAACAAATTGCTTTGCTCTACACTTCATTTTCTAGTTTACTGGCTTTAAATGTTGTTTGCAAATAAAAGGACGAGACAAACAGAGGTAATCCGCCCTGATTAGTTGAAAACAGGTTAAAAAGTCATAAAGTGGTGAAAGGGACGATAATCCCTTGGGTAATCCTACGCTCCGGTGCCGCAGGTAGGCCGACGACAGGCCTATAAAAGACCAGCTCGACGGCAGATCTGCACATTCAGTCTTCGGCACCAGAGCAGAACGGTTGACTCAACTTCTTCTCTCTAAAGCAAAAGCCTGCAGACTTAGTCTTTCCACTATGGATTCATTCGTCGATCAGCGTTCTTCCACCCCTCTTCACTTCCTGGAGGACTCCTCCATGGACGTGTCTCACATCTCCGCCCCTCCCCCGCCCCTGCCCCAAAACATCCCGCCCTGGGTGTTCATCCTCGCTCCGGCGCTTGCGGCACTGCCCATCGTTGGCGTGGATGAGCCTCTGTTCCATCAGAACTTCGAGCACGACAGCGCTATTGACTGTCCGCCCTTCCTGGAGTCCGACCTGGACTTCTCCGCATCCACTTCCGATTCGGAGAGCTCCACGTCTGACTCCGAAGCCCCACCCGCCCACGCCCTGCCCCACCCCTCGCAGATCTCTTGGTAGACTGCCGCCCCCGCCCCTGCAGACCTCCCCGAACCACGGACGCTCGACGACAAGGGACTCTGTCCCGCTTTGGCAGTCAGTCCCTGGCGAGGCTTCGTCCTCGGACCAGGGAAAGTGCCCATAGCACCTCCTCGCGGTGGCTGCTGGCGACCGGATCCGCTCCCCAGGATCCGGGACTAAGCTATGGGTGCGCCTTCTAACCAACTAACTAACACCTTCCATTGTCTACATCGCCCTAAAACCGTAAATATTTCTGCTGACAATTTATTTAAAAATGTCTTAAATTCTTTCCGTAATCTTTCTTTAAAAAATCACGTAAGAAATCACTTCTAGTATCTTAGTTCGTAACACTTATAAGCCTTTTGACTTATCCAGATTCCATAGAGATTCTGCGCAGCCACAAATCCTCACACACTCTCAATGTGACGATCTCAAAGACTGGCCGCATCTAAATTTACTTCCACCGCAAAAGAGTGAATTAGAAAGTCAGAAGAGACATTCAATGGGCCGCCTTATCTCAAGAATGATTTTCCCTCTTTGGAATGAAATCATGCCCACTAGAGAGAGGCCTCATCTGAGGCATTTAAATAGCACGAAGGCAAAAAAGAACTGTTCTCCAGAGAGTGTGGAGAGAGAGAGAGAGGAAAAAAAATGTGTTGAATGAATTCTCTGGAGAACAACTTGTGGGCGATGTTGGAGGAAAAAAAGATCGCCTTGGTGCCATAAAACATGAGAAAATTAAACATTTTGCACAAATACATTGCACAATGTTTGAGATGCAGCGCGTCAGTGGTGGAAAAAATCAACACAGCTCTTATCGTGTTTCTCAGTTCACACGAAGCATGAAAGATGGTTTTTTCACCTGGCCAAGATTGCATCGCGAAGCATCACAGGTAATTATATTATCCAAGAACTTCTTACTGCATTAATTACTTGCAATTAAGGCACCTGTGCGCCTTTTCGTTACTTTGGCGTTTCTAAATTAATTTCTCCTTCACATCAACAAAGCATTTCCTTGTCAACGAGATTGAGAGTGACTTAGAATTACCTACACAAGCTTCTCTCTGCCATTTCATGAGTAATTTGCGTAATCTTTCCGCGAATCGAGACACCGTCATTACACTTTATTTGCATGCAATAGAAAAGATCCGGAAGGGTTCGCCAGTGCTGCGATGATTATTGCTCATATGCCATTTAATGCGCAGCTAATGATCATCAAGTGGATCAATGAGAAATCCCTTCCGAGCCATTAAGGCGGATCCACTTTAAGTCCCGTCGTTATTAGTTTTTCTTAGTGTAGCGTGCAACTTGACTTATGAGACGCTCTTTCTTGGCATGCGACTTGAGAAGGAGGCGAAATCCCATTGAAATCTTATTCTATAAACAGGGAAGAGTCTTTTTATTTCACAATCACACTTGTTAGTGATGCTGCAGAGCGGGAAATTTGAGGAAAATGTTGTGAATTGAAGATTTTCCAGAGGGCGTTTGAAGGTTGTTTCAAATACATTGGAAGCGATGATGAATTGATGTTTAGTTTTTCAATAACTGACAGTGCAATCACTATATGTTTTCTCATTTTCTTATTGATGAACCTCCTGATTTCCATTTTGGTCTCTTTGTTTGATATTTCGAGTGCAGTTCTAATTCCGTGTCCTCGAGTAAATCCACTCTCACGGAAATTTGAGTGGAAAGTCAACTGGCGCACATTCTGAGCAATGGACAAATATTATTCCAACCAATCAATCAGTAGCAATTTGACAAAGTGAAGCGGAAATTGTGGTACTTAAGGATACAGTGATTTTCTTCTTTGCCT